CTCTGAAGCTGTTTAAGAAAGTCTTTCCTTTAGTTAACACTGTCGGCCTGTATCTAATTACTCTTTGATTAGCCACATTGTCAGGAGTCTTTGCTACAGTCCTACAATCCAGGACGACAGTGTATTTGCAGTCTACCATGACAGTGAGACTGCAGGGATGACAGTAATGACTGAACTATGATTGATGCCTTTGAACAGGAGACATCTCTCTGTACTTGTTCTGTTAGATCTTAGTGTTACATTTGACAAAACCGACTTTCACATCCTACTGAAGAAGTTGGCAACATTAATCTGAATTTTAGTGACTCATTCTAACAGATTCAACTCACCTGACACCAAAGCCACAAAACACCAAAAGGTTCTGTTCTCTTTGACCAATACTTTTTGACTTCTATGCTCCCTGTAGGTAATGTCATAAGAAAAGACTCCTGAAGTGTTCATTATTGTGGAGATGATTTTCATTCATACTTATTATAGAAGCTGGATGAAAACAATCAGTTTACAAATTAGAGGTATATCTTAAGGCCACTGAGACTCAAACAAACCAATATATTGCTGCTTAACTCAGACAAAACTGAAGTTGTCGTGTTTGGCCTCCCAACACCTCAGCAGAACATTTTGTAATGATGTAACTGTCCTTGATGGCATCAGCCGGCATGCTGCAACACTGCTGGTATGCTAGGAGCTCTAGTTGAATGAGACAAGTCACTTAACTCTCTGAAAACCAAATTCTGAGGACAGCCTTCTTTTGACCATAGATGACGTTTGGAATGTAGATCGACCAGTATATTAAGAGCTTTGCCTTTCAGCTCTTCACCATGACAGATCTGTGTAGCGTCCCCATCACTGTTGATGCTGCACCGATTTGTCTGATCATCTCCGGCTCCTTTTTTCCCTCACTTGTGAAAAAGATACTTGAAATCCTCCACTTTGGGCAGGATTGTATCCCCAACCTGGAGACGGTACTCCATCTTTTTCCAGCAGATCACTTGGCCACAGAAGCTATATAAAGATAGCATATAATTTAGTGTAAAAGACACAATACATTTTTTATACAACAATTGTGTCTTTACATCAGTGTGTGCAAAAGGCAGAGAGGTGTGTTTTAGTATGTTGTAGTATTTTATCTCTAGAAGAAGAAAGTAACTGCTTTGCACCACTTTTAAACAGCTTTTTACCCTCACTGCTAGGTCATAATCATGTACTTAGAAAAATAGTGGCATATTTTGGAAGTAAAGCTTGTTGTCGGCTGTTGTGATTGAGTATTGAAAATCTGAACCAAGAAATCACCCGTGAAGGAGGGTGACAACTCCCAGTGATTGAGTAGCAGGCTGTTGGTCCATCTGTATCTCCGAGCTACCAATGCTAACCCAAATTAGCCCAACTATGGCACAGATAAAAACAAATGATACCAGAAAGAGCTTCACAGTTGCACAGAAATTGTACATTGTAGACTTGGCAATGATCAAACACTTATTAAAAACCAAAACTTGTCTGTCCACTGTCTCTAGTCTCAAATTTTAGTACTCCATTTCAATCTGATTTGCTAAAATATTAGTGATGCCATTCACCTGCTCTGTCTGTTAGTAGGTGTCGCCTGCAGAGACAGTCACTGATTTTTAATAAAGGCTGAAAAAAAAAATCTGTCTAGGTTAGACTTTATCACCTCATTTATCTTCCTGATACGATAAACAAAAAAAAAGATAAACAGCCCTTAATACGTCAGACCCAAAATTATCTCGTTTTTCCCATCTCACAAAGCACCCTGATGGATTAGCGGAGCCTCATTTGAGAGGCACATAAAAATTCATTCATTAATTTCATACTTTGTTTAACCCTACCTGGAAGGGTTCGCTCGGTGTGAAATAATGATAAGTGCCCAGGGGTCCCATTTAGCTACTGACTAATCCCAATAAATCCTCCATCCCACACCGTGCAATACAGCTTGACTTCTCTTGCTGCTAAATAACAGTGACAGCTGCAGCACCAAATATTCATCCTCATTGCTTGATGTCCTGTCTTACCTGTCACTCACAGAAGGGATCACCTGGACTGATGGCTCAAACCTTGACGTGTCAGGCTTGTGAGGCATGCTTGCTCTCTTTAAAATTTGTAGTACGACATGAGGCAGGTGACCAGAACAGTCAAGGGTCATTTGTTGGATCTTTGTCTTACATGACAGAGTAAAAACTGGCTGACTTTGCTTTTTTTTTTTAGTCGATAGCTGAACCATATTTGTTAAGTGCTGTCACAAGTGTTTTCTCGCTCCCCTTTTGCAAAACTCAATTTAATTTTCAAACTTTCTCGGTCATGGTACCAAATTTTGACATGTTGTGCCATGCGTAACAATGAAAACAAAGTGTCTAAAGTAGCATTTTTCCATTCAAGTTCCTCTTGTTGCAAAAGACTGTTGAAGCAGGGAGGGGGTTAGGAGGATTTATATTACTCTCAGTAGAGGGACATCTATCTAATATGACAGTTTAATCTCACAAGGCATCTATTCAGCATGATCAAAGGATGGACTCACAGCATTTACATTGTTTTATGTTACTTTGAATACTTGTGAATACTTTTACAAAGTATTCATAGCTGAATACTACCCAAGAGACACAATACCATGTTTAGACATCCCTCAGTAAGCATTTTTATCATTTTTCATAAAAATTTGCTAAATTGTAAATTGGGGTACAAGAAGGAGCAACACTTTGAAGATTGTAACTGCTACCCAGTGGAGCTGGTGAAGAGAGACGTAAGGGTCCAGAGTTAAGCTGCACTTAATACGCGGGTGTTACACGCTTTAAATTCCCTAACCCAGAACAAAAGAAACATAAGATGACATGTTCACGTTCAGAAACCAGAGGCAAAGTTAACAGGGGTCATTAGAACTCTCAGCATGTGAAAACAGTGGGCCTATCGAGTGTTATTATTCTCATGATGGCACAGCAGCATGCGGTTCAAGCCTCACAGATTTCTTGCAGTCTGTAGAGAGACGCTCCTGACAGTCTGATGCAGACCATGGATTCACAGAGGGGTTTTTAATGTTAATGTTATCATATCAAAAAGGTATAAAAATACAAAAAGTTTGTTAATTATTTAATTTAAAAAAATGAGTGGAACAAGTTAGAATAGAATGGGCTTCTGTACTGAAGCCTTATACTTTCCTTTGATGGTTTTATTGATTGGAACAAAAATATTTTGGGAGTTTATTGTACAATGTCTTTTTAATTGTAAAAATGCTTTATTACAAATTCTGCAATCTGTGGTCTTCTATTGTAATGTAGCACACAACTGAGGACATATTTCCTCTTACATTAATATTTCAATGTTGCCTTATTGTCGGGACACTGTTTCAGTGAAAGATCATACTAATATCTTCTATGATACTCTTGCATAGCAATATTACTTGTAGCTATAAGCTCTGAATACAAAACAAACCGTAAGCTATTATCATTGTTGGGCTGCAAACATCAACACTTTTTCTATAACTTATAACTAAATTCTTTTACTCTTTTACAGACAACAGATGAGGAACAATTATCTTTCTGGCTCTTTTGCAATCTTTGCATTATTCATTTGTGTGTGCTGTCCATGTAAAATGAGCCAATAAATGAGGAAATTATATTATGAGCAATTACAGCCCACCTTCAAAGCAGTCCAGAATGTAAATAGTACAATAAATCATGAAATGTAATTGCCAATTTCCCCACAAGGCTCTCACAATCAGAGATTAAAGGGTGTGCAGGTGTGCTCAAAAGTACAACACTAAAATAAAATATTTCAATTTGATGCAATCCCCCTGCTGCTGGTATGAACATTTTCAATATAACCCTATGAAAGGTGGTCACATCTGGCCTTAATCTTCACAAATCTGGACATGTGATAGGCTAAGGGCCAAACAGGGGAGCAGGGGGAAGAAGGCATAAATCATCCACATAAATAATATGAATGCAGGGGCAGTTTGTTGCCTCTGTTAACATCTGCATACTGAGCTCCAAACGGCTCAGCCCACTTATACAGCTCCTGGAGATACTTCATGGCCAACTAAAGAATAGATTATTAAAATGCCCATGAGGGCGGCGGGTGGATGAGCTACCGACCAATTCATATGAGAAACACATAAAAAATGTACGTGGCACCAATAAAGAGGGCAAATGTTTATGATTCATCATTTATTTCAAAGATTTTAATGAGAATCACCACATATGACTCAAGCCATGCATTTATTCATGTAAGTGCTTTTAAAGACATACAGTTGCAGCATATTAACTGCTGAACTTGAATATCTTCTATGTTCTAAAAGCTGTATTTCAATCTAGAAAGATGCCATCCTAAATCCTGCTTTTATTCATGTGCATATGGGATGCATGAATACCAGAGTATACCACATGTTAACAACACCGCCACTCGTTTTCTAACATTGTAAATGCTTTTAGTTTGCTCTTTGTCCCTCATTTGTTCACTCGTGTCCTCCAAGAATATCTGAATTCACAGTCCAACTCTGGATGTAACACAGACAATGGTTGTAAATAATAGAGATGGGAATAAAGGCTTTGTGGTTAAACTGCCATCTCCTTTGTGTATCTGTACTACATACGCACAGATGTATTCTTCATTTGGCCTAATGAGCTACTCAGATATTATTTAATGCATAATTTGATGTGAAAAAGAACCATTCCATGCATGCATAGATCAGTTATTATAGTTTCCCATTCTCACATATGTATGTATCACAATATATAACTTATTTTTCATCCAACTGATGATTTGTTGAATAGGAGCAATGCACAAAAGTTCTTATATATCTGTCCTGTACCAGAACAAATGATCATAGGCATCTCCTCCTATCTTTAACGAAGACCACTGAAAAGGTAAGCACAGCACTTGTCTTCTAAGTAGAATAATGCTATTTTAAATTGCTATAACTCGTATCAATTGTGTGATGTTATCAACCATACCTCCTGAATAGGTTCCCCATCAGCAGGATGAAAAAAAAAACAAAACAGCAACGTTCAACTACAGAAATTTTCATTATTTATAAGTACACTCACATAGAAAATGTGATGAGGGGTGATGGCCCAGACTGTAGGAGAGTGCACATTGTAGTAAAACACGAGTGTCTTGCATGTTGCTGATATGCTCCTCTTGAAAATATTACAACAACACATTAAAATATTTATGAAATTGTGGCCATGCCTTTACTTTTACATGTACACTGCCGCTGTACTGACGGTAGCTGCCAGCTTTGCTAGTTTCTTAGTCCGTTTTAATGACTGATCTGCAAATATGCAGGTTGCCTTAAAAAAACAAGAAAAGACAAATCAGTCTCAAAACAGCCAAAATGGAAAGCCTGAATGGCAAGTGAGAAAAAAATAAATGATGTAAAGCTGTTTTTAAAATTCTCTATTTATGCCTAAAGAAAATTTAGGATCAGTTTTCAATCTTCTTAGAAATAACTTGTAACAAAACATAAAGTAAGGTAAATAATTAAATAAATGAAACAATTAGCTTGGGCTTTTGTTGTTAATCATATTCCCACAATAAACTTAAAGGTTTAACTGCATATTTACCTTTCACTTTGTTAACAGACTTTGGTGAAGGGAAGAAAGTGTTTCAGAAAACATACATTGAAAAAAAAAGAGATCAGAGAGTTCAGTGTCACCACAGAATACACAGTTCAAAACCGTTCACCGGATGGATGCACACCATTTAAAGTTTTAAAGTGTTTTTTTTTTTTGTTTGTTTTAGGATATATAGAAAGTTCTTAGTAATTAGATTGTAAAGAATATATATAACATCTTTCGAGAAGATTTGTTCAGTAGAGTTTCAAACTGACAATAAGTGGTGTGTGACATTAGCAAACACCTTTCACTTGAAGTTCGGCCACACTTCGAAATACTACATATAATTATTCTGAAATTTGGCAATACTTTTTTTCCCTGAAACGGCTCGGTAAATTGTGATTTACTTGGCCAATTAGGAATGTATTATTTGATTTTATTATGCATGCATTTACTTTATTTTAATGTAACTGCTGCCCTGTCTTCTGTTGACTATGTACGGTACTTACTATTGTCTTACACTGTCTTATTGAGTGGGAAAAAGTTCGACTGTATGTTATTGTGTGGATCTATCGGCACATTCAATTGATTTCGAAATAAATAAAAGGAAGACAAATATTGCTTGCATTATTTCTCTCTCTCAAGTAAGTCGAGTTTGAAAATGTCTTTATAAGTTTATATCCGCACATATACAATATAAATATCTTATATAGAAGTGCGTTTTATTTCTGTCGAAAGTGCGGATGAGGTAACGGTGCTGCATTTACTTCCTTTCCAACATGGCGGCCGACGGGACACAGAACTCTGTTTTTAGCTAACACCACGGAATATCGTAGCATTTGGACCATTATCGTGCAGTTTCTTCGCCAAAAATCACGAGTTCTGCCGTCATTAGTACGTTTCCCTTATACATTTACTGTTTTTGCGAACAACTGTGAGATGTATCGTCGTGGAGCGGCAAAGAAAGACCACAACAAAAAAGCTGTGAAGAAGGATGTGAGTGACGGGGATAAATACTCCGACCTTTTGGTGTTCGGATATGCCTGTAAACTGTTCCGGGAGGACGACAGAGCTCTTTACCACGAACGTGGAAAACATCTTATCCCATGGATGGGGGACAAGAGCATCATGATTGATAGGTCGGTTGAACAAACTTAGACTGAAACATTATGCTAACCTGTGTCAAAATTCAAGGGACCTCATGGAGTTTGTCTTGCAGAACCTTGGAAATAACTGCAGCAGACAAATGTGCTCTTTCTTGCATGTTTAAATGTTAATGGATGTCTTGAAACGGCCAATAATGGTTTAAAAGTTTCTATGAACACACGCTAAGATACAATTCCCTGCCTCTCTGCTAACATCAGCCATGTTCTTTAGACAACACTGAGCAAAAAGTCAGCAATAAAGAGGGTACACAGTTAAATCTGTGACAGCCAAATACAACATCACCAAATAAGAGGGTGAAGACGGTTATTTTAAACCACTGTGAGGATTTTTAAGGTGGTTTTGTATTATGTACAGCAACAGCAAACATGATTATTAGCTGCAGGATTTTCAGGTTTCTAAATACAGTCAGGTAAAACAGAGCTTTTTTTATGTTTTCCAAAGCAAGTATCATCAATGAATGACTAATAGGATTGTGGAAAGAAAGCACTTTAATCATCACAAACCTGAACTCCCTGGCAGGAGCTTCACAACCACTTGAAAAACATATCAAGGACAAGAAATCGTGACCTGCAGAGGCGTTGTATTTGGCTGCATTAGCTCAGGCTGTGTACCTCCCTCGCTCACTCTTGGGCAAATTTAAGAGAAAAACTACTAAATATACTAAATCCATAGACTGTCAGACTGCACATGTTGGCTTTAAGGTGGGTTTTGCATCTTGGCATGTTGAAAGAATTTCCTCTGGAAACCCTTTCCATGTCCATAGTCAATTAAAGGGAATCGAATGTGGATATGACTCAATGCATTTTTCATTTCTTCACTGAAGTTTTGGTTAAGATAATGTTTATTTGCACAAAACAAATGACCTCAGAATTTGTGGTGCTTCGCTGATATCCACAATGCCAGAGCAAATTCTAAAGACCAAGTCACTGCAGCTAGGTGATTCAAATGATCACATTACCAATGGAAAAAAAAAGATCTCTTTTACCTGCAGAAAAAAATATATATATTTGGAGAAACAATCACAAGTGTTGCTGGAGTTGCTGGTTTTAAATGCAACTCCGTGTCTCCATGACTTCTACCTTAAATTCAATCTTTATTCTTTTGAATCTTCTTGTTCTGCAGTGGCCCAACTTGTGATTCATTTGTACAGCCTATGTATGTGTGTCTTTATCACATGACCCAGTTTTTTCCCCAGCAAGGTAGGCAAAGGGGTCCTGCCAAACCCCGAATGCCAACCACAGCACCCCATTTCTTTGTCTTCATGAAGAAACTGCAACTGAGAGGTGGCGTAGAGGGACGAACCCTGGGAAATGTCGTCCATTTGGGTTCTTACGGATAGGTATTTATGTACCCGGGTTTGTGTGAATGTAACTTTCTTTACAGATTTAGACATAATTGATGAGTTACAGGGGGGATATGAACCCTGTAAGGTAAGAGACCAGTTGCTTCGTTTTTCCTTTTTTTTATTATAAGGTTTTCGGTTCCTTCCATAGAAGAAATAACAGCAGAAAGCTTGTTAGGCTTCTTAACAGCACCAGTGACAAATAAACCAAAGGTCTTAGTGATTTATTCTGATGACAGTATATTTACAGATTTTCAAAATTTATGGTATTTTACAAGAGTACTTCCTCTTGACAGGCATTGAGAGGTAAAGCTTTGTTGTTTTTGTAAATTTTGGGTTTTAGGTCCCCTTTCTTTGGTAAGTAGGTCGATGTAGTGTTTATAAAACTTTGTCCACTCCCTTCTCTCTAATCCTGCTTATCATTCAACAGATACGATGGGCGTGGTCACTTACATGACCTTTCTGAGTATGACAGTGGGTCATGGAATACATCCTACCAGTTGTCAGAGGAAGAGGACAGGATTGAGGCGCTCTGCGATGAGGAGAGGTACCTGGCTCTGCACACCGACCTGCTAGAAGAGGAAGCCAGACAAGGTGGGCAGTCTGATAACGATTACATTATTGCAAAAATGCATTTATTTCCACAATGTGTCAGTACAACAACCTCATCAGTGAACATGTCACAAAGTTGTATTTAGCCAAAAAGCATTCCAGAGTAAATAGTAAATAAAAAAACAATGTCAAGGGTCCAAAATGGCACATTAATTAAGTAATTTTGTCTGCTCTAGTTAGTAATAAAGAACATCTGATCTGACAACTCTCACCACTGCCATTGAGTTACTCCCCAGCATTGCCATCACAACAATGGTCTCCACTCTCTGTTGACCTCTCTTGCCCCCGTAAAATATCCAGACTGTGTCATTCACCCATTCTGCACCTTGGTTTACACCCCAACTCCACCTTCTCAAAGCTAAAGGACGACAACTAGAATGACTCTACAATAAAACCAGTATAACTGTTCAAGGACATGTATCACCTCCACATCCTCTACTACAAGGACTCAATCCACACAGCCAAATCCCAACATTATGCAGGTCTCATCAGCCCTGGTGATGGCAACACTTGGACTCTGTTTTTATTAACATCTCCCTTCCATCACTGGACTATTTCCCCCACATTTCTACTCTTTGTGACAATTAAATGCAGTGACGAACTTCTTCATGAACTGAAAAAATAGGCAATATCCACCGTCAACTGGCCTCTCACATCTCCTACAATTCTTTCCTCCTGTTTCCCAAACTCCCTCCTCTCATTCACTCTCAAGTTTCCAGCTCCCCTTCTGCTGCTGCAATAACTGAACTCATCAGAAAACCTAAATCATCCACCTGTCAACTCGACCCCCTCCCGACACCTCTCATCAAAGCCTGTCTCCACTCCTTGTCATCTCTCATCACCACCATTACCCACTCCTCCCTCTCCTCTGTTTCAGTCACATCACCTCTCAAATCTGCTGCAGTAACACAGATTCAGAAGAAACCTGGCTCAGACCCCAACAATTTAAATCAACTTTGTCCTTTTTCCAATTTGCAATTCCTCTCTGAAATCCTGGGAAATAAACTGTTGCGTCTCAAAATCTGCTCTCACCTCTCCAGCAATAACCTTTGTGAAAAGTTGCAGTCAGGCTTCCATCCCCATCACAGCCCAAAAACAGCACAACTCAAAATCACCAACGACCTTTAAATGACAGCCGACCCTGGACTCTTATCCATTCTTATGCTCCTCGACCTGACTGCAGCTCTCAGTACCATCTCCCATTCCGTCCTTATCCATCCTGGCATCCATTGGCTTATCTGGAATCCCACTTGACTGGTCCAAATCATTTCTCTCTAACCGTTCTCAGTTCATTCACTTAAAAACATTTACATCCCAGCCATCTCCCATCTCCTTAGGTGTCCCACAGGGTTCTGTCCTCGGTCCCATCTTCTTTATCTTCTATCTCCTCCCCCTCAGCCACATTTCCATAAATATAGCTTTCAGTTTCATTGTTATGCAGACAACAAACACCTAGCTCTACCTTTCTGCCAAACAGGCATACTCACCCAGACTCTCAATCAGCAGATCTCCCCTCTTTTTAAAACTGGTAAATCTTTTAACTTTTTTTTTTCACTTTCTTTTTATATGTGTCTTGTACGGTGTCCTTCGGTGTTTTGAAAGACACCTTTAAATAAAACTCATTATTGTTTTTATTATAATTATGATAATTTATTAATGATAAAAAAACACACTTCAGCAGGCCAGTGGAGGGTGAACGTATCGTGAATAGAAAACTTATTCATTAATTGTGATATCAATCAAAGATAATCAGCAGCTAGACAGAAAACATGTTGAATACGGGCCCTCCAGGTGCCAGGGTGACAGTTTATCCTCTCCTCTTGCTAGTATGCAGTCACCATCTTTCCTACACAGAAGATGAGATCTGGCGTTGTGTTGTTTCATTCCTTTAAAATCAACCGTGAATGTCAAACAGTTGTGGCTATTTGGAAGTAAATAAATCAGGTGTCTCAGTAAGCTGTTTTGATACACTACTTATTCATCGGGTCTCTTTAATCCCACTGCAAATTTTGGCCAGTGATATCTGTATCTGCTGGATAACCGCGTGTGAACTGTCAAAGCTGGTACAGGCTGATCCAGGACCAGTGTGTGGTGAAAAACATACTTCGATGGGAAATGGCTGTCAGCCATTAAAGCTAAGAAGTGCATTTGTTCACTGATACAAAATACACTTGAGTAAATGTTTCTTAATTAAATGACTTTGTTAGTGGCTTTAACTTTACACACTCATACATAGCCTCACTTCTGTTTACTTCTCCAAACAGTGTCTGTGCTGATTATAAGCTCCTGCATTTAACACAGTGTATTAAAGTGGATCTACACTGAGTGGCTGACTGATATTAAAGTAATGATTGTTTTCATGTCTTGATTAAGTTATTGTCTTTCACACTAAATGCCACTCTCTCTTCGACAATAGAGTTATCCTAATGGAAATTCTGTTGGCTCATCAGTCATTAGTCATTACCAACTTTTATCTTATCATTTATGATTTAAAGGGGTAATGAGCCACAACAAAGCCCTGACCGACTGTAAACACATTTAATTTGTTTTAAACAAGACACTGGATAACTATGCACTTCTGTGGTGGCTGTGCAACCTGAAGCACAACGACTACTGATTCAAAAGTCTACAAATAAACAAATGGAATAGAAATAATGTCGGGAGGAAATGCGACCCGAATGCAAGGATGCAGTCCCCGTTTTAACAGTCTTTGCTCCAACTCTTCACCTCTCATGACCTCTGAATAAATTTTCAGTATAATTGAAACAGGAGGAATGACTTCTGGTCACTATGAGCCTTCAGGTTTGTTCAGCTGCTGTGAGATATTTGTGTTGGTCGCTCACGTATGATGGTAAACATGAGCAGATGTGGCTGCTTTCTACTGGTAAAATGTTTTGACCCTTACAAATTGCTTGACACCTGTTTCATCTGTTACTGATGTCTCATTACACTTAGTAATTGAAAGTCTCAGATCATCATTTTAGTGTCTTGTCAGTGTTGCTGGTAAAGAACTGAAGTGTTTTCGTTCTTCCTGGGCCCAGTGTTTCAGACCCTTGTCTTCTTTTCACACATCTACGCCCACGGACGAACACTAATATGACGAGCCTGTCTGTAGAAACTGTGAAGTAGCAAATCTCACATTTTCCACATACTTTGGACAGGGTTTCCTTCTGAGTTTTTTATTTTTCAGGACAAAATCTCCCACACATTTGTCATGTTCAGCCTTTCTGCCTCATTAAGAAGGACCGGGTCTGACTCTGAGCTCACAAGCAGCCATTTCTATGGAAATCACTTCAGACTCTGCGATAGTTGCATCTCCGTCCTTTAGCCATTATAGCGAAACAGGCTGTTTTGATGACAAAGCACCCTTCTGAAAGACAGACTTGATGACTGTAATTGAATTAATACGCCACAATTTTAAGTGAAGTATGGTGTCTTATGCCCAAACTGACATTACAGAATGAGTCAGCTAATGATTTGTGTCACACACTCACGCACACACTCACTGCAGAAGGTTCATCCCCCGGGCTGCTTTGCCCTTGAATTCGGAGGCCTGACCCCATTCACTCAAGCTATTACCCATCTGTCCACTGAAAGGACAGCAGCAGAACATTAGAAATATTGATAGTTTTAGTGGGAATTTTGCCCTTGCCTCTTTATTAAAGATATAGTTGGCCATGAATTTTAATGGGAATGCGGTTGGTGTCTGGTATGGAGCAAACACACACATTGGTGTCGTCAGCAGTGTGACTTTTGTATGGATCAGTGTGCTTGTAGAAGGGAATGACATGTTTACAATAGACTCACATACATTCTTAGAATATTCCCAAAAGGTTTAATCATGTGACCTGTCTTATAAATGTCTAAAAAAATCCTTTTTAAACTAGTGGTATACAATGAAAGTGTTGATAAACATTTTTAAAGATTATTTAAACTATGACTGTTATCAATATGCAATAACCAGAAAATGTAACAATACTGAAAGGGCTGAAATAGACGAAGTTAATGTGGGAGGGGGTGAGAAGCTTGTGGAGTAGTTATCGTCCATTTATCGTTATCAAGGTGAAATGCTCAATATATTGTGATATTGATTTCAGGCCATATCGACCAGCCCTAAGTGAGATACAAGAATCGTGTTCTAATCGTCTGCATATTTTCCGAAGAGACTTTGTTTTGACAAGTTTGCAGGATAAGTGAAGGCATTAGTGTGTCCTTTTGAAGCAGAAGCTTGAAATTCTTTTTTTTCAGCAACACTATAAAACAGACTGATTAAATGAATATCTGAATACAGCAAACAGACTTGGATGTACACTAAAACTCCTTTTATACTAAATACTCTCTGATGCATTACAGGGTAATTGGTTCGCTGAGAGAATGTGGTCCAACTTTGATTAAGAACCCTGAATTTAAAGCTACACAGCGCATGTAGACAGGTGGGATTTGAGCGCTGGCATGTAAATGAAAAAATCGACAGAGAGCAAACAGAGCCTTTTAAAGAATTCTCCTCCAGTACTGACTTTGTTCCAATGTATGTGTTTTTCTTCTTTCTGCAGAGGAGGAGTACAAACGTCTGAGTGAAGCTCTGGCTGATGAAGGCTCCTACAATGCAGTGGCCTTCAAGTACAGCGCGGACTACTATGATCCCTCTCAGCCAACTGAGGAGGAGGATGCCAATAAGGAACATGGTAAGAGGCTGCGTTATTCTCAAACTCACTGAAGATTGACCTTGGGTAAAAGTTAGTTTTTTGGTCAGTCAGACATGCATGCACTTAAAACTAGAAGTGATATCAGTGGTAGAGCAACAGATAGAAACCTTCATAACGATGCCAAAAATGAATTAATCTACTAGTCTAATCCTCTTGTGTTTCCAGTTGGCTGCCAGAGTTTTTCAGAGTATCTGGTTATTTCGAGAAATCAGATCATAGGCTCTTTGAAATACCTCTTCCTTCATTGACATGCTTCTGGAGGAATTGGTTCTTTTGTCTAACTTTTTAGGTGTTTTCGAGTTTTCAGCCGCAGCAGTCTGCTGCGAAGCACGCAGCAGCTCTGTCTGATCTATTTTCTCATTTTTCAGCTGTTCTAATCCATAAGACCATCTGCAGTTTCACAGCCACCAGCAGATTGCTGAAGTAGAAGTTCTGCTCACAGATCAAGCACTGAACATGTCAAACCCATCTGAATGATGCCACTACATCAAAAGATATTTCACCTTTTAGCAGTGGAGTCTGTAAATCTGAGGGTTCAACATTTAGACTGTTAATCATCCGTGAACTTTGGTTGTCATCCATCTAGATATAACTTGGGACACTGTACACACACACACACACGCACACACACTCTTGCAACTTTAAATATTTGATGTGGAGATTGCTGGAAGCACTGTTGTCCCTGACAGTTGAGCAGAGTATATGCCTCTCTCTCGGGAGATTGTAGAGCCGAGTCCAGAGTGTAAGTAAATCAAAAAAAGCTAAAGATGCTTGAACAATTTTACCTCTGGGAATAAGTCGACAAGGGGTCGTGTCACACAGGTTATGGAGCTAAATCCCTGCTCCACTTTAAAGCATCTGGTCGTTGTTCAGAGTTTTCTTTCCATACTGTTAAAGGAATATTCTGGCGTAAATTTAAGTTATAGTCAAACACACCATAACACAGAGTTATACGCCCCCTTGAGAGATAAATGTTGCAGACTGCTTGCCTCTCTAGTTATACCAGCTTTAGTAATGACCACATGATGGCAGTACTCAGCGGTCTACATCTCCACGTGCAAACCTCAACCAGAAAGCCACTCTATAGCCACAAAGCCACAGCACCTAACTTCATCAACAGTACATTTAGGGTCCTAACCGTAGTACTAGCCATCAGACATCTTTTTAGCTTTGCCTGGTTTCTTTGGCAGAGACTAAACACAACTCACCCACTTTTCCCCTCCAGCGGCCGCTTGTTTCCAGCAACAAGGACTTTTTCAAACTTGGGACCGCATTTTGGCAGATAGATGCAGACAAAACAAACACAACATAAATAAATCTTTGGTGATAGTTCCAAAGGGAAAGCCAAACATGCCTGAAGGTTAATCGCAGAATGATTTATGATCTGTTATCTGTGACAACTCAAGATCTCTCCTTAACCTTGCAGGAAAACTATTCTCTAATAGCTACCAAACCACCCCACAATACACCCATTAATTTTGTGCCAAAAAAGAGCATTATATGAGCATGCAGTGTTTCTATTGGTTGAATAAAATGCACTGATTCACCTTCACTAAAACATCCAGGTTTACCATATTTCTGCCTGTTCAACACCATGAAGTGTCCTGTTCAGCTGTCTTAGCAGTCTGCCGTCTTGTCTCGATGTGTCAAACTGCTGAGTCAATGTTTGGCTGTAGCTCTGAATCCCCAGTAGTTCAACAATAAGTAGGGATGACACATGACTGCTTTGAAAAACACAAAATTTAACTCATCTTGATGCGTATTTTAGTGTGTGATCATAATTTGCCTATTTTAAGCCTCTTTTACATTTTCAGCAGTAGTCAAATAGAAGCCATTCAACCATGATAATAATCCTGTTACACAACCAAAGTTGATGATTAAGAGCTTGTCATCTTTCAAAATTTGGACACTAAATTACAGTTGAGACGTGACATAAGATTGAGTGAGCACATAGGCCCGGCGTGGCTGTCAGGCTCTGCTAAAAGCTGATTTTAAAACTGTACCCGTAATAAACCTCATAGGACAAGCAAAGAGTCAAGCAAAAGGTGCTTTTTCTTCCCCTTAGATGCAGTGTCTTCAATTAAGTGGCTTGTTTCCTTCATTACTGTGGAAATTTCCATCTGTACAACATTTAAAAGGTTAATATAGTTTTCACCTGACCTTTACATCCTTTAAATGCAGATAAAGATAGAGGATAAAGAGCGGAGTTTTTGAGGTGAACTAATATGAGGATGATGGAATCGTGTGGTTTGCTCACTTTGAAAATGTTTTTACAAACTTGAAATAAACCCTGAGTCACTGTTCACCTGGGTCTACTGTATATCCAGCAGGGTATATTTACTTTTCTTACAAATGACTAAGAAGCCTTGATCTCATTCCTCTCTGTCCTGATATCTCTTCTCATGCATAGAGGAGGCAGAGCCTGAGGAGAGCGAAGAACCATTTGTTGCTCCCCCGGGGCTCGCTATCCCTCCTGATGTGGAACTTGTAAGTATCCAGTTGAGCTACTAATGTTTATTTGGTTCTCTTACATTGGATCCCTATTAATTATGTTCAGCCCAAATAATCAGGAAAAAGATAATGAAGGTAGAATTTGTGAAAAAAAATACAGTTTCTGTGGTCAGTCCCTCCTTTTTATTTCTTACTTAAAAGCTGAACACATTGTATTTTATGGGAACATATTGCATTAACTTACCAAAAAAAGGAAACTTTTTTTTTTGAGTAATATTTTTAATTTGCTGTTTTTCTGACTATTTTTTTTCTTCTTTCTGTTTTTCTGTATATTTTTTCCTTCTGTTTTTTGTACTTTTTTCCCCCTCTTCTGTTTTTCGTACAATTTTTTTTTCATCTTTCTGGTTTTCGGACAATTTTTTTTCCCTTTACTAAGCGAGATACTTCAAAATCCTGCGAGAATCTCTCACAATCAGATAACTTTAACCACCATGACTGCTCCAGTCAGCAGATTCTCCAGCTCCTAGATAACTTTGACTACGGGGTCAATGAGAGTAAAGCATGGTATTAGTTAAACATAGGGTATGCAAATCCTGAGGTGCCTGCGCAAAGTAGACAAACTTATGACTATTCCATCTTTCTGACTTAAAGAAAGGAGTATCTCCCAGTATCTCAAACCCAAAAGACAGTGAAACTTGATTAAACTAAACATGTGGGCCATGTTTGCTTCCAATAAATAGATTAGAGGGAGATATAATTGTCTGTTTTTAAATGATCATGAGCCCAGAGAATAGGAAAAACTATTAGTCTGAAAAACAAAACAAAACTACAACCAAAAATGAAAAAAAAAGATCTGAAAAACAGGGCCTGTTTTCTTCCTCTTTTTTTTTCTAATGAATGCAATACGCTTCCATAGTATTTCACACATTTGTCCAAGAATAAAAAATTTCAACTCTTTTGAGCTCATCCTGTCACTGATGGTTTAAATCCATGATATTATTAAGATGACTCAATGAAGCATATGCAATTTATTCTTGACAGAGCAGATAGTGACACCAAACTCCTGGTGACTAGCCTGTTGTGTGAAGATCTTAAAATACCCTACGTCAATGGATGTGATGCCCCGACAGTCTAATTATATGACGCATCAAAAATAGACTATGTCTCCAAATAGAAGCTGTTCCTGTTTTTCCTCATCATGAGTTCTGACAATTGAGTAATGAAATGAGCCCCTTCACTTTGACAGGCACAGGCCTTGCAATAAAGTCTGAACAGCCAATTTACATACAACAACAAAGAGATATGGAGGCCTAGCAAACAGGAGACTTTTGGTCTACATACATTTTCATGTAAAATATGTGAGCAGTACAAAGCTCCAACTTTTGACACTGATGATCACAGATGGCCTATATACAGGGTTTTATTATTAGGCTGGCTTGTCAAAAAGGGGTGAATAATTGGGACAACAATTATTGAGAAGGGAGTTCAAGCTGAAGAGATTGGTGTGAGGACCTGGTTTCCTGGAGTTCAGCGTGACTCACTCAAACAGTTTGAACTTTGTACACGAAGTTAAACTTTTCAGAAGACTTGAGCCTTTTTAAATTGAAATTCTGCACATAGCTCTGCTGTCATGTAGCCTGTGTACCTTTACACTGAACGCCTCTGTGGAGACCCACAGTGTGATTTGACACAGTGTTACCAGCATTGCTGAAGCATGAGAGGCACAAAATGTACACAAACAGTGCCTGCTTCACATACACACTGACAATAACTGATGAGACCTTTATTAAGTTTTTGTTAGAGGGTCAAGATGGTACCAAAGTACTATTGACAGGCTGTGGGGCATTCATAATCTGTGATTTCTTCCCCCCACAGTGTTTCAATCTGTCTGTCTAAACACAAACATTGTATTTCTGTAACTGGTTAAATTGAAGGACAGAGTGTTTATTTGGTTACGCGTCTTCTACAACTGCGCTGAGGGAATAGATTCTTGTTGCCACTATGCATGTTTGTCATTGTCACTGATGATTGTTTCCTGATGTATTTCCATGACAAAGACCCAGCCAGATATGGGGGCGATGTCAGTTAAATACTGGACAGTTTTTGACCATTTTTAATGTAAATGCTTTGTGCAAAGTCTCCACTTGTCCTAGTTCGAGATTATGTTAGATAGTATCACAGTTTTGACCGACTCGAACTCAAGAAAGATGAAGCAGTTGAGAGCACAGTGAACGGACTGTCTAGTTGTCAGTTCATATGTTATTCTTGCCCCTACAGGCAGGTCTGGTCAGGCATATGAGTCTGCCATTCATTCATCTATTTTGGGAGGGTGTGATTGGTTTCACATCATGAAAATTCATCTCCCCCTGTGTGTATGGGCTCCCTCTGGGCACTTAGATTTCCTCCCACAGTCCAGAGGCATCCTTATTAGGTAACGGGTGACTCTAAATTCCCTGTAGGTGTGGGTGTGCGTATGTCAGGATGTCTGTATGTACAGTATGGAGGCTCTATGATAAGCTGGTGATCTGTCTCACTGTGTGACAGCTGGGTTTGGCTGCAGCCTCTGTGATCCCAAACAGGAGAAGTAGTATGGATAATGGATGGATGTAAATTGCACTTTAATTAAAAACCTAAGGAATTGAATACATCTATAGTGGCCAAAGAGAGTGCTTTGTGTCTTGACTTGAAATAAGGAGGATTCTGCTATATTACTTTTGTAATCTTACAGATCAGTAAGAACATCACTAAAGCACCATTATGGTGGGAGAAGCAAAGCTAGATATTCCATCTGGAGTTAGGAAAGGACTTTTGTGGTGAGGAAATTTCCCCTGTAGTCATTCAGGATGGCTCAGTACTGCTCTATGCTGTATTATTGGAAAGGTCTGTTTGTAAATAATTAGTCATTTATTGTTTTTTTACTTTTTTATTAACTTTTTAATGTTCACGTTTGTCTAAAAAGGATTATAAAAAACTTGTAAGTCTTTTTCTGTTTCCTCCAACATTATCGTTTTTGCTCTAGCTTGAAATGTTTACATACATTTAAACATTTGGTACAACCTTGATACCAATTACTAAAATTGGTTGATTGAAGGATTATTCTGAGAGAAAATGTTAAAAATAAATGACTAAACTATGGTGACTTTTTATTGACCCTTAAAAAAAAAAATGTTGAAAATGTTGACTGACACTGGACTGAAACAAGACTTAAACTGGATTTATAAAAAAAAAAAAATTACTAAAACGTGACTAAAACCCATCAGGATTTTGTCTTGAGACTAGATCTAAAATACTGTGGCTGCTCAAACTGTCACTTTTAGCAATGGGATGACTTTCCTGTTTTCCTCTCTTATATTGACATTGGTGATGGGACATAACAGCCCTGCCTCCAACACGTTACCGTTTAATCTTTAAGAGTGAGGCTTTAAACAGCAAAGTAAAACAGACTTTCAGACATGTAGGTAATGACTCACATTGACAGAACATCCCATGATAACAGTGCACAACAAGTAAAAGGCTGCAAATCTTAATAATGCATTGTTGTTATTGTGTTTTTATTGTGTGAGACTATCTTCCCTTTTCCTGGCTACTCCTCATCCAGAACCCTCACTCTGACCTCCTCTAGCAGTCGCTTTCTTATGCATGAGAGGAAAGACAAGCTTTTATGTTGGCGAAGACTACGTGCATCTCCAGTATATATATATATCATTCAGGGGTATAAAACAGACCCTTTCACCCATGTGTATATGTACATCGAGAACACCATATAGCTGCAGTACATGGTATGAATATATTATTACAGTGTACGTTCAGGATTGAAAAGGATTCTTGCCTTCTCTGACTATATTTCAGTGAAGTCTATTTCTAACTGTTATTTTTTAGGACGTCTTTTATTGGATTTCTTATTTGTGATAGGAAATGAGAGGCAGCTTGGGGAAAGAGGAGGATGAAAGGCACCAATGGCAGCGATCCTAGTTGGATGTTTGATAAAAATGCACATTTTCATCATTTAAATGGTGTTTCTTGATGTAATATTTATGCTTATTCAGATACAATTTATGTAATGCTTTTATCAGATGGCCAAGTGTGGTCCAAAGATAAAGATGGTGGCATAGATCCCAGACCAGATTAGAAAAAAGCCTCTTAATCAGTTGTACCTTATCGATAGGGCAAAGATGGCTTCAGTAGCTGCGTTTACATGGGCGCAAATAATCAGAATAAAAGCCTAATCGGAATAAAAATGCATCATGTAAACTTGTCGATCGGAAGATTCTGATCCAGTTCAGCTCAAACGGAAAGAAATTGTACTCCGATTGGAAGGGGTGGTTCATGCCGATCGTTATTCCGAAATACGTCCATGTAAACACTTATTCTGATCGTGACTCTCTAACCTGACTCGGTCTTCACTCTTTAGCCTTTGGCTTGTTTATTGAGGCCAGTACAGGAAGTTTCATTATTAACACTCTGGCATAAAACACAACCGTAACTGCTGTGTCTGCTCCTCCGATAACATAACAAGGCGTACATACAGCGTAATGATGTCACATCAGCACGCACAGTGCAACCTTTGACAGAGCGGTAAATTAAGGGCGCCATCTAGTGACAACAAGACAGGAGAAAAATCCTGAGTTGGATGGAGTCAGCCACTTCACAGACGTAAATACAACTCTTTCTGCAGTTGTTTTAGTGAAATTAGACAACTTTGCGCATGTCAAAATGCTTCTGATCTGAATAAAGCTTGGTGCATAATTACACACATCATGATCGATTATTTGGTTTTGCGTACATATAAACAGTATTCAGGTTATCCGATCCTTCAAATTTTAAATCGGATCAATAAATTTTGCTCATGTAAACATGGCTAATGTCTGTGTGCTGGCAGGGGACTGCTCTGCTACTCCAGAGTCTTTGTAGAAAGTCAACATTTCCAATCAAGTATGTTTTGCTTGTGTATCACCTCAATGTGAAATACCACTGCACCTCTTTTTTCCTTCTTGGATGAGCTACTAGACTAAGTTGGGAAGGTCCTTGCAAACTTCAAACACAAGGGTCTTTTTGGTGTTGTACACTGACACTTTTTTGGCCAGTGCCTGGAAAGGTGACATTTATTATGACTTGCATCTTGACAAGATATAAGAGGGATTGCCTCACTTTTCAATGCTCCGGGTTATGACAGTGATTAATCATTGAGAGCACCCAAGGGGAACAATAATGAATGAATAATGAACCATTTCTTGTTTCTGTTATTTCAACCCCGTGTGTATTTTTAAGAATTAATGTCACTAAAATGAACGCATTAGTGCCTGATGTTAAAATGCTTCCGAGATCAAATGGCTTGTGTCCTTGGTTTGAAAGATTCATTCATAAACTCTCATCTGCATTTCTCTATTACGTGCAGAAGCCAAGTTCACTCTCCAACTGCTGTTTTATTTTGCCTTGAGCTTTAAGAGTCTTTCCAAAAGCAATATACTCAGATTTTCCACATGAAAGCTTCTTTTCACAAACCAAGAAATCAATAATGAACCAGAGCCTGCATTTCAATGTTCAGTTTTAAACACTAATGCACATTTCATGCCTTTTATTTTTGTAGCCAGCTACTATCAAGACCCACAACATCATCGAGAGGACGGCCAACTTTGTGTGTCAGCAGGGGGCTCAGTTCGAAATCGTCCTGAAAGCAAAGCAGTCTGGGAACTCCCAGTTTGACTTTCTCCGTTTTGACCATTATTTGAACCCTTATTACAAACACATCCTGCGAGCCATGAAGGAAGGTCGATACAACCTGGCCTCCGCTGGCAAGCAAGAGCAAGCACAGGGTGAGTTATAGGCAGCAGCGATTGGACCTGTGGGGGTGTCATGTCCTCACACGAGTATTAGATTTGCTCAATCAATGAGTGTCATGCACCATAATCAATGCAGAAATACCAGGAGCAAACACATGAATAAATACAGTGAGAAGAACAATATAGATTGAAGGTTTGTTTATCCATATTTTAGTCCTTTCCCTGTTTTCTTCCCTTAGATTCCCACTCGGATGATTCAGACGATGATGGCGACGGCAGTTACCTTCATCCCAGCCTGTTTGCCCCGAAAAGGTGCTCTCGCCTGGAGGAACTGGTAAAGGTAATATCAACAGAGAGACCACCCAGTGTGAAGCTCAATTATATTTTGAGTGTATGTGGCATATCCAACTGGTAGGGGACCGCTGCTCTCCATGTGAATTACATTTACACCCTGTGCCAGTGTCTGTCACTGTGTTCTCTAATAACTGTATTCTGCTCCCCGTCTTCATGCTGTTTCACTTCTTTGTTGGCGCTTTCATGTGCGGTGTCAGGACAGCCATTAGTCTTTGGCAGAGCAGTCGCAACAGAAGACTATCTTTTTAAAGAAACATAATGAGACCCTTTTAGTAACAAGCTGTCTTACAGTCGCCTCCTGTCAAGACAGATTTTCGTTTTAAATCATCTCCTTTCATTTTCCACTAATTATTGATGTTTCACAGAGTTAACTCTTAAAGTCTGTATGTCTCTCGTAAGCAGATTACAAGACGACATCCAGAGTAACAGTTTTATGTTACTCCTTTTTACTTTAGATTACTTTATTAAAATTAAAAGAAAGAACTTATTCATTGAATAGCCATTATAATGAACATACATTCATAAATACTCCTTCATGACTAAATCGGCAGAAGCAACACTCATATGCCAAAAGACATTTAAAAAGTTGCTATGCTTGAAGTTTTAGACTACGTTTATATGTGCCCGGCTATTTTCATAAACGGACATTTAAGTGCACACCACTACGTTTTCAGAAAAGTTTTCGTTTGCACTAACCCGTGTTTATATACTGTCAGGAGCATATCAACCATGTGGGTGGCAGTGTAGCAAGAAACTCAAGCCCACTTAAGCCAATCAGAATCCTGCATAGCATCAACAACAACAATGTCCCTTCCTTCTTTCCTGCGCACAATCTGCTGTTCGCTACCCAGATCTCCGTTTTCCTCCGTTTTTCTCTTTTTACATGCAAACGTGGCCATAGTTTTAAAAAATCATCGTTTGGGTCCGTTTGGGTCTAAAGGAAGGGTGCAAACGATGGTTAATGTCTCCGATTTTAAAAATAACCGGGTACGTTTAAACAGAGCCTTAGTCTTACATAGTGAATTATTGCCTTCTCAATTACTTAGGCGTTCCTTTAAGGAAAACAACATTTATGATATGATGTATTGTTTTTCCCTCTGTGGTCTTACTAATTTACAGCCTCTTAAAGTAATGGACCCGGACCACCCTCTAGCAGCACTCGTACGCAAAGCCAAACAGGAAAGAAACGGCACCGCAGTAGTGGAAACCAAACCAGAGGAAGTGCCAGACCCACCTGCACCCACCACTCAAGTGCAGTACAGTGCAGACCGTGAGTAAAGCCCTTTTCTCTCTTAGAACAAAAGTCATACGATATTTATAAGAACTATTTTTGTGTTCGTCACACGTCAGGTCTGGTGTGCCTTTCTTTTGCTCTGTCTTTACTTTTTCATTTCCCTCGTAGTTTTTTAGCTTGCTTCTCTACCACTGAGCACACTGATGGTTTTATTTATCAGAAAAAGCCTCCCTGCCTTTTGGTCCAACTGATTTTTCCCTAAGAGTTCTGTTTACCACAAAAACCTGGCATTTGACTTTCTCCTTGTGGACCGCTTTGTGCTTTTGGTATTTTGTCACTGCCAGTCGCTCAATACTGCTCCTTAATACTTTATGCTGACCCAAGTCTAGTATTGATGTGAGGGAACTTTGAACACCTTTCTGCAAAAGTAGTGTTGAATTTGAGGTGATCTGGGAGACACTAGTCTCCAGAAAACCAAAAGACTTAACCTTAGAAAGCTTCCAAGGCCACATTTGACAATCCACCTGGATTAAAACATCAACCTAAAAGCTCACATTTGTGTTTCTGAAGCTGATCATAAAACTAAAAAATGGTCATTTGCTGCCTTAAAAAAGAAGCTCTTACATTTCTAGGAAGTCTAGCATTCTCTCCTTTAGGCTTACATAAGCCTTATAAACAGAAAAAAGTACCCACATATGAGTTCAAAGAGAGAAGAAGACCATAACCAAGAGTAAATAATTATACCATTTAAATGCAATAATTGATGAAAAGATTATGATGGAAGATAATGATGGATGAATGAAAGCTTCTGAATCAGGCTTTTACTATTGCAGTTAATGATACAAGATCATAAAATGAATCTGTCCGGAATGAGACAGACTTTAACACAAAGAAAATGTGAACAACAAATGAGTAAACATGTTTATAAAATTTTTAATAACTAGTTGTTAAATATTTGCATTTAGTTTCAATGACTTTATCACCACCAAATGGTTAAAATACTAAATGTAAATGATTAAAATCCAAACTCAACATTTCTAACCTTTTTCTCTTTCTTAGGGTGTGGTTATGATTCATTTTCAATCATTTAACTCAAATTGACCCACAAGGAAAGCAGGAGGTGTATGTGAATCTTGGGTTGGGTCAACTGTGTGAGCTGGAAAGGAAAGATTTGTGATACTGTGTCCTGGGACCAGATAAGGAACCTTTCCTATGGAATGTGTGGGTTTCACACAGGGGATTGTCTTGATGCATGCATTCTCAACTACCCTTGCATTGCAACATTAAATCTTAAAGATACAGACCTTGATACTCTGGGTTATTACAGGCTGGGTTATTACAGGCTGCTTAAAGAAAGATTCAAATCAAAATGTCCTTTAAAAATGAATGAAAATAACAGGATGGAATGAATGAAATAAATCAAAAGCTTTCCCTTTAAATATAGAATAAATCCTCTGTACTGTATGTGTTGTATGCAAGGCCTTCTGTATACCCACAATGTTGTAATCTCCACTCGCACTCTGTATTAATCACTGAAGTAATTTTACCATGTGTGCCTCTGCCCCCCTGAAATTAGTTGCTTAAATGAACCCCTGGTCATTGGCCTGGCTGACCCGTGATTATTCACTTATCCATTATTGCAATTTATTTGTCCCTTAGATGGCTGTTGAGGCAGTCCTTTGACCTGCTCTCTGCTCCTCAAATTGAGCTATTGATGCGGGGAAATTGGCTGTGGATGAGCTTGATGTGCATTGCCATTGAGTATGCATTGTTGTCTTAATTTGCCAACCCATGTAGCACTGACAGCACTATTCTAATCTGTGGATCCATCTTTGTTTGGTCTCATGTGGTGGTAAAACACAGCTTAGATCAGGCGCTACTTCATTACTTCTTATGTTGGCAGTCACCCCCCAGATCTCAATGTGCGAATCATGACATTTTTCAAACAATACTATAAGGTCAGCTCAGGTGACCCAAGCTAAGTTTAACAGTCAGTCCATAAAAGATCTCGGTATTGTGATCATCAGTCACTTCGACCAACCTTTGCACTACGTTTCCTTTTTGGCCTTCCATTTTCACATCTCAAATCTGTATCACAGATGTAACACATCACCGCAAGTTTGGAAATGAAAAGCCCCACTTTGGTTTTCCATTTTCTTGTCTAGTGAAAATTGGATGTGTCATCAAAGTCAACCAGCTCAGTGACTAATGTGTTAATCTGACACTGTCTCCACTCTGACACTGACAATTTATTTTCCCCTTATCCTTGAGTTCCCTGCTCACTTTGCTGTATTGGGATAAACTGTGACAAAAAAGTTCAGCTTTTACATAGAGGTCGCATTTTGATCAATATTTCTTTTCTAGCTAATTTTATAATTGATTACTGTAAAAAAAAACTAATAAGAAATGTCCCAACATAGCATTTTGATCTAACACTAGTTACACTTTCCACTGACCCACACCAATCTCACTACTGTCGTCTGGCAATGATATAGCCTCTTGGAGTGAGGGCCATCTTTACAGTGCTTTTGGGGTAGCCAGCAATTATTGATCAAGGACCTCTGGACATGATTTTTATTTCCTTACTGGACTGTTTTTTACTATCTGACTGGCAACTTGACAAACTAGAATGGAGCCAGGGTTGGGAAGCAGCTTAAGGAGGGAAATGGTAGCTGCATTTGATTCAATAATTTGATTTCTATCACGAGATTGCATCAGAACAGTTTGCATTTTGCTGTCCACATGGAGTATCTTTCTGTATGCAACCAATTCCTGCTTTTAAGGGATGTTCCAGCGTAAATTTAATTCATAGTCAAACACCCCGAAACACAGAGTGATACACCTCCTCATGAGATGAATGTTGCCAACTGCTTCCTTCTCTAGTTACACCGACTTTAGAAACAACCACACAATAACATTACACAGTGGTCTACATCTCCACATGCAAACCTCAACCAAAAAGCCACTCTACAGCCACAAATAATGCTCAGAACAGCACCTAACTTCAACAACGGTACTTATAGGGTCCCAGCCATAGCACTAGCCATCAAACATCTTTTTTTAGCTTTGCCTGGTTCCTTTAGCAAAGAGACCAAACACAACCCAACTACTCTCCTCCAGCAGCCGCTTGTTGGTTAGGGGAGCCCTGACGAGTCGATCCCTTTAGTGTTAATAGATCACGTCTCATACTTAATCGTAAAAAAGCTAAGTGAAAACTGAAACACTTTGTTTACTAAAATCTACCTCTGCACACAAAGATTCAGCATTTGTTTGCAGGATCTGTAAATAGAGATGTAACTCTTACTTGTTTCAATTGGAGATGCCTGCTTGGATTCTGTTTTTCCTTTAGGTCAGTATCTGTCAGAGGCATTTGAGCTCAGATGATACAAAATTTGGTGTAAAATATTGTTGCCTAATAAAAAGAGACAAAAAATAGAGGCACAAGAGTTGCTGGATTTCTTAAAGGGCTTTATTCTGTCCTCTTCTAATTTTCTTTACATCCAAATTCTTCTCACTGACTGTGTAGAAATGTGACTTTTTTGTCATTAGTATTTCCAGACATTGTCCCAACTCCTTATGCTGACAAAATTGTCCCTGACCTATAAAGAGAGAGATTGCATTCAAAAGAGTCTAGACTGCACTTTTGCACCGTCTTGTAATTTTAATGAGCTGTTATCGTTTCACTTTAACTCAGAGCATTTGTTTATTCATGCTTTCCTCCCCAAATCTCTTTATTGAATGCCTATGGAGATATATATTGTTTTTTGCAGCAGTTTGTGTCCCTATTAAGTAAATTGTTGTCTTTTATCAGGCAGAATTGATGCATTCCCAGGGAGAGTTTCATGTCCTAATTTTCTCCTCATTTCTGTGCGACAGCCATGTATTACGGCTACTACATGCTCCCCGATGGGACATTCTGCTTGGCCCCACCTCCTCCAGGGATAGAAGCCACCTCTTATTATAGCACAATGCCCTCAGCTGTAACGGCCACACCGACATCGTCTGGTGCTTTGCCTCATGGAGGAGCTACAACCACATGCGCCCCATCTGAAAGTGTCACAGTTCCACCAGCAGCTACAGTTTCTACTCAGGTCACCAACTCTGCTGCTCCTGCAGTTGTAGCAGAAAGCAGGTAGGAAGCCGAGGAACTTCTTCTTTCATGTCTTTGTTTTTCCTCTAAATGGAGTTACTTAAAATTGAAGTGGCATTTATCTTTAATTCTTAGTACTCTTCAACAAAAATTAGGCACTATCAAAGTTGAAAGCAATTGAAAAGAGAGCCATGTTAATACAAACGGATTTGTATATAGCTTTGTCAAACTTTCTGTTACCACAAACTTTAATTAGTGTTATTTGCTTAAAAAGGGGTTTGAGAAATTGGTCTCATAAACGAAAGCTGTAATTTGAACATTCTCAACGAGAAGTTGGAACAAAGCACAACAAAACATTTCTTTCCACCAAACATCTTCAATTTCCCCCCATAATAGTTTGAAAGCTGAACCCCAAGCTTCTACACCAGCAGCAGCAGCAGCCGCCATCATTCCCCCACCGCCTGACATCCAGCCAGTCATAGACAAGCTGGCCGAGTACGTCGCAAGGAATGGGCTTAAGTTTGAGGCCAGTGTCCGTGCCAAGAACGATCCACGGTAAGTGTTCTCACAAGGAATAAATCCATTGCCCCTGTCAAGTCTTGGTTTAAGGAACTCTTATCAGTAAATTTTCCCTTCAGATACTGCAGAGCCTCTCTTCATCATCCTCGGTCTCGTCTTTTATGAGAGCTCACCTTTCATCTCACACACTGTGTCCTCCCCTCTCTGCCTGCTATAGGTTTGACTTTCTGCAGTCTTGGCATCAGTACAACACCTATTACGAGTTTAAGAAGAATTACTTCTTGCATAAGGAAGGAAAAGGCTTTCCAGAGGTATTGTAAGCATTACATATACTCCGTGTGCATGTGTGTGTGTGTGTGCAGCCTTTTGGAGACACCCTGCTGCTTTGTGCTTTAGTCAACAAACCCACATTGCCATGCAGTTTGGAAAGGTGCTCGCAGTGACCTGTTAATGAATGATAATGGATAGAGGAACATAACAGCCACAGACTTAAGACAGCTGCTAGAGGACCATGAATGATGAAAAGCCCCACTTTTATGAAGCTCTTAATTGGTTCATAAAGTTTTGCCAACTGCTACATGATAAAAAAACACTGCTGTTGTGATAAAAAAAAGCACCTTTACAGACCAATTAGAAGGAAGGAAGGTCATTGTGATTAAGAATTTATTACTGAAGCAAAAACATTGCAATTACCACCCATGTAATATCTAATTGCAGATTATTTTATAGAGGTCCCACATAAAAAAATGCTTGTTAAAAATACATTTAAGGTGCAAGTTGTATTGATTAATCATAATCAGCAAAATCTGTAAACATAGGGAAAAATATCTGCGTATGGAGCAAAAGCAGGCAGGTTGATATCTGCTCTCATGACTTCCACGCTCCTTTGGGTGTTGATATTTTTTTTTTATAAATCTCTCTTAAAAGGTATCTGTCTGTCTGCACAGCTGGAAGTCTATTCTATGTCATACATTTCATCTCAAGCAACAAATCAGCTTGATGCTGTGCTGCAGAGGTCCATTAGTGCTTATGGTTCTTCACTCCCTGGAGTGCATCAGAAATGATCAATCAGAGCATTTAAAAAGCGGTTTCTTGTTGTTTTCAAGACAGACCTGACAAAAGTCAAATTTTTCTTTGATTGAAAACACATCAAAAAGTCGTTATTTAAACAAATCCAGAGCTTGAGTTACTCACAAGAGAATCAGAATCACAGATTTTTTTAAAGGCTTATACTGCCGAATTAAACCAGAGTGAAAGCCTCTGTGTAGATCATTATATACAGGGAAACTTACAGGAAACAGATGACCTGACACTTCTTCAGAGGATGCAGTGAACTAAGTAAAGATTACATTTACCTTGTAGACATCTAAATGGGCAAATGTCACTTAGCTTGTGATCTTAACTCACAGTTTCTTTCAATTGCTAATATGACAGTTTATGATAAAGCAAAACAACAAAGTCTTTTAGTCACAGGAGTTACAACAAAGTTGGCTACTAGCTTTATCATTCTCAGATGGCAGCCAATTGGTTTTCCACCCAAAGCACTAAAATCACACACCAATTTCTTAACAGACATCATTAGTGGACTGATCATTTTATTCTGTATGTATCTCAGTATAATGCTCTGTTTAATGCTAGGAGATGCTTGGTATGTGGAGGTAAGTGTTCAGTGATGTTCATGTTAATTCTTCCATTTAGGAGGTGACCTTCACACTTAGAGGAAACAGGTTCCTCTCATTTGTCTCCTGTCATCAGCCTCACCTCTCCACACCTGTATGCAGTTCTGTTTAATAGAATTGCAGTCGAGGTTTTAGATATGGGAGAAAGGTGGTCGAAGCATTTACCGCGCTTACAGTCAACCTTGAAATTAGCTGCTTTTTGGTGCTGATAAGGCAGGACCTGCTGCACTAAAATTAGACGTCTGCTCACCTCGACGTTGAAATGACCTCAATTAGGAAAGTGACACAGAACCAGGAAGAGTTCAGTTTAGGTTGACTCAGCCCTCTTACTCAGATTCAGAATATACAAGTAAATTGCTCTTTATGTAAAGTAGTCATCCAGTATTTACCCGTGAGGTTATGCGATTTATTTTCCGTCAGCCCAGTCTTTAGAGAGGAGGTAGTTTACTGCATCACTATCAGAGCCTCAATCTTCAAACAGGGTGATTGGTCGCCTGCTTATTTGCAGACTTCTCACCTATTGTTTCAATTTTCCAGTCTCCCCAGTGCTGCAAGGCCTCTTTAGCAGCTCCCTGTCAGCAGCATTGGAGCTAAAATCCAATTTTGGTGGATCAGGACCTCAATGAGGCATCACCCTCAATTAGCAGCAGTGCCGACAGACATGTAACACTCTCACTTCATCTACTCGCTGGCCCAGCTCCCCAGCAGCACATGTCTCATAAGCTTCTTAGCTTATTGTTTAAGATGCGATAAGGTTTGGTTGTATTGATCCCCAGAGGGAACATGAAGTTGTTTACCGATATCTGTTCCTCGTATTTTGGTCAGGGATTATTGTTCCCTGGGTTTGATTCCCCCTTTTAAGGCCTTAGGGCGCACTTGAATTTCTGAACACTCTACATTGTTTTGGTACTCAGTAATTTCTGATTTACCCTCAAAACTTAGAAAGGTGCTCAGTGAATTGTGTTTTTCTCTCGACTCCAGTTCAAATTCATCACCAATAAAGAAAACCATCTGTTTGTTTTAAACTTTCAGTGAATGTAATGGAGCTGAAAATGCACTAAGCTTTTGGTGATGGAGGAAAATGGCCAAAGATGGTCTGCTTCTAAGACTATTCTCCTTTTTAAAGAAATCGAATCACAGAGAAAAGTGATGGGCCTGTATTTAGAGTATTTTAGTCATTTATTAAGACATTGCAGATGATATCAGATAAATGTGGTAGCCTCAGAAATGACCTCTCTGCTGCCTTTCATAAATGAAAATAAAATTAGTGTAAATAAGACAAACATAAAGGAAAGCCAGATGCTGAAGTAGCTTAACAGTTGAAAAAATTCTATATATCGAAATATACTATATCCCAATACTCACTGTATTGCAAAATGTTAAAAAAATCGCAATAATATCGTATTGTGGCCCAAGTATCGTGATGATATCGTATCGTGGGGCCACTGGTGATTCCCACCTGTAATGATTACCACTTTCTTGTGTAGCTGAATTCGTTTTAAAAGTTGGTGGGAATCGCCAGGTAACTTATAATATAATATAACACAATACAATAAGATTCTGATTGATATGATGTGATAATATCACATTACTGCAATACAGAAATACCACAGTGTCTGGACAATCGGCTGAGTGTTCACCACAAATATATAAAGAATACAAAATGTTCTAAAAAAGGCAGATTGCAGGATTACTGTATTCACCATCTTCACTTTAATCTGGTTAGAACTGACTGTTTGTTGTTGGTCTAATTCACAGAACTACACTAACTGGTAAAATACTGTTAAAAATACATACATGTCTTGAAAAGGCACACATGCATGCTAACAAACAGTATATTTGTTGACAAGAATAACTCATTTGCATATGTAAATCTGCTCAATTATGTCTGTAAACAGAAACATAACTTGTTTTTTTATGTTAAGCAGCTGTAGTTCTATTCTCTACAAGGCCAATCACTGCAGATGGCTCTTTCTCAGTCAACTTTTATCCCTCTGTGGCTTTTAGTAAAACTTCTGCTTTATGGGAGCTCGGCAAGTCCGGTGCATCACGCTGGTTTGTGGCATTTCCCCCTCACTGTCAATAAAACGAGCAGTAATTATCCCACAGGACTCCCCCGGTCCACCCAGTGACTGCAGCTGCAGAGTTTAGTTCATCCTCCCTCCACCGTCTGTCCTTCTTGGTTTTGATAGCAGATAGTGCTTCTCATCACTTCCTTACATTGCTGTCTAACAGCCCTCTGACTCTGTCTGCCACTGTCAACTTCTTCTCAGCCAATTAATCTCCATTCATGTTCCCCTTGTTCATGTAATTGGCACCAGTGGGAGGTGCAGTGGCTCGGTCAATGAAATTGGCAGGGAAATCTGTTCAGGGTGTCAGATTTTGTCAATTAAATATCAATGTTTGGCATCATTGTTTTGATAATTGTATCATACAGGTCAGGACATTGATACACTGCCGTATTGATGTTTTGTCTCACGCCTGTATACATTGTGAGAGCCCCCTCTGATACACTGAACATATCTTTCCAGCAAATCCAACAAAAAAATCCAGATACAATAACATGTATTTTAGGGACTGTAGCTTTTTAGTACAATACACAATCTCATACAATATCATACTTATGAAGGAATTGGAGGAAACTTCAGCCCAGTTGAGGTGACGAACTGAGTACACTGAAATGTAATTTAGCACTGAATATTTCGTTTATGTGCTTGTGGAGGGGACAGTGTCTATCAGAACACGGAATATCGTCAATGACTGATAAATAAACTCTACCAAAGAGGCTACTAGCAGTTTATTAATGGGCACAAGGACAAGAGATGCAGAATATATTTCTCTGTACAGGTTAAAATAAATCTTATTAACTGCATAAAATGAAAGCAATTATGAGCTAAGCTCCTCTAAAGCACAACCTTTTATTCTGCCAAGGTCTCCTAAGACTCTGATCTCATGGCACCATTGAAGATAGATGAACTTTGAATAAAGCAGCTTAGTCACCAGTCATCTAAGGTGTTGGAAGATGTCCGAAATGTTTTTTCCAGAATCAATAATTTATAACATTTAGCAGGACATTTAAAGCACCCTGCTCTACTTCTGGGGATTTTGTGCCCAGCTCTTTGTGAGTGACCCAGCCCTTGGTACGTTTGTCATTATCCTGGTGAAGACAATTAGCATTGATGGTGATGATGGAAGGTCTTACAGTGATGATTGGTTGTTTCATTACTGATGTTCATAAAATAAAATTAAGACTTCATTCACATTGTGCATCGCCTTTAAAACTGCTTGGCAGTATCTGCATCCAAATGGACTTGAAGCACTTAATCAATCAATCAATCAATCAGACTTTATTTGTATGGCACTTTTCAAACATTAAAATGTAACACAAAGTGCTTTACAGAAGCTCATTAAAAAAACATAATCATGTAAGTGTTAAAAAAAAATAATAAAAAAAGAATGATAAATATAATCTCTCTCTCTCTCTCGCTCTCTCTCTCTCTCTCTATCTCTCTCTCTCACTCACTCTCACACACATACACACATGTACATGTAGATATGTGCGTATACACAAATTACAAATAACTAAATGAATAAAATTCAAACAGCACAGATGTACATTGCTCTCGAATGTACGTCACTCTGGATTAAAGCGTCTGCTTAACGACATATAACATATAACATTTCATGTTTTAAATACGTTGAACATCAAGTTTATATATTGAGGCTATAACATGAATTAACTTTGTGCTTCAGTGTTTGTTAGTTAGATAAACCATCTTTATTGCCCTTATAAAGAGGATTGTGTGATTCAAATAGTCCAGCTACTCTCTGGGTACATAGATGAATGGGGGCTTTTTACATGTACATACTCAATGATAATATTTACATATATTCAAGGTTTCCAGAGTGGGCTTTGACTCAGTGAGAAAGCAGACGGCAAGAAGTGAGTGAGAAAGTTTTGCAAGGAGCAATTTGTCTTGTGGTGAATCAAATCAATTAGCTTGTCAGAGTGCAGAGGAGTGTGGCCCATTATGACACAGTACAGGCTGCTCCAACAAGCAGCTGCTTGGCTTTTCTATCAGGAAACCTGTCTCGTGTTTGTGATTGGTGCTGCAGCTAATGGCATGCAGATATCGCTGCTCTCAGTCGGCGCCGTTATTTATAGTTTCACAGTTAATGAAAAAAGTGAGAAAGGGTTGAAATAAGTCAAAGCAGACGGCAGCAGGATGTGAAGCCTCTTTGCTCTGTACGAGTATAATCTTTTGAACTCCGAGTGCGGCACTTTTTGAGTGGATAAACAGAGTTATTTTTGTTATTTTTTAAAAAGAAAATATTGAAAACAGTCCAAATAGTGAGGAAACTTACACACTTTTAGTCGCCATTTACTTGACCGAAATATTGGCAAACTGCCGTGCGCTACAAGAACCTATTTATCATCTGTGCTCGTTTATGTTAGGATCGTACAGTGTTAAAGCATTATGGCAGGAGCTTTAACCAGAGCTACAGCTTTGGCTAGCTTTCAGCTTGGACATAATATTTGACTGGCAAAAGAAGTCTACAATAATACAAGTATTGATGATAAAACTTCTGCTGACAACATCAATAGTGAAGTCCATTAAACGTGCATATCCTTGCTCATAACTTTGCACAGCACTGATTTTGCTGCTCTGCTGGTGCATGCTTCCATTTAGAGCGAAGGATTAATACTTTCCAAAGCAGACTGCGTCTCAGTGTTACAGCAATGAATGTTAATCAAAGTATTGAAGGATTTGAAAGGCTTAGCGACAGGTGTTTAGTGAGCACAATCAGGTTCCTGCCGATCCCAGCTGAGGTATTACCAGAACGGTTTAGTGAGTTTCAACCTGCGTCTTCTCTTCTGAACTTTGATTTTTAGATTTTTTTAGAAGTTATATTCTCTTGGGTCGTTGTAAAGTGCTCTGACTGTTGAAAGCACTGTTCAATTACAGCTGAATCGTAGGAAGCAGTCTTTGAAGCGTTCTTCAAACATGGTAAAATGAACCTCATGAGGTTGGGCTTTTTTTCCCCCTCTTGTGGCATTGGCTTCATCACCACTTTTCCCTTTTATTCCATCAGCAGTTTATATTTGGGAGGCGGCTGAGAGCACTCCGGTCCGCAGGTATTACTTCAGAGGTTTTCTGGTTATCTAGCCTGTACACACATCCGGCTGAAGAGGCTTTGTGAAGTAACTATGTCTATGTGAAGAGTAACGGACTTTACGATGGGATATCAGAGGGCTTCAGAAAAGACTTTTAAACTACTAAAGCAACTAATTGTACTGCAAGATAATGAGATCATAGAGAAGAAGATGGTAAGGTATCGAAACTGTGAATGAAATGATCCTTCTAAAGTAAGCATTTGATCATTTGGTCAAATAAAGGAGATATTTATGTGAAAGTTTTCCCCCTCTCTGTGTAGTATGGTGACCCTGAGGTGCAAAACACAAAAGCAAAACGAGTAAACACAAAAGCAAAAAGAGTAAACACAACGACAAATGAGTAAACACAACACAGAGAGAAAACAACAGAAAAAGAGAAAACACAACAACAAAAGAGAAAACAGCACAAAAGAGATAAAACTACACAAAAAGAGAAAATACAACAGCGAATCAGAAGACACAACAACATTAACCATTATATTTTCTCCTTTGCCATTATGTTTTCTGTTTTGTTTTTGTGTTGTGTTTTCTGATGTGCCGTTGTGTTTTACACTTCAGGGCCACTGTAGTGTAGAGCAGCTGTGAAATAAACAGATGTCCTTATGCAAAGTAGCATATTATGCAACCCCTGTGTCATTAAACCTGTTGATTTGAAGTTTCCAGAGACTGAACTGAGTTAGATGATATACGTCACACTCCAGCGGTAATATTTTCTCATGCTGCAATAAAGTAGCACCAGAAAAGCTGCTACTGGTGTTGTGGAGGTTTTATGAAGGGTCATGTTAACCTTTAGTTAGTTAGTTAGTATTCTGTTTTTCCGCCTTGGGTTGGATTGAAAGGCCAATGACATTCCAGTGCATATTGAGTTGGTCCAATCAATCTAGAAGGTTCATGTAGTTTGGTGGTATTATGTGAGTAAAGGACAAATCTGCCAACCTTACACGTACAATAACATGAAGAATTCTCATTTGCCTTGAAATACTTCTGTTCTTGGGCCGGCTTTTGCTTTTATCTTACATTCTTCACAAGGCTTGAGTGTGAAAACCTTATTTCCACAGCTTTTAAGAGTTTTCTGCTTCTGTAAATGGTCGACTGACCTTTTCTGTTGTCCTCACTCCAACCCTCCACACTCTTCCAGAGCAGAAATGTAATAATGAAGGACATCCTTCAGGCCAGAGGCTAGGGTTTCTGCTTTGCACAGTCACTATTGGTCCTTCTGCAGCAGCATTTGCTGTTTCATTGCAGAGAGATGACATAAAAGGTGGAACATAAAACTTTGGACTGAACTTTAGGGAGCAGATCTTTTTTGTGATTGAACAGTTTCTTTGGTCACAGTTTAAGATGTTCATTCTAATGATGCACATACACTCACTGTTTATGTTACACAGAGATTAGACACCCACACTGCAGATGTTTATTTTTTTGCGTTTATGAGAAACCAAATGACAGGCAGAAAAAATCAATCTACTCCTCTGGATAACTCTTTGGAAAATTGCATTAGTTTTTGTATGTACTATTGCTCTACTTCCACCTCTTCGTTCAGGATTGTAACCAGGAGTTTGTTCAGACTAGGCGAGCCCGGCTGGGGCACAGACTCAAGCAGGGGTGGCATGAAGTGTGCACACACAGATATTTTAGCATTTATTTACCCTTTCTGTCTCCCCTTATCATATCTACTGTAGTCACTAACTTTACGTCTGTTATCGGTTACTAACTCATAGTCGTGGGACAAATCATGTTGAAAATAAAAAAACGTGTTATTTGTTGAAAAGTAATGACTGTATCAAAAGAAAAAATCAGAGTCAATGGTGATCCTGTTTAAGTCTAAAGGGCTTTACATATAATCTGTTGCTCACTTATCTTAGGAATCAGGGGATCTACTTTCAGACTTGCTAAAAGTTCAATAGTCCTTTTGCAAAAACAAACAAAAAGTATAATCATCAACACTGATAATTACACACAAACCCACTATTTTTAGACTGTCATATAATGAACCTTTTTACAGCAAATTTAGAGCAAAATTAAAGTCACGTCCTTACTCTGTCCTTCAGTTTTTTTCAATGACAGAGACTCACAGTGATTTAAGAGATTTTGCTGTTTACTGTACAAACAGCTAAAAAGATCATTAAAAGGAGAAGTGTGAGGTTGCTTATTCTTGTTACTACTTTATTTGTTGTTGTTTTCCTTACACCCTGGGGCCTGGCAGCTTGATTAGATTTTTGGCTTTGTTTAAAATGTTTGTACCAAGGAAATTTTTGTACTGACTGAGTAAAAATACTACTTATATTCTTTATTACTGAAAAAAAAAACTTAGACCATGTATCAAGTATTTCATCATGACTTGTCCGTCAGTTTACACCCCCATCCTGCACACAGTCAACGATACATTTACTGGAAAAGCTTTGGTGCTGAAACATTTCCAAAAAATATGTTTTTGACAGTTAGACAGCGTGTAGGAGTTAGCTTGTGATTTGTGATTGACTGAATGGACGTTGATTGATTTAAAACAGACATTTGGAAAACTTTTACAATACTGTCAAAAGAAACTGTGGAATCCGTGTTTTCAGTGCAATAGCAGTGTATCCCATCAAACCTCACACAGTTTGCACATACTTTAATGAAGCCCTGCAGAAAAATAATAGTTTAGTTGAAGGTAGAAATTGTAAGGCAGTTGTCCTACAACACACTTACTGAGTTTACAATACCTGTTTCTTTCACTCATCCCGCTCTCCTTCTGCATCCAGGGTCAGACGGTGAATGATGATAAGCTTGAAACAGACCTGTCAATCAAGGACTCCAAGATGTCAAAAGGTAGGACACTAATGCAAAAAGATCATTCTGTTTTCACTTCCTCATGAGCTCTCCGGCTCAGTAAATGAGATGCAAAGCCTCTGTGAGATACGAATATACCTGCACATACAGTAATTACTCTGGTGTGCGTTTGAACGAGTGTGTATGTGTCTTCTGTTGATGCTGATGCACAGCTGCCGGTGACTGTTTTGAAATTTATGCCCACAATTTCATCTGGTGATATCACGCTGGAAATGTCTATGCAGAGATGAAAGAGTCTGCTTACCACAACACTAGCGGGGCCCATAAACTCACACACATATATGCAAATTAAAGTCTAAACTCACACAGCCTATTGGGAGGCAATGGGTCACGGTGTGGGCGCAGGAAAAACTAATAACTAGTCAGTGAAGTGCACAAGAAAACTATCCAACCTTCCACGGCGATGATAAAGGTCCTGTATTGAGGTCATTTCTTTTGGGAATGAGGCACACAGTCTTATTTTTTATCTCGACAAGAGCATGCATGTTTGATTTGCAGAACAGGAATCAATGTGACACACCACTGCTGCTTTGTGGATAACTCTCACTGTCCTCCTTTGTCTCTGTCTGTCCAGCTGTTTCGCTTTCAGCATAGTGTTTTCCCTCTTGTCTCCTTTGTTTGCTGCTCATTTGGGTGTATTTCTCTTTCTTGTTTTGTAAACTGTCCTTCACACTTTTTTCTTTTTTCTCCATCCATCCTTCTCTCTAAATCCTTCCTTCTGTTTCTCCCCCATCCTTGTCCTTCACTTTTCCCCAAACTTCCATTATAAAGACGTCTTACTGAGTAGATGCAGCTTTTCATTTTTCCTTAATTTGTAAATCAACCCATGGCCATGCTTCTCCACTGTTTATTTATTTATTTTTACATATGCCCTGTAACTAATCTTCATTATGTGTTTCTCCTCAAGCCTCTTTTGCACCAATCTGCTTTGCCATCAAGGCGAAGGAGAACGACATGCTGCCGCTAGAGAAGAACAGGGTTCGATTGGATGACGATTCAGATGAGGACAAGGTCAGCTTTATGAATTTGTATAAAATATATTAACCATGTATTGGTGCGGATGAGAAACTAATCTTCGAATGATGCCTTTAGTTCTTTGGTACAAACAATAAGTTATACCATGTTTTTGCCTGAAGTTGCTGGAGGAAGGAGGACTGGTAGGGGTGACGGACGGGACTGAGATTATTGAAAAGGACCCTCTTCCAATCACTGCACCAGAGGAGAAGAAACCATCCCTCAGTTTGGAGGAGCTGGAAGCCAAACAAGGTACCATTATCAAATACACATTATATGTTAATTCTCAGGCAGGGCAAATAAAAGGGAAAAAAAGAGATTTCATTTGTTTACATTGATAAACAGTGCGAAAACATGTACACATCTTACCAGCCAAGATTATAAACAGCTCTTTTATGTCACATGCACTTTTTTACAGTAAATTCTATAGCAGTAATAAGGTGTTATGATGAATACAAACTTTGGAGGAGTGTGCCAGAGCCAAGTTTGAGTTAAATTCCTGAAACTAATCAATTTAAAGCTGATTACAGCTCATAAAGCAGGACTATCATTATAAAGAGGATGACAAAGGAAAATCACTGGAGGGGGCCTGGGACACAAGAAAGGTTTTGTCAAGTGAAAACCTCCCAAGAGCTCTCACACTAACCCTCTAATATTCACAGATTTAATGTTTTTGTACCCTTCTCCTTGTCTGAGCGACAAGATCACCTGAGGCTGGATCATTTTATGAGTCTGGAGGACTTGTCTGACCTGTGAATAAACACTCTACTGCTGAAAGCTGATAATAGATTGATCACTGTATTTCATCACATTTTTAGTTGTTTTGGTCTAAATGTTTTTTCATGCTGCTGTTATGGCCAGGACTCCCTTGTAAAGAGATTTAGTTTCTCAGTGGTAATATTCCTGGTAAAATTAAGCTTTAATAAAAATAGATCTACATTATGTTTAAGTTTTGAAATTCAGGCACCATAGAAGCAGGAGACAGATTTTGTAGGTTCATTAAGTGGCGTTAAAAGGAAAAGCTCCTGTAGCCTATTGTTGACTTCACTTCTTCTAAGGCCCACAGACCTGTGAAGAGTCGGTGTTTAAGTCTGCTGACTGTGACAAAAGCTTCATCTGAATTACCCCAATCAGAAATGTTAAGCACCAAAGAGCCAACATTCAAGTCCCCGTTTCTAGAAAGTCCTACCACCAGCATTCCTTCGGACTTTATTAAGACTCGAGTCCTTGAGCTGGAAAGACGCTGACAGCCCGCAAAGGTCCCACTCCCTGCTGAAAACTCCTGTGGTTAAATGCAGCCTCTCTCTCGGGTTTAATGGATTTAGAGATTAGTTCTTCTTCTTGTGACATTGACAGAATGTGAGAAGAGCATTCGATGATGGTTATGACAGAGCCTTTTTTTGTGCCTGTTTACTTTGGGTGAACAAGAGTTTAATTCTTTGTCTAAACATCAGCGTATGAATTAAGATGCTTACAAGACATCTATGTCACATCCACTGGCACGCTGTTATTTTGTGAGAGGGGTAGAATAGCAGGAAAAACAAGAGGGGGAAGAGAGGGAATGAATGAATCCATTGAGTCTCAATTATAAATTCCCTTGCAGCGAGAGAGACGCCATGTAGCAGCGCAAACAGCAGTCATATTTCTCTCCCAAGACCTTGCAAAGATGTACTCTCCTATTTTTGTTCCATACCTTTGTTCAGTCATGGTTGTAGTATTTTTAAATGGGGTTGCCTCACTCTTTCCCAAACTAAACTCATAAATCAGTGACTTTGCATTAAGGACAGCCTACATGGTTGTGTGGGCATATTTTTCTGCACTAGGCTGCACACAACTCTAGAAAAACATATGTTACTCTTAAATTGCTCTGATACAGATTTGTAGGACCTGTACTTTATGAATCCAACAACATGGTGATTATAACTTTTGTTCACAGGCTGTTTTTGCATATGAGATTTTAACACTTTTGTGGTTAGAGTCATCACTCTAAAATATTCATTTATTCCACTCAACCAATGGCCAGAATTTTAAAAGACATACAGAGAGCTGTTCATTACACTTAAAGCTAATTCACTGCATCTTGTCATGATCCAAGACCCCTCGGATTAGGGCCGCAAGATTATTCAATTTTAAATCGTAATCTGATTATTTGATTATGACGATGTGAAAAAAAATTAAAATCGTCAAATCAATTTTCCTATCTATCGTGTTTCGTGCCTCCAGGCCACCGTAGGCTCCCCCTTCCTGCAGGAGTGCTCCCCAGTTCCCACACACACCAGTGTAAACAAACATGGCGTTTGCACAAGAAGGCGATACTTTAGTGGCTAAATAGGGCAAGAGCAAGTCAGTCATGTTAAATTACGGATACGACTTCACAGTTTCAGATGAAGAACAAACCACCCCCCGCTGCAAAGTCTATCTGAAGGTGTTATCAACCCGTTCACACGGAAACGCAAAAGTTTTTTGTCATATCGTTGTTTCGACCAGAATCGGCATTTCAGGTGACTGTTTTGAAAACAGGTACAAGAGTGCGTAAACCCGTAAACGACTACCATTTCACCTCCGTGTGGATGCCCACCATCTCTCTTAAAACGATTATGTCACACGCCTAACTCTTCCTTGGCAGCATTACAGCGCCACTTACTGGCTTGGCATGTGCACTACACCATTGTCAGAGTTTTTGTTTTAAGAAATGATAGCAAAACTTATTATTAAAGTGAAGTTTTCACTGAATAAAAAAAATCAAAATTGCAAATGGAGTTTTCAGAGAAAAAAATCTGGATTTTATTCTTGGCCAAAATCGTGCAGCCCTACCTCAGACGCTGATGAAGATAGTTTACAGAGTTTTGAATGTTAGAGGTAAACACAGACTTGGAGTTTCTTACCATTGGATAATCCAAGGGTTGTTTTCAGGTATAGGCTGTAGAGTAACCTGTTTCCATCTCCATGCTTATACTAGTTTTGATGTTTGCAGATTTTTACCCATGCTGTATTTTTCTGCAGTATTATGGAGCCGTCTTGCAGAGACACACAGTACAGCTGCCAATCCTCCTGTTACTATATTGGCAAAATGTCCTTAAGACAACATATGTCTTCAAAGGCACAGATTTCAGCACCTCATGACATCTCAAAGGATGAATAAATGTGTAGTAATCTCCCTCAGACCGGAGAGACTGGTGCGAAATAGAGCCTGGAAAGACGGGCCAAGAGACGGTTAAGACAATTGTGCCACTTTTCAGCATCAAGGGGGCTGACAGGTCCCGTTTAAGGTTCAGTGAAACAGAATCAGACTGTAATGCGCTTTCTCTGAGCTGACAGACGGCCAAAGAAAGAGGCTGGAAAAGCCTAATAAATAGCTGACTGTATTGGCTTCACTGTGTGGCAAAGTGGCTGTCAGTCAGCAGACCTAACTTGATCAGATAGCAGGAGAATCTGTGGCAGACAGCAGAACCCTAATCTCTATTGATGGGCTGGAAAACTGCCACATACGCTAAATAGGTTCCCCGAGTTAAGTATATGAATTCTATGGGTCACAGTGAACATACTACAGTATATGAACTCATATGGAGTAGGTCAAACATTTTACATATCCTGTGTAAAGATTTGGCCTGCTTATGGACTGTAATACAGAAAGCACACATCCACAATCTTCCACTGTACACAAAAAAGCTGAAACGCTGCCGCGATGACCGCCAGCTGACATCACGCTTTGGTGATGTATTCCAGAGCGAAGAAACGCACAGAAGCAATCCGGCTGTAGGAGCCAGGGTATTGATGTTACGCCTCTTCCACTTCCCGAAGCCCGCTCTCTACTTACCAGTAAAATAGCAAAGATCCCTCCAGGTCAATGCAGAAGCAGAACAGATCCTTGTGCTGATTTGAAGCAGGCGCTCATGTTTATAGAAACTTTCCAGTCTCTGTGTTAGTGTTCATTTTATCTCCTTACACAGTTCCTTTCCTGCCCTGTAAGTCCGGTAAAGATCACAGCAGGAGCTCAAATTAATCAACAGAGCTGTCAGTCACAATGTTTCATCCCTAAATTCTATTTCTTTGCAAACATACCTGTCAGAAGATTATCCTTGCTGATATGTTGTGCCAAATTAGTTTGAGTAATAATCTTGTAATCAGACTCATCCTGGCTGAGATGGTGTAGTGTGTTACCGCCTGGTGTGCAGATGGATTCTTCACTGCTTGGCTATTGTTCTCACTCAACTCAAATATGATTCGCCTCGGCAGCCAGCCTATTTTTAATCCAGAAGAGATAACAGTAGCCCCTACGGTTGCATAACTTAAACTTGTTTTCCACAAGCATTTACTTTGTACTTCACTGTCTCGTCTTGTTTTCTCCGTCTTCCTCTTCCTGTGGCTCTCAGAGCGCAATCCCATTCCTGCGCTCTCTTTACCTTTCTATCCTTTTACCAGTCTCCGTCACTTTATCTCCTCTCCTCATCTCTCAAAACCATACATTTTTTCCCACCCCCAATTTCACTCAGATGTCTGAGTCTTCCACCCACATCTTCCCTCCTACACTGCTTTTTTCTGTATAATCCTTGAATTGCATAAAATTACCTATCACTAGGGAATTAGTCAAGCCTTATCATCAAGAGCAGTAACTTTGTCAAATAACAGCAGCCGCAGATATAGGAATTGCCAGACGTCATCTTAGTTGGACATGAATGTAAGAGCTGAAAACTATTAAAAATCCTTCAGTTCTTCTCCATCTTCTTATTTTTGATCCAGTCCGTCTCTTTCTTTGTCTCATGTTTTGCTCTCGATGTGTTCATCTTTGTCTGCCCAACCTCTCTTTTAATTACTTTCTTTCCAAAGACCATTTACTGGTTGTTAGGAAAAAACCTTGCCAAGTTAAAAGCAGAGCAAAAGCACTCTTTCCTTCCCTCTCGCTGTCTTTTCAATCATTTCCTTCTCCCTCACAGCCTACAGTAGCGCCACACTGTATATAATGACAGTACATTGTGTACAATCTCCATCCAACCCTCTTTCTCTCTGGTTTTCACCCTCTCATCTCCTTGCCCCTTAGCCAAGCAGAAACTGGAGGATCGTCTTGCAGCTGCAGCCAGGGAGAAGCTGGCTCAGGCATCCAAGGAGTCCAAGGAGAAACAGCTACAGGCGGAGCGGAAGAGGAAAGCAGCTCTCTTCCTCCAGACCCTCCGTAGCCCCTCACTGGGAGAGCCTGATGCCAAAAGAGCTGAGCTGGATTCAGCCGCACAGCTTGAGGTACGCGCATGGTTGAGCAAAGTTGGCTGTACGTTAATGCATGTTAACATGTTGGCAGAAACACAGAATCACACAAAATTGTGTCATCTGAAGAGCTTCCATCAATGTAATTTTGTAATGATACTGTATGAATTTAATTAGATTGCTTATCTATAGTTTTCTTCTAATATCTGACTCCAAAAAAGACACTAATTGAAAATACAGTAATGAATTGAGTTGCAATATTCTATACATCCCCCTGTTACACAAAAGTAAACCCAATAAGAGCGCTGAAAGAACCAACCTACATGGCAGAAATAATGTTTTGAAGGTGGGGTCTGTCTTGTCGTGACCCTGCTTACAAGACATGACCAAAAAAGACAAAAAGTACCAAAACTAGACAACTAAACAATATAAAAGTTCATCATAAAATAAGGTGCAAAACTGAAGTCATATACAAAGATGAAGTGTGTGCGTCAGTTTATCAGCATGTCTGTTGTTGGATGAGGTCCAGAGCACGTTGTATGACGTGAAGACCGCAAAGACAGCTGATGCCAACAAAACCAAAGAGAGAGAGGGAGAGCAGGTTGACCGCCCAAAACCCCGCTAACCAGCAACCTGGAGGGCGACAAACACAGGGCCAGCAACAAGGGCAAAAGAAGCAAGGGGAAAAGCTGTCACAGACTTCATTAATAGTTCTGTTATTATATGAGGGCTAACCTGCACTGCACTTAGTCAATAGAGCTTTCACTTTTGGGGACCCGCCATGTCATCTATCTTTGAATACAGCCCATACTTTAAAGCATGGATGCCCCTCGCTGCACTAATGTATCACAGTCCAGTGAGGGTGAGTTTTATCCCTGCACTTTAATCTGTAATCATCAAGTGAAGCATATTCTGATGGCTGATGAACACACTCCTTTGTCTGTCTCATAATGGGCCTGTAAGAGTTGACACTGCAGAAAAATAAGTGTGCTGATGAACTTATCATCTCAAGTATGGAGGGATTTAAGTCAAACCTCTCATTTGGTTAAAGTAAGTCAGTGGACTCGATTGGCTGTCTGAAAGATCCTTGGTGCATGAATTTATCTTTTTAAAGAACAAAGCATCATCCTATTTTCTTACCCCCTTTTGTTAGTTTCTTGATGCACAATCTTGACACAAAATATATAGCAAGGAAAATAGTAGATGCATTAATTCTCTTGATTATTAACAGGCGTGTTGTGGGTGTGATTTGAATAGAGCCGATCACACCGCCATCACTCACTCTCTTTAAATGCCAGGAGCGCCTGCAGGCAGGCTCATGGTAGATTTCAGCCATTATTCTTAAACAGATCAGGCCCAAAACGGCTCACACTCCATCTCTCCCTGTGTGCACGTGGTTTACATCAATGGTATTAAATAACTTGCTGAGTCTTATTTAACAGATTTGGATGTGAAATTAAGCGTTTTTAATCAGATGTGATTAAGTAAAACCACAAAAACAATACACCCTGTAATGCAGCAGTGGCAGTGGACAAAAAAATACACATTTTGTCGGTTCAGATGAAATATAGAGCTGTCTAAATAATATTGAAAAAGTCCACACCCCTGGCTGGACCGGTTCACCCTGAGGTTAGTGGCAAATGTATCAGCTCTACCTCCTTTTTCCAACCATCATTTTTTTTTACATTTGTATCACTTAAAGTTAAACAGCCGTCAAATCTTTGATCAAAGTGGAGATCTAGTCAATGTTAAATTGGTACTAGCACTGGCTCAGTAACCCCACGCAAGACAGTCTTGATCTTAATGTCTGAGTGGGATTTTTAACACAATGGAAGCAGATGGCATTTTTCTCGCTCTCATCCTTAAAAGCATCATTATTGATTTTGTGCAAATGAATTTACAGACACCTACAGTCCATATTGAGCTGATGTGTGTGGTTGTGCTGACAGCAGTAAACATTAAACCATGCATTTAAAGATGAAGAGAACACGTGTGGTCGCAGTAGGAACATCTTTGTGTAAATCAGCCAAATAAAGATGAATACTCCGGAGGTATTTTCATGTCAACGTCATGTTTTTAAATGAACACGTGCTTTATATGGCAGCTCTGCCTTTAAAAAGAAGTCATACTCCTGGATAATGAAGGAAATAATTTTTGATTTGAAGTAATAGTAGTAGTAACTCTGGTAGTTCTTCTGCCTTAGCGTCTCTGTCTGATTACATTTCCATGAAGTAATAATCATAAATGTTCTTCCTTGAGCTGCGAAACTCCGCTGCCCTTGGTGATCAATTGTCAGGGCTCCCCATGACGAGGATGTCTAACTCAGGGTTACAGTGTGTTTGACCACAACTTAAATTTACGCCGGAATAACCCTTAAAGTTATTCTTGATAAATATATAGATATCTCTGACAAATGTATCATTAAATAAAAGTATCAAAAAAATTACAAGCTCAGTGTTATTTAAGGACATCCTGTAATGTTTTTGTAAAGGACTGCACTTGTTTAGTCCTTTTCTAGTTTTATGACCACTTGAGTATGACAGTCTTTTGCACACCACAACCAAAACCTGTCATTAAGGATCATTTAAAAAAACGGTAACCAGAATCCCTTCCCTTTATCTATCCACCGTTTCTGTCGTCTCTTTTGATGCTCCCCAGAGATAATGGTTTTAAAGTCTCCTTTGTGAGGTTTAAAAAAGTGCTGCAGTAATGAAAAATCCAAGTCCTTTGTTCGGTCATACCCAACATACTAAACAAAAAGACTGGAGGACTTTATAGTGTAAATAAGACTCATTTGATGTGTAGATTGCCTGTCGGTGTGATGGATGTGAAGTGTCAGCTTCTCATGTGATATGCCGTGTGCTGGCCTGTCGCCCGTCAGGCCAGGTGGTCGCAGGGAGGCTCCTGTCACGGCTGTGCCAGCTCTGTAGCTCTCCTCCAGATGTGTGACTTCAGCAGAGTGTATGTAACCCAAAGGAACCACCGCCACTTGAGATCGATGGCTCCTGAGGGGGAAATGGATGTCTCTTGTGTGGGTTGATGCTCAGTCTGTAAAGCACAGTCTTTGAGGACTTCACAGTCAAAAAGTATTTAATGCGAAACAGTAAAATAGAAACTTTCTATAAGGCCCTTCAGAGTACACGAGGTGGTGTAGACCACTGACATGTACAGTTACAAGAATAAATCTGATCTGTTAAACTGAGGAAGCAACATTTTCTGACTGCAGTGGATTATGATATTGAGAGATAAGTGTGATTTGTCTTTTCCTTTTCTCTTAATTCAAGTGGCTTATTTGATTCAGAAAGGATTTTCTGGTAGAAGAAGCATTTTGGGGACAAACACTTCCTAAATTTGAAGCTCACATGTTTTTGAAGAAACTAAAAATACTGATTCCAGAGAATTTTCTTACAGCAACATTGTGTACCATGAATCTTTTGAGGGCAGGATAAAAGAATTACATACAGTACAGTACGCTGAGGCTTACCAAGGTTTGGAGTGGGATATGAATGCTGATGCCATTTTATCGTAGCAGAGTTGGGCGACTTGTATTTGTTGATGTAGGCTTGCTGTGCTTACAATTGTGCTCATCATGTTGTTTATGTGACAGCTCCACAGTAGCTCGAGTACGCTTTCATGAGTAAACAGAACCCAATGAATAAGCCTTACAGGCCTGCCCCTCTTTGCTTTTGTCAGTGACTCTTTCAGCGGGATGTTTCTCTGACTTTGCTTGGTATTGTTTGGAAAGCAGTTGGAGAGTTAGAGCCTCCTCTTAAACTCTGGTTGTGATGGCAACTCCAGACGACATCAATAGCTAGCTGCAAACACACTAAGGTTTCTGACCAAAGCAGTATGGTTTTGTTAAAGGAGGCATTCCTGCATTAACCCTTGTTCCTCTATTGTGAGTTTGAACAGGTCAAAGAATTGGATGAGCACTTTTCAGACACGGACCTTACAGCCACCATCCATCTGTTCAAGTTTTCCTTTTTGGTCAGTCTGACTCTCATTATTTGAATAGACCTGTGAGCAGCTGATGTCATTCGGACATATTAGTCAACCTTCAACACTGAATTAAGGTTGTGGGTGCCAACAGGATCAAGACTTTTTCAGAGCAACCTGAGTTTCATCAATGGGTGACATTTAGCCAAATGAGTCTGTATTCATCCTGGTGACAGCCAAGGTTATAATAGTTGAAAACCTTTGTTTTGATTTTGATTTGAGCTCAGTAGTTTTGGGTTAGTTTTTATCGTTTTAGTGATATTTTTAATTCTTCATATTGATCTGAAAGGACCTGCAAAGGTATTGGAAAAACTCAAACTGTTTGAAACCTCAAACCCCAACAAGGGCAAAAAAACATACAAGCTTTATTGTTATGGAATCACAACATCTACCCAACAATAAGTGCGACTCATTGGTGTGTAGACTCACACACTCTATACCACCCCAGTCTAGAGAGGCTCCAGCTTATTGATGTGTACCTCACTGCAAGTACATCATGTTACTTTGCTCGGCAACAGGTGGACCTGTGCAGGGCAGAATGGACTGTTGGTAGAAGTGGGAGAAAAAATTGATACAGCATAGTATTGCGATATTTTGTAGTATCGATTTTTCAAATTAATCGCTAATATGAAGTCAAATCTATGATAATAAAGGAAAGGATATAAAGGAAATCAAAATGCTAAATTTGCTAAACAGTTGAAAAAAATATATAAATAGCAATATATTGTATCGCAGTACTCACTGTATTGCAAAATGTTAAAAATCACAAAAATATCGTATCATGGCCCAAGTGTCATGATAATATCATATTGTGGGGCCACTGGTGATTCCCACCCCCAACTGTTGGTGGAGTAAAGCAGGCTACAATGAAAGACAGAGACTGAGTTTTCACTCTGGTAAAAGTTGAAAGTTGGATAACTGCACGAGGGTGTATGTCCATGCAGTGTGCAGCTCTCTCTCCAATGAAGCCTGTGTTATTAGCAGGAAAATAAATCTTCTTTTGACTAAAGTGGTTCTGCTGTAAGTAACAAGAGAGCATTTCAGTTACACAAGAGGCTCTTCAGTTTTCGTTCACTCATCAGTGTAGCAACAATCATGACAGAGTTTCATATTGAACAGAATAATATGGATACTAATCAGGAAAAAATAAAACACTAAAACACTATTAATATATATTTTTTCAGTTTCTCTTTTTTGCCTGTCAAGTCTGAGTTGTTCCACTTTGAGCCCAGTCAGAAAGATTTCCAAACCACCGTTATTGTATTTTTCTTAAGGTTTCATGTCCTTCCCATGCAAACAAAGAAGAGCCTTACATTCCTAGAATACATAAATATATGATATTGTTTTTTTTATAGCTGAGATTGGACCCAGTGCACCAGTGTTTTTATTTTCAACTTTCACTTTAATTTAAAGAGCCTGTTAAACATTTAACTTTTAATACGTTTGATAACATAAAAGAAATGCAATCTCCTCTCACTCTCTCTCTCCTCTCTTTACTTCTTATTGTTACTTCACTAACTGTCCCAAACTTCCCTATCTTTCCCAGGCAGGTGTGCGAGGGCAGGCGTTTTCTCAGCCTGCTGTTGGGATAAGCCTCCACGTGTCAGCCCTAATTTTAAACCAGACCTTACTTCCATCATTTCATTATCTCTACCTCAGCCCCAAACACCAGATAGTGAGCAAATAGAAACGTCTAATAAATATTCCCCCTGTTATTGACTGTCTTCTGCTGTGAACTCTTTGCCATGTTTCTTTCCAGCCTGCTCTTCTTTGACTCATCTGCCTCCCTCTCTCTCATCATCATCATCATCTACTCCCCCTCTTTGGTCTCTTCTTTGTGTCACTTCCTTTTATACCTCACCCGTGTCTTACAAATGTCAGCAGATGGGTTAGAGGTGGGGCAGTTGAAATAATGTGATTGAAGTCATGGCATGCCGTAATTTCCTTTCTGTCACACATGCTCATAATTTATCCCTTGAGCAATCCTACCATTTATGCTAATACTAGTCTATAAAATGTGTCTTCCTTTATCCAAATGCTCTTCTAGTACCAGAGAAGCATACATATGTAGCACAAGTGACCTGAGAAGCCATCTACGGCCTGACACTGCAAGATAAAGCCTGACCTTGGAAGATTTAGTGTCATGTTAATCCACTTTGCAGGTCCAGATCAATCCAACATGAGCAGACAGACCCACATTGGGTTAATTAGAGTAACTTTACAGCCGGTACTTGTAACTTAGTGTATAACCAGAGGGCTGCACATAAATAATGTATCAAAGCAATTTCAATCAGCTGAGTTGGAATATTCTAGAGGAGCTCTGTTATGATCCGGCAACCCTTTTTCAGCGCGCACATGCTCTCAAACGTATGATGTAGTGGACAGCTTGATCTCTCCCCTTTTTTATCAGCTATTTCTTTCTTTCTTTCAAAAACAAACAGTTTGAGAAGGAACAGAATGAAGCAAAAAGCTTATCTAGTCCTGCTTCATCCTTGCAAATCAGAGCCAATAATGTATAGAAAAAAGAAAGAAATAATCTAATTGTTTAAATAACAAGAATCTGTATAAATATCTTCTTATTACACACAAAGATATCTGCTCTACACTGCATATGTTGCTTAATATAATTATTTGCATATTTTAATCATAATCAGTGTAATAATATTCAGAGTTAATATTACTTCTATACAATCGAGTCAAGTTAGGATAAAATCATGTTTTTGTTAGTTTGTTTATATGAATCTTTTAAGACTTCTCTATAGTGTGATTGAAGTATTTTTAAGTATTTAACACCACAAACAGAAATGCACAGACATCTGAGAGTTGTATGGACAATCGGACTAATGAATTTATGTTCACCTCTACTGCTGAATATCTAGGAGTAGGAAGACACAGATGCTAACGATTGCTATAACACTAATTGAATTTTTGGAAATTCATCTGCTCACATCATGGCATACATGATTAATGAATACATTAAAACAAGTCAATGTTGTCAGTCCTTTCTTGGTTTGCTTTTTCTATCTGAACCAGTTTTGAAAAAGACCCCCTGTGTTTGTCTAAAAACTGCCTTCACTGATATTTTTTTCTCTTTGTCTCGAACATTGTCCCTCCAGATCCAAGAAGCCCTGTCTCTACTGTGTGACCCCGCACCCCCTCAAGTGTCCTCCGCACCACTCGCTCATCCTCAGGATCAAAGACCCTCCACGGAGAGCCAAGGAGCGCATCGCAGCAGGGAGGCCCCATCCGCGTCTTCTTCATCCTCCTACACTACCTCCAGAGGAGCAACCAGAGACAGAGAGAGAGACAGAGAGCGGGATAGAGAGAGAGAAAGAAACAGAGATAGAGATAGAGACAGAGAGAGGGAGAGGGATACAGACAGGGAGAGAGACAGAGACACAGACAGGGGCCGGAGGGACAAAGACAAAAAAAAGAAAAAACACAAGAGAAGGTCAAGATCAAGGTCACGATCAAAGAACAGACACTCTCTTCCCAGTGCCTACAGGAGGTCCCGCAGGTCTCGGTAAGACACCAAGCTCAATATCTTATTTTGATTTTTTTCCTCCCACTGTTTGTCCTTTTTATCCGAAATTTTCTAGTACAGTTGGAGAAATAGGACTTTGCTCAGCGTAGCTCTCTGATTCAGATCTTAATCGGCTTTTGCTGCTGATTCTACACAAGGGATCGAGTACTTTAATGCCTCCTGTTGGTTTTTCTGTGTTGGACTATTTACTGTTGTAATGCTTCCTCAGTGCAAAGAGATTTTTTTTTTTTTGGAGTGAAATACTGACCAAAGTTGAAAAACACCAACGCAACCTCAATTTAACATGGAGAAGGTAATGACCGAGTGTTTCAGAAACGCTTCTTATACAAACGTTAGCAAATCCAACAACTGCCCCTTCACATGGTGGTCAGACATAACAGGATAACATAAATTTAAAAGATGAATATGCTCGTCCTTTCCTATCTTTATTCCTGCTCCAAGTGTCGTCAAAGAACAAAAGTAAGATTAAAGGGAAATAAAGGTGTAAAATAACCTTAGTTAAAGCATTATAGGATTGAGAGGAGTTAAGAGACCAAAGTGTCTTATGTGTGTGTGTCATTTATTCATCAGGCTAAAGTGAATGATATTGACCAGACAGGTTTGTTTTGCCCATGAAGCGCTGAACATTGATTTTAAAAAACAGGTCAAATTTCCCGTTTTAAGTCAGGTCTTTAAATAAATATAGGAGAAGTGAATAAAGATCGTAATTTATCCATCAATATTTAATGATGTTTTCTTCCTGGCTGTTTTACAACAACCTGCAGAAAACTGTGTTTACATATTCAGGGTCCATATGATGTAAGGCTGTTTCAACCATGTGTCTTGCTTTCCTGCAGCCCAGTTGCACAGTTGTTTGGCCGGATTTTTATGCCTCACCGTAAATTCTGACATATTAAGGTCTTCAAATAATCTCATAGAATCTCTGCAGTCTTGCAAAAGCCTCATTTCTTATTCCTGGTTTTTTGAGTTCCTTGAAGACCCCTCCTGATTGCTCCCCTCGTTTCTTCCTTTCGCACATTACCTCAGTCATTGTCTTATCAGCCTCCTCTCTTGCTCTTCATTTTAAATTCATCAGCTCATCTGCCAGGCTCCACATTCTGTAATTTAATGGCTTCCCCCCATCTCACACTGTCTTTGTCTCCTCGTCTGGCCAGATCCCGTTCACACTCCCCCGGGAGGAGGGACAGAAGGGGCCCCTCGTCAGAGAGGAGACGTGAGGAGAGAGAGAGGGGGCGAGAGCGCTATCATCCCAGCAGCAGCTCTGGCCATCCCAGGGGGCATTCAAGATCCAGGTAAACCTAACAGCAGGTGTTGTCAGTCTCTGCTGAGAGGAAGAATCACGAGTCTTCTTGCACAGCTGCTTGTGTTTTACCGCTGAAAGGATCGATAATTACGCTCAACAGGGCAGATCGAGGCGCCAACAGAGCCACACTATAAAACGTAGTCTTAAATTTTTGATACTCATTCATCAATAAAACAAGGAGGAACCATAATTTATGATTGGATAGATCTAGCCGCACATCCATGATGCAAACAGCAATATTTAAGAGTGAATACTTTGGTGTCCATAAGCAGGGCAGAAGACAAACCAATCAGAAGAAAGAGAAAAAATTCCCCCGATGATCTGTAACTGACAGTTCCTGTTTGCATGAATTTTAAGTAAGCTCGCTGTTCCTGCCTGTGTTGCACACCTTTAATTTATTGTTTTCAGCAGTGTTACTAAATAAATCTTTATTTTCCTTTTCTTGTTTTGCCTTTCAGGTCCCCCGCAGAAAAAAGAAAAAGCTCCAAGTCATCCTCAGGACATATGCAAACCGCAGGTTCCTCCTTGTCCCCGTACTTCTCACCCAGCAGAGTTTTGTCCCCGTCAGCAAGCCCCGCCTCCAGCCTCGGTCTCTCCAGGTAACCCTCTACAAGCTTGTCACTAAGTAAGCTTGGCACTTGTATTGCTTTCCTAAGGTTAAACAGAAAGTCTGTTCACTCGAGTTTGTTTGAAGGTTTTTGGTCTCGAAGCTACAAAACATGCACTCCTCTAAACTCTAGATTTGTGTTCCCGAGACCAAAAGATTGTTTCCTTCAGGCCAACACACAGAGAGACGTCCAAAAGTTCAGTGTAACATAGTTAAGTATTAAATCACCGCAACTGCACTGATACATCCTGTTTAAGACCAAACCATGTGTTCAAGTATTGACCATTTACAACATCAGTAAGCGAAACTATGCACTGCAAGCCTTTCAAGCTTTGGGATCCTCACGTGGCACTGCGGGAGAAGAACCTTTATGTTTAATGAATTTGGAGGGTGGTGTCTATTTTTAACAAAAACAAAAAGCAAAAGTGAGTCATCAGCTCTTACGAAAGCTGTAAATGTTTGAACCCAGACTATAAACTACATCATGTGGGGTCCAAGGAATCATAAACACCAGCCCCAATAAATGATAGTGTCATGTTGTCCTCATCTGTGAAATATTTAAATCAATGCATGATGTTCAAAATCATAAACATCCCACCTTTGCGTTGTTTCTACATTGGGGCTCAGAGAAAGATATATTAATCCCTTTTACACTCAAAGTGAGTAACTAATGAAACAAAGACCTGTTTGTTAAACTCAAATGAACAGAGTCTAACCCGATAAGTTGAGCAGCTATAGCTTTAAATATTTTACTAACAAGAAGCTGTTGACATTAAAAATTAATATCTCCATCCTAAAAAATGTACAAACATGAAGTCATTATTAAGTCTTGTCATTGTCATCTATGTACGGTAGTCTCACCCCTAAGTCGCTTCAAGCACCACTGTAATTCTGACAGTGAATATGTAACTGTAGTGCGTTAAACAAAGCCCTGCCCTGCTTTCTGAAAGAATTTAAAACCCTGTATGGATGGAAAAAGACTGGAAGCATCAAATCTGACGAGCCGCAGATATGATGGATTAGTGCCAGCATTTTTCATTCTCAAGGTCTTAAGGCACAAATGCTTTCTTTGTATGGACAGTCTCTTCTGATGTCTCGGGGTTTGTTGTTGTGTACTTCATGAAATTCTCTGAACAAAACTGCAAATATTATTTTAAAACTGCAAAATAAAATCAGCGCTCCCTATGAGCTCCTCCCCCACATTTTCCCAAACAAATGTTATACCCACTGTACTACAGGAGCTAAAGTAGGTCATGCCAATATCAGCAGCAGACAAGTGTGCCTACATGAAAAACATTCCCTTTGCAAGCACTGACAGTGAAATAACGCTTCAGCATGACGATGTAAATGAGTCTTTTTAGGCGGATTTGGACATTTACCTTAGAGGTCGAGAACTATACTAATCAGCAAACAGGTGATGTAGTGGGCCAGAGCTAAAACTGTGTATCAGATAACAGTAAACATTTCCATTGAGGCAGCTAACAGGCTTCCCTGCTGAAGTTGCTTTCGGTCGTATCACTGCAGGCTAATGTCAGGGCTTGTTTACACTCACTCTCAAATTTTATTCATAGCGAAGCAATTAACTTCCCTGAAGCAGCAGTGGCAGATGTTCAATTAAACATGCATACCAGTGAAATCAATTTGTACCTGCTTAAATATTACTGGTTTATCATGCATTTGGTATCAGCCAACTCAAGTGGTTCCTCTTCAGGAGAGAGTATTGGAGACAGACACATACACACAGAGACAGACAGGCACACAAACTCAGCCTGTGTTTAAAATGAAACAGAATTAATTGTTGGAGTGATTGAGTTGTCTTGGAAATACTAAACACCAGTAAAACAATACTAGTTTCCTCGGAACACTCAAGGACAAACAAATCAGTTTATCTCACTTTTTATTCTGAGGGTTCAGCTGAGCGAAAGAAGACAATTCACAGTTTTTAAAACACTCTTTTCTAGGGGGAAAGAGATTTAATCATTCACTCTAATCCCTGATATACGTCCCCAAAAGTTAAAGAAGTAGTAACTGGTATGTGTTGCATGACCACTCTGCTCTCAGGTCAACTGAGGCAGGAGAGGGAGCAAGAAGAGGGAGAGAGGGCTGCAGACATCTGTCACATTAAAGCTCGCTCCTGCAAACTAAACCTGATTGGTTGCGTGATTTCCAATGGGTGATATAATACAAAGGAGCAGGCGCTCGCATACACAGAGCAGACACACGTTATAATTCAAACTGAATTTCTGATGAAATATCGTTGCCTGTGTTGTAGCTTTAAGAGAAACAGCCTCGTGTTCAGGAATCGCATGTTTTGCTTCTATTTGAGTGTGTCTGCTGTGGAGTGCAGGGATTTTATAGAGTAGAGAAAAAGTGATTAGTACTACAGTTCGTTAATGACTTCCTCTCTGTGTGTGGGCGCACAAACGCCTTTACAGAAGTAGAGTTAGAGTCATGAGTACGGTGGCCACACTGGTAAAAGCTGGTAGGGGTCGAGGGTATCCAGAAAGACTATGCAGGTTTTGGAGTTATCTAAATGAGAGACAATGCTGCATTCAAGTTAATAATGGAAGATGTTATTTACTTCTGTGGGACATAACCAGTGAGGATCTGGTTTCAAAGGAGAATAAAGTAGTGGTAGTACTCCTGCCATTTCATACAGCTGTGGTTTCCCCAAGAGGGGCATTTTTATTTTTATTTTTTCCATACTGGGCGATCATGTAACGCTCAATGCAAAAATGAGAAGTTGCATTGAGCAGGTTGATATAGGGCTGTCCCAACATGATATTGATATTGGATATCGGTCTGATATCAGCCAAAAAATCAAATATTGGGTTGTATTGGCCTGCATCTAAAATCTCCTGTATCAGCAGTACAAGCAGTCCATTTCAGACTGCAGGCTGAATCCGGGTGCTACTAGCCAGAGGTGGCGGACTCCACTCCGCACCCGGATCCAGCCTGCAGAGCCCATGTGATCACAACAACAGTGTGTATTAAGGTACATACAAAGTAGCAAGGAGTAGAAGTGATGTTGGCTGTGTGGTAGTATTTTTTTGTTAAAGTCTGAAATAGACATCGCAGCTAAGTGCAAAACTTGTCATGCACAAGTTTGTGCTAATATTGGATCAATATCGGTTTCAGCCGATACTGAAGGCTACAATATCTGTATCGTATCAGAAGTCAAAAAGTTGTATCAGGACACCCCTAGGTTGATAGCGATCTGAAGACTGCCCACCAGTTCAGTCCAACGTTCAAAAAAAAATCAAGTGATTTTAAAAGGTTTATTTTTGCAGCTGCTTCATGGAAATGTTTTAAAGCTTGTTAAAAGAATTGGGTTTGCTTATCTTCAGTTTGTGTAATCCAGTGTAACTTAAATTACTGTGATGTTTTCTCAAGACACATTATTTTTTACTTTTTAATGATGACACACCGTGTAAATCAAAAAAAGGATGCTGAGCTCACCGAGTCAGATATTCATCTGAGAGAAACCATAGATTTATGCTTCAAAGGTAGCTTTTGCTTTTTTAAGAGTACCTGCAGAGCTTTCTTACCAGTTAACAGAGTGTAAACATAAATATGTATATTATTTCACTCTGAAGTTTTTCACCCTTTAATTTCCCTTTTGAAATCTGGAATTTCCTCCCTGTTGGGACTAATAAAGGAATATCTTATCTTAAAGTTTGTTTCTGTCTAGAGCTGGTTTTGTCAACTTTGACTTTGTCAGTCTTTCTTTAAAGGGTACAGCAATACTAGAGCAGCATGCTTTAATAACCCCAGGCGATGTGAGTGGTGTACCACACATTTGACTTCCACGCTCACTTTTACCCACTCCAAACTGTCCCACTTTTTCATGAGGGCTGAAGCCTGAAAACCCCAGAACATCATCAGCAGTCTGTTCTGCAATTTCTTGTCACCTGTTGTGTTCAATCAAGTTGACGTGCATAACTTTTTTCTATTTTAAAAATCCCTTGATAAATTATGGAGTGTTCAGCGCGGGGAGATTAAAGGCTTTAGACAGAGCCATGAAGCAGAATTTCAGGCCTGCGTTTTTTGGCACTTTTCCTGTTTGTCTGCATGATTATATACTTGGCTGCATTTGACATTGTTGACGCAGAGGTAAGTCTTCAGAGGTCACATGTCACTCCTCCCTCACCTCTCTGTCTTTACCCTCTTCTCAGTTTTCCCCTTCCTTTCAGGCCTCTCAGCGATGTCTAACTTTGAACATTGCAGAAGATATCATGAATATTGTATAGCCTGCCCTGTTAACATGATTGGTTTTTCTCCCTCTCTCTTTCACTCTATTGTTTGTCTGCGTCTCTCCCTCCATCTCTTCTCTCTACAGGGGAGGATCCCAAGAGAAAGACAAGGCAGTGTCCTCATCCATAGTATCCTCTGTTCAGTCCAAAATAACTCAGGTATTGTTCTTTGCTTTTATCTCATTTAAGACTTTTGCTGATCTCCACAGCCGGTGGGATACAGGCTTTAAGTGTTGTTCTTTGTTTCCATCAGGGAAAGTGCATAGACGCAAAGTGCTGTACATTTTCACAGTCAAAAATATACCCTATTCTTTATGTAAGACCTTCAAAAACCTTTTGTTGAAAGTCTTGAGAGTGCAGCTCTCAGTACAATCATGCTTTGTGTTCAGCTCTGGCTTCTAGTGGTATTTATGGCATTTTGTTCACCCTTAAGGTTGGACTTGCAACACCATTAGCAACGCACTATCCTTTCAAAAGCATCCAACAACATTTGAACGCAACATGTTACCCCACAGCTGACCATTAAAACACATAGTTGGCCTGTAACGGGTGTCGAGGTTTGCAAACCACTGATATTTTCCTGAGTACCATTCCTGTGAGTGAGCAAGCTGCCACCAATTTCACCCACTTAGAATAACAGCTCAAATTTTGGGTCATTTATAACAGGAGGAAGATATGTGTGTTAGCGCACTACCAACGGATAGCATACAGTGTGAATATACCGAAAGGAACTCCTGGACGGTGTGTCTTTTTCAGCGCCCTCAGTATGTCTGCAGTTCATCGATTGCTGACCTAGACGCTTGCCTGTACTGTTCGACGTGGTAAAGTGCTGCTTCAGTCAACCAATTATAAATAAGATAGACCGTTAGTACGTTTTCATTCACAGTTAAAGGGATATTCCTGCATAAAATTAAGTTAAGGTCAAACACACCGTAACATTGAGTTAGACACCCCCTTGAGAGATGAATTTTGCTGACTGTTTGCTTCTCTAGTTAAACCAACTTTAGTAACGACTGCATGATAACAATACACAGAGGTCTACATCTCTACCGAAACCTCAACCAAAAAGCCACTCTATAGCCACCCTGGTTAAAGTATGGCACTTTTATACTTGTATAAAGTATGCCTGAGATACTTGTGCCACAACTTATTACAGGTTTGGTAAGTTTTTGAATAATGGTTAAAGTCATTAAAACATAAAGTAAAATTCCTCGAAACAAATGAATTCACACAGAAATGATAACACTTCTGTTTTCACCATAAGGTTTTCAAATACCTGATTGTATCAATATGCACTGTCAAATAAGTCATTGTGTTGAAAATCAAGTGAAAATTGGAAAAAGCCACTTTTAGATTTTTTTTGTTGTTGTTGTTGCAATTATGAAAATTGAACTTGTGGGAGAAAGTTCAATTTTCTTTCTGTAGATGATGGAAAAATGTATGAAGGTGGGATAAGAGGGTAAGGAAATGGGAGTGGGACGAGGGGTGAAGAAAGGGGGGATGGAGAAGTTAGTTTGAAGAGAAGGGGTCAGAAGTAGGGAGCTGAGGAGTCGTTGACCGTTTCCTCTTCTTCAAGCTCTTTGGCATCCTAAAGCCCAGAAAATGCCTCGTCCTTTTCAGCCATCTCTTCCTGACGTCTGCCATTGTGGTCAGGCTAACAGGAGCTCTCATAGCCTCCTGTTGAGTCTTAATAACAGTGGAGACCTCTGTTCTTTAAATTACAGCAATCACACTCCAGGCTCTGCATGCAACCCCTTTTTCCAAAGAACAATGCTTTCTGTGCTGTACTTTCACATTAGATGGAATAATCATCATGACAACAGTCGAGATTCACTTGCAGTTGCAACTCAATTTATTATTAATCAAAATGCACACTACGGCTAAAATTATGAGTGGCCAAACTGCTATTAAAAGTCTCATTTCAAAAGCACAACTTTAATCATTACTAAGTCTTCTTCTTTGGACAATATATTAGATGATAAGAAGTTCATTTAAAGTAATGGCCATGTGTATTTACGTGGCGATATTAGCTGTAGCTTTTTTGTGGCTTGAGGGAAGTTTACAAAACTTTCTAGCTGCAGGTGTTGGCAGGGGTTATGGTTTTTCAGCCAAGTGCTCATGTTGGATTTGATTGTAAAAATAGTGTTTTAAAAAGGAGGGGAAATCCCAAAACAATCTGTTGTCTTAAATTTAAGAGATTAATCAAAACATTTTTAACAGCCTTAGACCTGTTCACGGAGGGAAAAAAATGGTCCCTCAGCTTTTGCATTATCACAAAAGCTGGCTTGTTTCATATGTTACATAAAAAGTAGCCTAGTGATGGGCCACGTCTGTCACCCATGATAGAATATATGCATGGCGGTGCACACATTAATCACAATGTAACCTAGAAACACATCTGGCCAATAAATTCTCACCCCAGAACATGTTCCCCTTCACTCCCACTTGTTTGAAATTCTAATGTCCAATTTATGGCTGCTTTCCTGCTGCTTCAGATTTGCACCTTAATCACATGCAAGGACATGCACCTGATAACAGAAGGGGAGGAGAAGGGTACACGAACTTCATAAAAAGGTGTTATGATGTTATTTTTCCAACTTTATAAGATGTTTATGTCTCTTGCTGGTTGAGAAAATGGATAAAATATTGCAATCAGTGGTAATAGCAGCTTGTTTTCTCTTTGTTGTTATTCCACTGTTTTGGCAGCTCTCCTCTGATATCCAGCACTTTTAAGATTAATTTAAACGTCTTGTTGATTTGATTAACTTTGACCGCTGTAGGGACACAGTCAGGCACCCCTCAATACCGACTCAAAATAAATCACCTTGATTTGTCAAAAAACTTTGAACCAATCCACGATGAAAGACATTTCCTGACATCCATGGCTGTAATTATAAGTGCTCATTGGTTTCTGAGCCTTGATCAACATCTTTGATTGATAACCCTGAAATATCAGTAATTTTATTTCTGCTTGTTACTTCACTCCAAGAGGAGATGAAGTGTTTTGATTTATTGATTCTCATTAGCACTTAGAGAGCAGGGCCCTGTGTTTGTATTAATAGAGAATATAACCTGTAGCCTTAATAATGTATTGGTGATAAATTATTTAGTACTGAGAGTATAAGAAATCGAGTGTAGCAGCAGTAATATCTACAAGAAAGCAGAGTTGCACTGAATATAGAGAGGCTGCAGTCTGGGCCAGAATGCAACAAGCATGGGGACTGAAGCTAATGGAGGTCAATAGACTGTGAATGGAGAGGCAACGTGAGCAACTCTGTGAACAGTGTTACAGCCCACACTGAATCAGGAGTGCTGCGCCTCTTCTGTGAGTGACAGAGTGAGTTTTTGGCGTTTACTCCTCGCAGATACAAAACAACACATTTCTCATCTCCTCGCGCTTCTCTCATCGACGAAAACATCTTCTGTCTCGGTCTTTCTCATCATGTCGAAACAAACAAACACTTTTCCCCCCTCCTGCCTTCATCTCGACATCCCCAACAGACGATCGCTCATGAAAACATGCTGTTCACCAGCATTGCAACATGCACAGATTCACAAGCACTAACTACTTGTACCCCATCTGTGATGTTTTACAAACACATCTTGAATAATTCAGCACATCCTCATCTGCCTAATGGTCTCTTCCTCCCTGAGGGTGCCTGCTAGCTGTTCGCCTCATCCGTCTCTCATTTTCCTCCTGTTTGTCGCTCTTTCTCCATCTTTTGTCCCTCTCTGCTTTTTCTTTGATAGATGATTGGTGCACCTTGAAAGCAGCCTCTGGGCTTTATTTTAGGTCTTTTATGATAAAGGTAGGATTGTTTTTTTTATTCTCTAGGAAGTTAATATGTATCTGTATGGAGCCCTAGAGTGGCCATAAAAAGAAAACGATGTACCCAAGATTGGACTCAATCAAAAAGCTGAAATGTTGTTGTGTTCACACCAGATAAAATTTGTTCTATTAGTTTGAGTTATTCAGAGGTAGAAAAGCAAACTCTAACCGACTCAAGAACCTCAACAAACGGGAAAATAATGCTTTTGGAATAGTTTAACTTTGACCTTGTGATGATAAGTCATCGGTTTTATTCTCATTGATAAGATCATACTGTTTAAGGAGTGAGCAGACATCTCAGCTGTTATCTCGACAGATAGGAGCTTTCCTTGACCAATCCTTCCCCACTTCTCCTCTACTATGGAGTGACCGCTGTTTGAAGTCACGCCCACAGCTGAATGGAGCCCCTTTCATCAAGGCAGAGGGATCACATAAAACCTTAAGCTCTGGGACAATCTCCCCTCACTTCCACTTAAAACATTCAAATAACCATGGTTACATGTCATACCAATATTTAGCAGTTGATATAAATAACCATTAAGTAGACTTTCTTAAATCCATCCTAAATATGTGGAAAAAGCATAGTACTGTAAATTATGGAGCGTCTATCATGATGGGCAATAATCGGTGTTACACAGGGTGAATAAGCAAGTATCATTCCCACAAAGCACATCTTTACCTGCTGGCTGACTTCACCATTACAGCTCCAGGGGGTCACTCAAGGTCACCTGTTAAAGGGAAATTCCAGCATAAATTTGAGTTATGGTCAAACACAACGTAACACCGAGTTAGACACCCTCTCGAGAGATGAACGCTGCCGACTGCTTGCTTCTCTAGTTATACCAACTTCAGCAACGACCGCATGATAGCAACATACAGCTGTCTACGTCTCCTCATGCAAACCTCAAAATGTAAATGTACTTAAATGTGCGCTGGAATATCCCTTTAACACTAGCTAAAATAGTGCTGTGCTTTACAGTGACAAATGCATACAATGAGAAGGCTTCCCCTTGTCTTGTTCTCAGTGTGCATCAAAGTGGTCTAAACCTTGTACTCAACAGACTATAAAAAGACAACTCAGTCCCACATACGTTGGCTGCTTGTTCGGTTGAGTTACAGAAGTCCTTGCAGATGTACTTTGTGTGTGACAGAATGAGAAACAGACTGATCTGATTCATGTTTTTAATGACAGCTCTTTTCCTGCTTTACCAATGGCAGAGCCTTGGAATGATTCCCCTGTCTGTTTAACCAAATACTTCCCACCGCTGTGAGTGACTGGAGTAGAAGAGGTTTGGCCTCTGACAGCTCCCTGGCCGCTCCCAGCAGCGGGATCAGCACCTTTGAGAGTGTTTTGGCACTCAGTCGGGACTATTGTGCTGCTGCTGCTGACAGATTGTACCATGCACCAACTCAAAAGCATTTTAAGCAATCAATGCAGCACAGCATGGCCAGGATTAAGATAAAGTATGCTTTGTTTAGATGGCCACTTCCCGCATGTTAAACAGGGTTTGTTTTGTTTAATTTTGCGAGTATTGCAAAAGAAAAAAAGCAAGGTCCAATCTAACACAAAATCCTGTCCAAAGTGTTAATGTGATTGTGTGCCTCAGAGAAAGAAAAATCATTATTTTCTCAACAGTTGTGGCCGTTTTAGTGCATAATAGTGTGTCTCTGTCTGCATTAAGTAAAATATGGTGAAAATTCCTTTTTGTGTACAATGAAACAAATTTACTGAAGTATTTATAGGTATTTGAACCTTAACTGAGGCTAACAAATGAGCGATCAGGATAGTAAATGCACAGTTATGGGATCACCCCTCCTGACCAACTCTTGTCAAACAAGATATGAAATAAAGTGAATAAATATACAGCTCACTCATCCAATCCCACCCACATCCTTTACTTTCAGATAAACCACATGATGTTTCAATGCCATCTAGGCTGCTGTAGACTGAAGTTGGTTTTAGTGCCGCAGAGTTCAATTGTTCTGATAAAGAAGAGAGTCAGATATTTCCTTTTTTCCCATCATGCCAGAAGCAACTTTTCAGCTGAATGCGACATGTGACTTTTCACTCAAAGGCAGCGAAGTAACAGCAGCACCCCTTCTAAAAAGGTTTTGTAAAGGCTGTTTTAAAAAAAAAAACTTGTACTTTTCAGCTCACTGTGACTGCTTCTTGGTCCTTTGCTCTCCCCAACATTCGAAACTGATCGAGTCAAAAATGTCAAAGATAACCTTGGCTAGTTTTGTATCTACTTCACAACGAAATGGTTTTCAGATGTAGCCTTGATGACGGCTGATCGCCTCCGTAGTGAACAATAAAGGCGGAGTAAACATTAGGTTTGCATACCAATATCAACATAGATACTGATCTGTGCATTAACTTCTGCCTCATGTGTCTGTTAACACTGATAGAATATAAAGGGCAAGCATTCCTTTGAAAAAGAGCTCTGCTTAAAGAGCATGAGATCACTGACATCTATGAAGAAACAGACTTTGGACTTCTTTACTGCTTTCATAAACAAAGCATGACCTGGACAGAACCGGGCCTCTCTGAGTAATAGCATGTAGAAACTTTAATTTCATGCGGGAATGCATGACGGCACCCCTAACAATGAGTAATGCCACACACAGAGATAATTAAAGAATATGGATTTATTGATTGATGCTCTCTGATAAATAGCCAACTGTTAATAGCGGCCAGAAAAGAGGTTTATTTGAATAGAAGCCTTTCTAAACAGCAGGGAATTGCTTCATTTCTCTAGAAACAATTAATGATAACTGTAAAAAAGAAGAAAAAAAACAGCATCAGCATTAATTAAAACTGCTTAAAGTTGAGAATACAAAGAAGTTCAAGCTGCTGAGAAGAATCACACAGATCCCCCCCCTCCCATCACCTCTTGCCTCAGGCCTTTCTCATCCAGGCCTGTTCACTTCTAATACAGTAATTTGGGCGTCCCCTTGAATTAATGATATACAAACAATCCAATTAAAGGGCCTCTGTGGGTAAAATGAACCTCATCAGATCTACATTTGCCACTGCTCACTCACAGTGGCAAATGTGAGTCAGCTAGGCTGAGCAGAGAAGGAGGTTTGGATTATTGTATTTTTATTTTTAATGATCTTTTTGACCTTTTGATATCTCTTTTTTTTTAGAGGGCAAGGCTGGTTAGAGTTGGGAACTGGGAAAAGAGAGAGGGGGATGACATGCAGCATTGAGTGATGGGTCAGATTTGAACAGAGGCTGTCTTTATAATTTCACTCAAGGCCAGAAAATGTTCACAATAATGGTACTATTGAGCAGTTTTTTCCCTCCTCCGCCTCTGATTCAACATTACACATGTGCATGAATACCCCAACTACTGCTCCATACTGCAAACCAATTACCGAAGCAATATTGCCATATGCTTATCTTTGAGTGATGGCCATGCACTTACTTTCAGTTCATATATGGAGGGTACATCGCTCACAAGGACGGCCAGCATTCAATTCTGACCTGTGGCTCCTTTCCTGCTTGCCACTTTCCACTTTCCTCCTGTTTCCTACTCTGTCCACTGCTCTGTTTTCTTAAAATAAAGCCGACAAGCAGCAAAATATATCTCCAAAGAAAAATAAGACTTTTCAACAGTACCATCGTACTGTGACAGCCCTTATTTGAGCCCTAAGACTTTTGAGAGCCGTGGCTTTTGTACATGGGGTGCACAATTTCACAGCAGCCAGTTATCTTTTTTTTGTTTGTTTTGGGGTTTTTTTTCAACTCTTCAAACAACACAAGAAATATTAAATCTGTGCAGTTGTGTTGTAATCGTAATTAAAGCTACTGTAAGGAACTTTAAGTTTGTGTCAATCTGCCTCTCTAAGACAAAGCTGTCTGAAGAGGAAATGTATTTTGACAAAAAACAAAAAAACACACCCAGTTGACTGAAATATGTAATTTATGATGATTATTAGATTTTAAAAAAAGTAAAAACAGATGTCCAATTTGCATAAGTTTCAGGCATTAAAAATTGCCACATACAAATTATGAATCTCGTCTCTGCCGGCCTTGTCTGTTTTTGAGTAACATTAAAGGAAGAATACATGTTTCGGTTTATTTCATAAATGTCAAAAAATGTTCACGGGAGCTTTAACTTTTAATTTCATACATTTATAGGCAGTACATTTAGCAACCAAAAATGTCATCATTGATCATAGTGACATCCTACTCAGTTGATTGTGATGTGAAGCTTGTTTCTCACATTCTGTAAACACAACAACAAAAAAACAAAAACTTGTGCTGGTGTGCTCAGATACACAAGGGTTTGGAGAGAAACAGCCTTTTGAGTGATTTGATATGACAGCCCCTTTCCTCTGTGATTACAGCTGTTAATTTGTCTCATCTGTCAGGAGAGCTCAAGGGTGGAGATTTGTCCATGCGTGTATGAATCACTCCTGAAACCCAAATTAACACTTTCTCTCTTCAGCGGTACCAGACTTTTCCCAGCGGTCAGCGATAATACCTGAAAAGGGGAGTTTAGAGGGAGGAGGAGGGGTTTGGGCATTCTGTTACATGTCCTTCTCTGTCATATCTTCATCTTCTATCTCGTGCTCTTTGCTTTCATCTGCAGCCTCACTGTTTATTTGTGCGCCCTATCCTTGACTATATCCCCTTTTCCTTTGAGTGTTTAAAAAAGTGTAAATAGCCGCTGTGACGTCACTCGTTTGTGGACCGGCTTTTTGAACTTCAAACGCTTAAATATCAAAGTTGCACTGTGTATGCCCGAGGCAAATTCATCATCTGGCTGATTTGATAGTTACGGACAGTTTCACCCAGAGAATGAGGTTCTGTTTGTGGTGAAGGTGACGAGGGTTATTTATTTATTGGACTTAAAAAGCGAAGAGAGCTTGTGACGCATAGCAAACTGGCTCGCACACAAATCTGGTGAGCAGCGGAGATGTCTGGGGAAATAAACCATCGAGAGCAGGCTGTTAACATGTATTTCAGCTGTGTATTTTAGGAAAGTTGGACATTTTAACACAAGGCTCTAAAGGGATTTACTTTTTACTTTTGGGGGAAGACTCAAGTGGCCGTTCAAGAAACTGCACGCATCACTCTTGGTTTATTATTCAGACCAGAGTTTGTTTTTCACTGTTTTTCATTGTTCATGTCCTCTCTACAGAGCAGAGCAGAATGAAGATTAAGTTTCAAGTTTGGTAGGAGGTAATGGATTCAATTCCCAGTGCTTTGGGGGTTATTTCTTTTCTTAAAGTACATCATGTGTTTATAAGTAGATATGGAAAGCTCCAAATAGCTTGAGGGCTGACAGCACAATCCTTGATATTTGAAAGTTTATTAAACTTTACATGAGTGGTGGTTTTTATGGAGTTTGGTGAGAGCCACAATAACACAACCAACAGTCATGGATGAGCAAAAACAGAGGAAAAACACAGAGCAGGGTTTTAGTTACTGAGTATAAACCGTCAGCTGAAATAGGTGGGAATCACCAGTGGCCCCACGGTACGATATTCTCACGATATTTGGACCACGGTACGATATTATCGAGATACTTGGGCCACTGTACGGTATTATCACGATACTTGGGCCACAATACGGTATTATCACAATACGATATTATCACAATACTTGGGCCACTGTACGATATTATCATGATACTTGGGCCATTGTACAATATTATCACGATATTTGGGCCACTGTACGATATTATCACGATACTTGGGCCACTGTACGATATTTTCACGATACTTGGGCCACAATACGATTATCACGATATTTGGGCTACTGTACAATATTATCATGATATTTGGGCCACAGTACGATATTATCACGATACTTGGACCATGGTAAGATATTATCACAGCATTTCAGCCACGGTATGATATTTTCTTGATGTCTTATAATTGCAATTTTTAACATTTTGCAATACAGTGAGTATTGCGATACGATATATTGTGATTTTCCTTTTTTCAACTGTTGATCAGCTGACTAGCTGATTTAGCATTTTTCTTTTCCTTATTTCTCTTATTTACACAGTATTTTATTTTCATGTAGCACTTCTTGCAAATTTTAATCTTTCCATTATCATAGATTTGACCTCATATCAAGAATTAATATGAAAAATCAATACTTTTAAAATGAGATGATACGATACATCACCAGACAAAATATTGCGATACTACGCTGTATCGACTTCCTCTCCCACCCCTATCAGCTGATGGATAAAAAGAGGTCTGCTTTATAATTCAGCTGCTGTATGAGCATATTAAAGCATTAGTTCTTGTTTCAGGTAATCCTGTCTGTCACATACTTTAAAATAGATTATTTTCTTTGTATTGCACCATCCTGCTATCAACAATCCCTAATGTTCATTTTCAGTCATAACAAGGTGAAGCAACTTTGTGTGAAGATGTGATGTACTAATAAAACTCACCTTTTCTTTCTCTGTCTGTCTCGTGTTTTTTTAGGATCTGATGGCCAAAGTGCGAGCCATGCTTGCCACCTCAAAAACCTTCCAGCCTCCGAACTCCTGAAGAAACCACCGCTTTCCACTAGCAACGTCACCATTAGCCAATCATCAGGCAGCATTCAGTTTCACCTTCCAGTATTTACCTGGACGCTCCCAGTCCTCTTGATCTGAGCCCTGAGTTGGACGTTAATTTGACCTGACTCCTGGAGTGATGCGAAAGCATTCACCGAGCTGAATATCTCGTTTCACAGCTGACATGAGAGAACAGCTCCTCAGCTGGAAGATCATGTCACATGTCGACATGTTTTGGTTCGGGGAGAATGTGAAAATGATTCATATGTATTTGTCATCCCGTTTTCAAACACAGCTCTCACATATTTTGACAGACGGTCTGTGCAGCATTACCTGAAGCCGCTGGAGGTCTGTATTTGCTCCTTCTATGAAGGGTTGTGAGGGGTTTGATCATTTTAGTTTTCTCCTTCTTCTCTCTTTTCAAATATTCTCAATCCTCTCTTCTGCCACCCTGCAGTTTTCTTTTCTCCCCTGCACCTCACCGCTCGATTTGAGAAGCTCTTTTATTTTCTCCTCTGTCCTTCAGCTCTATTGTGTGGCCTTGAAATTTTCTTTGTTTGTAATGTAATTACTGAAATGCAGAAGAACTTTGTTACCCAAATTGTCAATAAAATTTCATTTATGACTCAGTAGTGGAGTTTTTTCCCCTTTCTCCTGCTGCCTTTTCTCTATCTTTGTCTCTTTAATTCCTGTAGGACACACCGGGGTTCAAATCTCATCTAAAGACTCACCAACCCTCCTCCCTCTTCTTACCTCCACCTTTTCTGTTTAGGCTATGCTGATAAGATGGTAGAGATAATGTCTCCTGATCACAAACTTTCTCCTCCACTGGCTGTAGCAAAAGTTCACTGTCGCTGCAGCATTGCAGATAAACCCGACAGACAAAACTGTTGATCGGCTGAAATCCTGTGGGTGCTCCTCTGTTGCTGCTGTGAAGGCCCCTGTGACCCAGCGCACAGATAAACCAGGGTGCAGAAATTGTTGGTAGACTTCTGCCTGATTACCTCAGGCAGAGTGCTGGCTCATAGGGGATTAAATGCTCAGAAAGATAACCTTTTAAGGCCTCGCAGAGGCTTTAAGTGTAAGAAAAATGTCCAAATCTATTCCAATACCCACAACAATGAAAGGCACAGGCGGGAGAAATATCTCTTTTTAGCTACAGCAGTCTGAAACTGGTGTCCTTTTATGGGTATGACAGGAAAACAGCACGTCAATATATGTCAGTTCTTTATCAGCATTTTATTTTACAAGCTGTGAAAGTCGGTTAGATCAGAGAATTAAGCAGGTGACCGGTGCACATCCTTACGACGGAGTATTAGGGTCACATTAAGAAAAAAAAAAAGTACGACTTTGAGATTAAAGTTGTTATAAAATCATTATGAGAATAAAGTCCTTACTAACAAGAATAAAGTCGTAATAAAATCATTACTCATGAGAATAAACTCATAATAAAGTGATTACCTGTGAAAATAAAGTCGTAATAAAGTCCTTATATTCTAACCTGTTGTTTAGGATGACTGTTGTTGAAATTAGAGCCAAGAAGCATTTTGTGAAACTGTACTTAAATATAGGTTTCTCAAACAAGGAGATACTTAATGGTTTGACACATCAGCACCACATTAACCTAAGTATTATGAAGATTTAATACAACTTTATTCGCATAAGTAATTACTTTATTATGACTTTATTCTTGTTAGTAATGACTGTATTCTCATTAGTAATGAATTAATTCTCATAAATTAACGACTTTAATCTCAAAATCTTAATTTTTTTTCATAATGTGGCCCTAATATTCTGTCGTACATCCTGACCCCTGCTGTGCGTCCTAACATGAAAATACAGAATCTCTCCTCGATGTTTTGCTTCTGTTAAAACAAAGACTGCCAGAAGTTGAGCGCATCAGACCATGCACTCTACTTCTGGCACTCTTCACTGTGTGTTAACTAAGAGTTACAAGTGCTTCTGACTAGTAATGAAAAAAATATTGAATAAAATTTATCTTCCAGTCTAAACTTGGTCATGTATGCAGAAACTCCCCCCGATGTAAAAGCTTTCACTCCAAATTTTGGGAGAATTGGTACCTTCCCTATTTAAATGAGCCTCACTGCAATAAAATGTAATTTCTATTACCAGCACTAACAGCCACTACCCGTCAGAGTGACATCTTTTACAGTCTGCTGAGAATGGGAAATGTGGCAGTATTTCAAATAATCTATCTGTGCATAAAGCTTGTCACTCCTTAAACGTTTCAATTATCATTACCAAGAGCTGAATCTGTCTGGGGCTGACTAAATCTCAACCCCAGCTCATATAAGCCTTTACACATGAGGGTTTAATTACTTGAACAGACTGCTCTTGAAGGTTAAGATGCTGACAGCTCACCTTCACGTCAGACACAAGAGCAAACTGCATTAAATATTGAACCCTGATTGAAAGAGTAGGCAGTTGGTGTAACCAGCTGATCAAGAGCAAAACTCATGTCAATGCTTACTTAAATTTGACCCTTGTTTTCTTTCCTCAGTGAAGCTCTTTTCCTCACTTCCTGCGGTTGCTTCACATTCGACCATCACTAAATTCAAGCTGTCAGGTTGTTCTGACTGTAGATCTGGAGAAAGCCAGGCTGATTGGAACCACTCTAAATGCTGATGCCGTCTTTTTTTTTTTTTAGCCATTATAATGTGCAATCAATATTTACTACATAATAATTTGTTCAATAACCTGTCTATGTTAATGGCTCATTTCCTTTATAAAATCAATGTGAGCTCACAGACTGCAGGCAAATCAAATGGAATCTCCATGATACAGGGAGACAATTCCAGATGAGACGACCCCGGTCATCATTCCAGTACGAGGCTTGATTATAACCAAACAGACAACCATAATGACTTCAATATGCTGGCATCACAGTGTATGTAATGAATGACCATAAAAAAATCTGTTTTTTCAGTCTTTTTTGAATAGCTGTTTTCACCACAGTACACCAGAGTTAGGCCACTTTTAGACGGAAACGGTCTCCATAGGAAACGGAAAAGTGCCGTTTCGTTTTCAGTTTTTATGCTGTGTTTACACAAAAACACAATGTGGTTGAAAACGCTGTAATGTGCATGCCAGGTCGCTAGGTGGCGTGTGTCGGTGTGACCGCGCTCCCGTATAGACCAACAGCGCATATGTAGAACAACTTCCGTTCTACTGCAGCGTGAGCCAGGACGTCACAGGTTTGACTGTTTTCAGCGTTTTTGTACTTTAGACGAAAGCGGGACTAGCAGAGCGTTTACAACATTCCCACTCTGGAGGGGGTTTTCACTTTGTTACGTTTTCATCTCCTGAAAACACAGTTGCCGTCTAAACGGACCCCCCTAAACGAAACTAAATTTTTCTGTTTTCTATGGAGACCGTTTCCGTCTAAAAGTGGCCTTAGTGCAGCAGTCTTCTCTTTTAAAAATGCAGCATCCAAAGTGTCTCAACTTCTCCTCTGACTCAAAGGCTCTACAGAGGCTACTTCAAACCTCCTGTCTATACAACAAAAAGTCAGTTCTTCTTTCAGCATCAGATGATCTCTACAGGAACATAAGGCCGTGTACCAACAAAGTTAGAGAAGTTTCTCCAAGCCTCAGGCGAAAGAATGCTGAATAATCCCTCCCTACTGAGAAACATAAACAGCTGACACAAACACAGTTGGGCTGCTGATGTTGTCTTTTTTCCATTATTATTTCCTTACACTGTATCAAATTGTCATCAGTTACCCTTTGGAAAGTTGGAATTCAGTAGTTTTATGTGCAGGAGTTTACACAGCAGGAAACTAAACTCAGCACAGCCCCAGTTTGCTTCCTTTGAATGATTCTGGTGAGTCTTTGAAAAGGCAACAGTGTTTTCTACTTAAACCTCAATGTCATCAATGAACCGAAATCATGACTGAAGCACATATCAGCCTGTCGACCTGCTGCTCTGGTGAATGATGTTTTGGCCCCACCAAACTTTTCAGACAGAAACAGATTCTGGAAAAAACTTCTGCCTGATCATTCTGACTTTAGTTTGGTGTTGTCCGAATGGTGCTAGACAGAGTGGAAAATTGCGTCAGATTAGATTCTGTTAACCTTTTTCAGGGTCTAGGGCTTCTTTGTCTCTGAAAACAAGCGTAGCAGTTGGTCACACCAACATGAACCCCAATGAAAAAGAAAGGATTGCACTCGGCTTGGTGAAATTACAAAGAGGTACACATTCAAATTCATCACGGTTAAGTCCATTAAAATACACGGTTCTGTTGCTCTGGTACAAAAAAACAACCCTAATCCACTGGATGTTATTTTGCTCAGGTTTATCGGTTAGCTTTGGTTTAGCCTGTCAAAGCAGTTCTTTGTAAGTGGAGCTGTTTTCATTTGCAATCTGAGTACTCAAGGTTTATGGCACCTCTTTTGAGCAACAACAATTCATCTCAAACATAGCTGTAAAGAAGGAAAATTAAGATGTTTCTCCAAAGGCATTTGCTCATTTTTCCATTTTAAAATAAATCAATAACGATCTAGATTTAATCAAAGTTGTGGGTCTTTATTTGACGAACACTTGTAATTCAAATAGAGAGTAATGGTTTGAAAAGAAATTGGCACTGAACTGAGTCAGTTTATCCAATTATGTGACTAACCTGTGTTTGGTTATTCATGAAAATAAAGCAGCAAATTTCTAAGAGCAGTATTCAACTTAGAGCTGATCGTCACCAGCTGAGGCAGTGTTAGTCTATGAGACAGAAATATCTCACAATAGAGAAATCCATGGTTAGCGGCAGAATGGGCCACCTCAATGCAGGAAGTTTGGCTGGTTTTTTTAGAGCCATGGTTTTACAGATATCCTTGAGTTTCTCCACTTACAGGTACAGTGTGTAGAAATGGGAAATTTCAGATTTTAGATGGAAATGTTTCCTTGACATGGACAAGAGGCTTTTGTAATGTGTGATAAATGAAATCCTCTATCAGTCGTTTTTTCTTTAATCTTCAAATCCATGTTTCACTTCCAACTCTCCTGAAGCAAAAGTTACAGTCTTTATCTTGAGCAAGTTGTAAGACCGCTCACTTTGAACAAAAACCCTTACATAACTAGTTTGTCAGTTCTGTGCTGTGCAAAATACCGGCCCCACTCATTTAAAAGTTTATTTTAAGATAACAAAAAAACTGAATTAAAACTACACATGCATTAAAACTGGTGTCTACAAAGTCTGTTCTGCTAAAGGCTGATATTTACTGAACCTTCAAAGAAACTAAGAAGCTCCTTGTTTGATGAAAATATGAGTTTTTGTCTGATTCAAACTCGTGCCACTATTCTGCTAGTCCTTTTCTCCTTCGCCCCCCGGGTGGTTGCCATAACAATGTCATCCCCCATATTATAATCATCAATCATTTCCAGTTCAGGGTTCAAGCACTCAAAACCACCACACATAGAACCATTTTGGAAGGCTGCTCATGACGTCAAGTAGACGCCACAGCAAAGTGCAATGTGCCCCAACCCTATCCCAGAGATTAAAACCACTGTTCCTCTAAATGAACCCTTCTAGAAGTTATAATTTACATTAATTAATCCCTCTGTTTTTTTCCCGCCCCAGTCCCTCACCCCTAGTGATGAGAAATTGAATGTATCTGCAGTATAAATGATCTTTTGCTTTATTTCTATATCATTATGTAGCTCTTTTCTGGATTAAAAATGGAGTTACACAGAATAGTGTTTCTCATAGTGATGCCCTGCCGCCCAGAAGGCGTCCTAACCAGATGCCCGAGCCACCTCAGCTGACTCCTCTCCACGTGGAGGAGCCAGTGTCCAAGCTCCTTACCCTGTCTCTAAGGCTGAGCGAAGAAAACCCATTTCAGCTGCTTGTATCTGCGATCTTGTTCTTTCGGTCATTAACCAAAGTTCATGGCCATAGATGAGAGTCGGCACGTAGATCGACCGGTAAATCAAGAGTCTCGCCTTACGGATCAGCTCTTTCTCCACCACGACTGATCGGTTAAGCATCTGCATCACTGCTGACGCCGCTCTGATCCGCCTGTCAATCTCCTGTTCCATCGTACCCTCACTCATGAACAAGATCCCAAGATACTTGAACTCCACTTGAGGCAGGACCTTGAAAAGGCAATCTACCTTTTTCCAACTGAGGACCATGGCCTCGGACCTGGAGATGCTTATTCACATCCCAGCCGCTTCACATTCGGCCGCGAACCGCCCCAGCAAGAGCTGAAGGTCACTGCTCGACGAAGCTAGAAGCACCACATCCTCCATGCTGACCATCTCGATGCAGTAAATTCTGCTGCTTGTATTAGCACTATTGTCAACATTCACAGTTTCTCCACTGAAAAGAATGAAGCTGAAAGGTCAAAATAAGGCAACGCGGCTCCTGAAATCCAACAATAGTCACACAGTTGCCAGAGAATTTTTCTTTTAGCTAAGGTTACACGGGGCAGCAAAAAGCTTTTTATTGATTTCACTTTGGATCATGTGGTACCTCCAGAGCTCTTTTTAAGAGTTACAGAGGAGGTTAAAAGTGAAGTCTCAAGTCAGTTGGAACGAGCCCAAGCCATTGTCTGAAGATGGTTCTTTAAAATTACAGGTTACAAGTCCTCAAGTGCGGGTCAAAAGTCAGAACCAGGGTTTTGATGCTTCATCCAAAAGAATAGAAACATCAGAGGATTCGTACATGCCCACGTAAAGGCTAAAAACAGAATCACCGAACCAAGCACTATCCCTCCACAGGAACCTCAAGGACAAGCTGTGTGTGCGAAAGTGGGAGAAAAATGTGATTTTGTTTTAAAAAGTGCAATACTGCTGAAATGAAGTCGTAAGCATATGCAGGATTGGTGAAGCAAAGTCGGTGGTATAATTCCTAAAATATGCTGACACTAAAATAAAAAGGAAATTATTAATAGAGTAATTTTTCCTCGTTCATTGATCTTCCTAATGCAGCCACGCTCTCACATAAACAGTCTGAATAAGCACACTGAATACGTTGCAGCTCAATTTCTTACCCGGTCTCCTACTATTACCCCTAAAAAAGCAGTGCCACGTAATGATGCCGTACAATGAGACGGCTTTTATGTACTACGAAAAAACCTTTAGCCTCCAAACAGATTCTTCAAAGACTTCTTTTTAGCGAGTTCTTCAAAGAAACTTCATAAGCAGGTGTTTTCCACCAGCTGTCGTAAGCAGAACACCTGCGTCTACATCTCTTGTTATGGTGGAGTCAGTTGGCAGCATTTTTGAAAGTTTCAGTAGATAATGTGCAGCAGCAGTGTCCTGCTCTGAGTGATTAAATGGTCTCACTTTTACTGCACCCAATAAGAGGGTCTCTGGAGACCTTGTAGAGTATTGCAGATTTTAATTGATACCCAAATGGCGTCGCTGTAGTGAGCCATGTTGTTTTATTACGGATTTATCACTGTGGCACATTTGGGCAAAGTCCATGTAATACATTGCTCTTGTCATGCAACCCCAAAATAAAGATGAAAAGACGTCGATTGTAATATTTCCAGAAATGAGAAATAGCTCTATGAATATCAAAGTAGAATATGAATTTGGAGTCTGCAGGCCATTACCGGATTAATTTATATGCAGAAGTCAGCCACACTGTCTGGAATAATTCAATTCTTATAGCACACGAGTCCTGGTTTTACTACAAAATGTAGACAGGCAATCGCATCAGAGTGTAGATATATTTCAGATGTTTTCACAAACGTTTCATCATGAATGCTGAAACCTGTCCGGAACATGTTGAGTTTGATTTTTTCATTATTCGGTGCTATATATCCAACATGTTACTTCACATATTTCAGTATTCGCAGCAGACATCTAAAGCTGCTTAACAAAGGAATCCATCCGTCTCCGTCTCCTGAAGAACCTCCATAATATGTTTAAGAGCCACTATAAAACATGAAACCACATTTCCTGACATCCCTTAGACCAATCAGCATGTGTCTTACCCTGATACTGCAAGACACATGGGTCCAGAAATCAGAAGGCAGTTCATCCAGCCAATTCAGATTATGTGAAAAGAAAGTTATTTTATTATTTTTACCCTTTATCTGTCAGTACAGCTGCAGTGGCTTTGATAAAGCAGGCGAGCGATGCCTTATGCAGCATTTTTTCAATGAGTAATTGTGCGTTACCCATGAGGAATAGATAAGTATGAGTCAAACAGAGTCTTGTGAGAAAGATTTATATAATGGATGAGCACATAACCCTTCATTACCAAGGCAGAGTCTTACACTCCTTCTAAGCATGATGAAGTTTAAATCACATTTAGTGAAAAGCTTGAGAAATAGAGGGGAGTGAGTCTTGGACAAGAAAGTGATGGTGACCTGTACTTTTCCCTTTGGAGACTGTCAGTTTTAGCCTCATTTAGTCTCTCAGTAGAGTGTGCAGAACAGATATGATAAGGAGAGGCAGTGACACTTTTCATGAGTCAAATTTAAGGAGTTGGCTTCTATGCAAGATACACCCAGAAAGAAAGTTTTGTTGTTATTTTTTGTTTTTCTTAGACACCTACCGTCATCCCACTGCAGCAGAGATTATACACGTTTCTGTAGAGCTGTAACTTCATTGATAATTCAAATCTCCAGACATGATGGCAGGATCAATCAGAGTCTAAAGTTCTTGAATGAAATGTGTTTTGTATGAAGCTAAAAGGTCCTACACAGTCAGTCCAGCTTCATCCACTGATGGTTTAGAGTAAGACGGTGGTCCTCCTTTGTAATATAGGGACTTGATTCAGATCCTCCTTTGGGGACCCAGGCCCAACTTGGACTAGAGGGATTCCTGACCCAACTACAACATCACGATATAGAAACAGCGAAGTAGAATTAAGCAGCATTTTCAAAGAAACAAAATATACTGTGCAGAAGTATGTTCAAATTAGTTTATATTGAATGGACTATCATTGTTGTCTAATTTCTGATGACTTTGAAAAAGTGTTATATTTTTGTTATAAGTAGTAGGTCCTTGCTCTGGAGTCTGCCATGTTGCACGGCCATGTTTTCTGCAGTAGGCTGGGTGGCTGTGTGAGACGTGCGGTGAGAGAGTGAAGGCAGCTGCTGTCTTAAAAACCTGACAAATGGGGGATCATATTTATCATGCATCACAGGAATATCACAACCTTTCTCATTTCTGTAATATTATGACTTTATGACTCTTTTTTTAGGGCCCTCATACTCCGCAGTATGTCAGAAACATCGGCTTTGTTTAGCATTACTTTGCAAATGTCATCTTATGTTACTAAAACAATGAAAACCTTATAATCAATATCTCAGAACTGAGTTATGAACTGAAATCATTTCAATAAATGATGAAAAACACCCTCACATCATCACGTTAAACAGGTACATTGCTTGATTAACAGCCAGAAATGTATATATGAGATGAAGTCATGTGGTAAAAGACCTCCAGAAGGCTTTAGAGCCACAACTGCTCGAGCAAACTCTTATCATACCAAGAGCCCATCAAAAATCAATACTAACAATCCCCAAAACAAATAAGTCACGTGAACAGCCACCTCCATCACGCGTGGTCGTACCCCTGTCATAACCTCGAGACCCTAGCCAAACATTAAATCACAGTTTTATATGTAATCAAATGAAGCTCATCACATCTGCACTGATTGATTCTCCACTAAATTGCAGTCTGGCATTTACAATTTCATTAACTCATTCTGGCAGGGAGAGTGTGAGAGCGGGGCGAACATACTGAATGCAGAAGTGGAGAGTGTGCGGGGCAGAGGAGACTGAGAGTAGTTAGAGAGAAACATGAGGGCAGGGGAGTGATTTGTTTGTTCTACGGGACCTGAATGCATCATAAGTCAGAAAGACATCTTTAAGGGTTTGAGGGGGTAAGAGTTTCAATCCAAACTGCAATATTTGTTTTCAGAAATAACTACACTGTTGTACCGTACCGTTATCATGGTTCTTGGCTCCAGTATGCTTGGAGGGGAACTGAAGTGGTTTTCACAGATGTAGTCTGACTACAAAACTAGAGGACCATAGTCAGGATTCAGGGCACCTTGGCCGCAGAGCCAGACAGAGAAACAGAGGTCTAATTAAGACGTGTGGCACAAAGAAGGAGAGCAGACTGCTACAAGTCTCAGTGGTAAACAGAGTCTGCTATCAGACAGATGTACACATTCTCTCTGTATCCCCCATCTATCTATCTATCTATCTATCTATCTATCTATCTATCTATCTATCTATCTATCTATCTATCTATCTATCTATCTATCTATCTATCTATCTATCTATCTATCTATCTATCTATCTATCTATCTATCTATCTATCTATCTATCTATCTATCTATCTATCTATCTATCTATCTGTATATTCTTCAGGCAAATTCCGTGAATATAGAAATAGCTGTTTTTTCTTAACTAAGCATGAGCCTTTTATTTCAACACAAAGAAAAGGTACATCTCCACAAAGGCTGCCACTACACTTATCTCTGAGTAGGTATGAAGTCCTCCTTAAATACTGCTTGTGTGAGAGCATGCTTTATGAAGATGGGGTACTATGGAAGAGGACGAGAAGAAGAGAGTTCGACTTGCCCAGCTCTGCTGTTTTCCACAAGCAGAGAGGGGCATCGTTTACCACAACATTAAACGGATATATTATAGTTGGTGCACCACTTGATGTTATTTTACAGGATTGATCACCTTATCATAAAGTTTTATAATATTTCACATACATGCTGTTAATTGAGTAACAGAAGTTAATGGCTGATATTTTTAGCTGTTAGCCAGTTCAGAGGTAGTGGGGCTTAAGAGCTGGCACATAAACAATCTCTGCATAAGAAGAAAAGGTTTCCTCTGATTGGCTACTGGAAGGCATTAAAATAAACTTGATGTCTTCATGGTGCAACCAAACAATGACACAACCTAAGATATAAGTAGTTTCAACGCAGAGTTAAAGGGATATTACGGTGTAAATTTGATCGACTTGTCAGAGCTCCCATACAAACAAACGGCTGCTGGAGGAGAGTGGGTGAGTTGTGTTTAGTCTCTTTGCTAAAGAAACCAGGCAAAGCTATAAAGATGTTTGGTGGCTAGTACTATGGCTGGGACCCTATATGTCCTGTTGATGAAGTTAGGTGCTGTTCTGAGCATTATTTGTGGCTATAGAGTGGCTTTTCTGTTGAGGTTTGCACGCAGAGAAGTAGACCACTGTGTATTGCTATCGTGTGGTTGTTGCCGAAGTTAGTATAACTTAAGAACCAACCCCACTCTAGTTCTCTGAGGCTTCAGCTGGTAGTGGGCATATCCTCATTCTTCTTGTAAGTTAACTTGCTCACACACCTTCCTTTAGTCTGGAAGCAGCTACTTTGTGATCAGGGTAAGATCTGTCATCATATTACACCATATTTTTAGTTGCTTGACAGTTGTTGAACGTCTCAGCAGAGCTGATATCCATAAACTCTAAATCAGCATCAAAACACCACCTCTGTTGATGAACAACTTATCCTGCTTTTGAATCTTTTGTACCACGGCGTCTCTCCATCTTTCATCCCTCTGACGCTGTAGTTGTGAGTGATGACTGTCCTCTGTCATGAGGAACACAATGACTTTACTGATAAATGGGCCGTCCACTGCAGTGAAGGACTATCGCCTTACAAAAGTGTGGACCACGTGGCAACCCCACTTTTTCATTTGTGTTTACTCTGGTCGGTGCGGTACTTTGATGTACCAGTTAGGACGAAGACTAAAAAGATAGATAATTTATTAATCCCTTGCAGAAAATTGCATTATTACGGCAGCTCAGACAAAACAAGCATCAAACAGACATTCAGGCACATAAAAGCATTTAAGATGAGAAATTTACAATGAATTAGAAAATCTAAGTAATTCTCAGTTGAATATATAAACACAGATGAAAAAGTATGATAGAAATATTTAATGTGAATGCATTCAATGTGCAATCTATTAAGCTGAAATGTCCAGAAACCTTACTATCTAAAAAATATAAAAGACACATATACAGATTTATCACCCATACTGCATTATGGGAATTCTAAACATTGCCACAATCTGAGTCTTGATTGAATCTATTGATTGAAATGAAGCTCAAGTCAAAAAATCAATCCAATTTGATTAATCTTGTGACACTTTAGCCCAGTTTACATGGGTAGCTTTCCTAAATCTGATTGAAATCAATCGGATTAAGTGAATCTGATTCCATCTGTATACATGAACTTTAAGTAAAGAGATCCACGTTCAATCCGCGTTTGCATGGCCACAGCTGAATCCGATTGTATTGTTTTTTTTACATGCGCAGAAGGTCACTCTGCCACTACCTGCAAATGTGTAAGAGAAGAAGAGGTGCACTTCCTGCTTCCTGTTTACCTGTAGAAAGATGGATCCATGTCGTGTTTTGTTGGGGATGCTTATTGTGTTGTGGTTACATTTATTTGCGGTACAAGTTTGTCTCCTCCACCGTCCAGTTTTTCTGTTTGTTCGCCATGTTTGCTTTCGTTTGGGCGTGCTCTGCGCACGTCACTATGTGCCTCTTACCTACTACGGAGCGCCTGCGCAGACCGAACAAGCCTCTCTGTAAACCCAATCCGCTCCACTCAGCCGTATATATGGAGCGGATTATCAATCAACGTAGACTACCTCTTACAATCCAACCTGAAATACAATCAGATCTGGGTGAAGCAGATTGGCTAAGATGTTTATATGAGACCTTTTGAATCTGAATTGACCTTGATTGTAAATAGGATTTTTGGACGCATGTAAACGGGTCACTGCATATAGTTGCATAATCGCCCAACTGTCAACAGTAAGAAACAGCTCCAGAATAAATTCCCTACTTTTACCTGAAAAACAACAATTCAAAGTCAGCTACAACCTTAACAAATATTGTGACTTTTATGTAGTATTGCAGTCCCTTCAGCTTATATTTTTTGTGTTTGTATGGCAAATAAAGTTTATTTTTAAAGCACTTTTCATTCAAAGAGCAGTTTAAATCAGAGTGTGGGGTGGTGTAGCTGTTGGCTCTGTTGACTCACCACGAAAAATGCTGCTCTGGTTTGGCTGCAAGTATTGGTCATCTGCCTAATTACTGACGACCCGTTCACTGGATCAACACCAGTCCTCCACTCCCCCAGCCTCCATGACAGAAGCAGCAGACACGCTGGGTTGATGATATTCTGCTTTTCAGAAAGCTGAGATAAAGTTTTCTTGAATAACTGATTTTTTTAAGTATGAGGTATGTACCTGGTTTTCTTAATGAGTGTCTCTTTCAATGGTTTTACACCCTAACTTCCCCTATCTAAAGTCTGAAGGGTCTTTTAGATTTCTCTCTTCCTTCTTGAAACTTCTTTTAATTAGCTACTATGTCTTTGTCGAGGAGAAGGTGTCCTCAGTATTCCCTTCATGTGGCTGCTTCAGGAGCCTTTAAGTTTGTCCCACTCACACTGAACAGAGGACACGATCTGCTTCACCGCCCCGCCATCAGACCTGGTTAATGTGTTTACCGTCCTTAATGCTCTTCATGCTTTCAGCCCAGCGTCCTGGATATTACCCCTTGATAGGCTGAGCTGAAGGGGATCATTTTTAAAGAGGGCGTTGGCCTGCTGCAGGAGTTTTTATTTATTTATTTTGTCTTCATTAGTTGGTAAATGCCACACGTATTGATAGATTGCCAATTTGCATCTGATCTGGGAAATATTGCACCTGCATCTGCACAAACCTGCATGAGCAGCCCAGCTGAAGTCTGCTCAGGACAATTTAGGCTTGAAATCTAATCTGTTTCACACCAGGTGTGTATCCAAACAAACTATCACCATACTTATGATTTCAGGACACATCTGCTTCCTCCGTCTGGTCCCAGCGTCATTAATGAGATTGGACATTGACTGCTTGAGTCTGTGTCTGCCTGAGTTCTTCCACTTTCCCCTTCCATCAGGTTGTGATCACATATGAACCAAGAACTGTGAATTAAAGTGTTTGTCAAATATTATTGCTTTTTCTCCTTATGATTGATGTTGAAGTATTTTATCAAATGTTTTCGCAGCTTCTCAAACCTGCCACCATAAACAAGATAACTCATGTTGTCTTTATGCCTCAATATGTTGGAAATTCCTGTCTGCCGTTGTTCTTACTCAGAAATAGTTGTAGTTTTTCTGATCTGACTTGGTGTGCAGTCTGTTTCTTGGTGCCTTGACCTGACTGTCTAACCCCAGCTGTGAATCCTGTGTGTCCAAGTGAACTCTTTAAAGTCATCTGCAGTGGGTCAGGGTGGGTTCAAAAAAACTTATCATCTGACCTCAAGTGAACTCAGTCATTTGAAAACTTTATGTTGGATCCATTTTTTTTAACCTAATGTGAAATAAGTTAATATTTTGGAAGTTATATTAAAACTGTTAAAAAACAAACAAACAAAACTTTTTTTTCCCAGACAAAGCCCTTGCGTTCCTGCAACACCTGGTGCTGTGTTAAAAAATAATGCTTTCACATATAATTCAATTGTCTGCTTTCACATATATGTGAGACAACAGACAATTGAATTTTCCTTCAGGGATTAATAAAGTTCTTCTTATTCTTATTCTTAAATGTCAAAAAGCAAAGCATGCTGTTTGTACTCTTGTTTGTCTTTTTTAGAAATACATGACTGACAGCATAGAATCAAACACCAATCTAAGAGCTTGTAAGAGTGTTTCACTTTGATTTTAAGTCAGCAATGGTTTTTTGTTTTTCTGCTCACCATGCGCTCCAAGAGCAATTTGAAAACAGATGCATAAAGAACTCAATTAAAAACAGGGAAAAACATTTTAATAAATGTAAAATGGAGGTTGACAGACAACTTTTCAAAAGCGGGCTTGAGTTAAATCAGTCTCCGTTTTTGTCCTTAAGAGGTGCAATAAGTCTCCCCTTACCACCTCACTTTGTCTGGGTGTGCTTCAAACAGATTAAGGGAGCCTAAAGGTGTCTGGACATAGCTTTTGCAGTGTTCATTTACTGGCCTGACCCAGAAGCTTATAAGACACCCGACACCTGTCACTTGAGGTGAGTCTGGGTTTTGAAGCTGTTGCAAATACTGTGCTGAGGGATTATACATTAATTCTCAATGCATACCAGCTTTAGTTTCAATTGTTTAGAAGAAAACTGGGAACTGACTTCTGTTAAGTTAGGCCATAGGAAAGACATTTTGTGGCATGGGTCCACGCAGGATGACTGGGATGCTGTTTAAAAAACTGTATTTCCACGCATATGAAACCAGGTCTTTAAATTCACAGATTATAACATGCTTCCTTTTCTTTTAGGGCTTGGTAAAACCTTTAGCCGAATCTTGCTGAATCTTCTGGCCGGGATCAAAGTTAGAGGAGCTGCAGAACTGAAAAATGTGACTTATCCGTGGCAAATCTGAGCAGACCATTCCTTTATATCCTCCATCTTCAATGTTGGGTGCAGGTGAGTCATTTAAGAGCATTATTCTGGTTCTATTGCATGTACAATGGCTGGCATCAGCGTCTTGTTAGCCAGTCTGTACTGTACGGCTCTGTCTTCTAACACCATCCTCATTCTTCACATCACAGCTTGTTCTGCATTCAAAGCACTGCTGGAGTTTTTCTCTGTGTATAAGTTGCATAAGATAATACTTAGACAATTACCTGTTTCAAATTTTTGATCCAGTCATGACCCCACTTGACACGGTTTATTGCTGTTAAGTGCTCGTCTTTCAGAGAGTCTGATAGGGATGGTGTGTTTGGAGTAGACTCTGAAGTCTGTGCCTTTCATACTTGAAGTTTAACAAGGATTAGGACAGGGTGCCCATCTCCCTCTTTCAGCTCTTTGTAAAGTGGTTCAGGAGTCCTTGGGCTTCAATCTGGCAAAGTTAGTGTTTGTAAAGCCCTTTCAAAACTTTTCTAGGAGGGATGGCAGTGTGATGGGAAACTTTGAAATGTGTTTATGGCACTTATCTTCTGACTCCATCATGCTTATGAAGTGGAAAAACAATATATCAAGTGCTCAAACAAAAATGAAAAGGCAGTACCACTAAGATGCTCAAAGTAAAAGCTGTCAGTGCAGGTGATGACAATGTGTTGTTGCCAGTTTTCTGGTTCTGCTTTGCAAGGATGTTACAACTACTTTATTATTTCCTTGAGAAAACATTCCAAAAAAAAAAGATGATTAAATTTGTATGCAATCTAATCTAATCTAATCTAAATTTATGTTATCTTATTTTATCTTAGTTTATGTAATCTAATCTAACCCAACCTAACCCAACCCAACAAACCAACCAAACCCAACCTAATCTCACCTCACTTGATCTAATCTAATCTAAATTTATGTTATCTTATTTTATTTTAGTTTATGTAATCTAATCTAATCTAACCCAACCCAAACCCAACGAACCAACCAAACCCAACCTAATCTCATCTGATTTTATTTGATCTCACCTCACCTGATCTGATCTAAAATCTAAATTTAGGTAATCTTATCTAACCCAACCCAACCTAACCTAATCTCATCTGATCTGGTCTCATCCCATCACATCCCATCTCATTCTATCTCACCTCACCTCAGTTTACCTCACCTCCCCTCACCTCACCTCACCTGATCTGATCTGATCTGATCTAATCTACTCCAGTTCAATCCAATCCAACCTAACATAACCTTATCTTATCTCATCTCATCTCGCCTCACCTCACCAAATCTAATCTTTTCTAATCTAAGACGATCATTGATGCTGAAGTTTTTGTTTAGATGTTTCTTTAGCAGTCTTTTAGATCTGTCTTTACTGGTAGCTTCAGTTTTATAGGTTACATCTTTATGACAGCTGGTGATGGTGCTCATGGGAAATGCAGTCCCCATCCCGCAGAACCATTTTCAAGTTTTGGTGAAAAGAGTTAATCTCCTCACAGCAACTTTGAGAGGTTATTTGATAACCCCCACTCCAAGCTGAATGCCAAATGTGAACACCGTCTTATACAATTTTTTCATACAATGAAAAATGTTTCAGAAAATGATTGTGTCAGATTGGAGGTAGTCTAATCCTCCACAGATCGCTCTGGTAAATGTTTCCTTGGACCTGGTGTTTTGATATCTGTAAATGGCACAAAGGTTTTCTCAGCGTCTCTCTAAAGAACTCTTTAGAAGTTGAAATCTCAGTTCCAATCTGCTTTTCCAGGGTTTCAGCACATCAAGCAATCTAACATGCTCACCACACACGCCTGCTGCCAGGAGAACACTTCTGAAAGAGCAGTCCTCAGGAGTTAACCGAGGATTGTTGTGATGGAAAGAGATTGCACTCTTCAGTCTTCTGCCAGTTTTTTTTTTTTTTTTTTTTCTGTCCCACTGCAACTTTTAGAGTTTGCCCTGGGACAGAGAAGAAGAAAGACCCATTACCCACACTGCACTGAACCACAGGTCTGTGCTACTGTAGTGCTGGCTCCTCCCGTCTCTCTTATGGTTAATTTATATGATTAAAAAATTCCTCCCAGATAAGACTTTAAGCTTCTCATTCCTCACAGACTCTTATTAAAGTGCAACACTACAGGGACTTTCTGAACTGCACTTTTTATGAATCAAATAATGCACTCAAACGCACAGAGTATACAAACTTGGATAGACTTTATATTTCACTGATAGAGGTTTGATGAGATTACAACACAAACAAACCTGCCGTTACTCTATTAATATGCAGGCATCACATCAGCCCCTCTACCTGCAACAGCAACAGAATAAAAGTCCCTGAGATCTAAAGTTAACAGAAGCTTCTCCACGCGAGAAGAAAAAAGTGGTGGTTGCCAAGAAAAACTATTCTTATCCTCGATTGGGAGATTTAGAGGCCTATCAGGCTGTCATCACTCAGGCACAATAATTGTACAGCCTAATTACTATAACTTGAATCACATCCTGGATCCTGTTATCTTATCTTGGCTTGACTGGTGCTGCACAGTTAGAAGCTTTTGTCTGTCGTGACAACTACTATCATTACAACTCTCCTGTCTGTGCGCTTAAAGCTGAATGCCGACTGGAGTTTTAGCCAACAACAAGCTGCATCCAGGTTCATGTCGGTACCTCTTATTATGACATGCTGGTGGTACGGCAACAGGCAAATATATATTGAACTTTAACTATTTATTTAATGTGATACCTTCTGTTTATATAAGCATGCAGCCCAAAGAACTACACAACAAAGAGGGGAAATAAAGAGAAAATTTGTCTGCAACAGTGGAAAAAATAAAACAAACAAATAAAAGGTAATAAAATAATTGAAATGAAATCATAACTTGAATTAATTACTTCAAAGTAAAATAATAAACAGAAGTCAGTAAATTTAATTAGAATATGTAAAAGTTGAACAATAGAACAAAATACCAAAAATACAGTGAAATCAAAAAAGACTTTGACCAAAATTATGAAATCACTGCAAATTTAATGTTTCATGTACTTTGAACATTTTCCACCAATTAGATATAAGAACTGAAGAGAGCCAGGAAACATGGGGGGCAGAGAGTAATGGAGAAGCTACAAACGGTCTTGGTCGATTTCACACCATGCACCAGTAAAATCATCCACTTGCTTAATTTGTGCGCATCTGGACAAGTGAATGTTTATTTACTCCTTTCTTCATGGGAATGACTCAATTCACATGTTTGTATCCCATCTGCAGAGAGCCCAAACACACCTGTGATTATGGGAGGAAAGTGAAAGAAAGGAGGGGTCCCTGCGAGGTTAGTCTCTTTACATCAAATATAGCAGAGGTTGACCACACCGTGAATATCTGTTGAGTTTTAATAACTTATAACCAGACCTCCACACTCACTCTCCTCCAGCTGGGCTCTTTTTAACTCCTGTTTTGGCCACATACAATAAATCCTCCATTTTCCACATAAATGAAACTCTGCTGGTCGTTTGTTGACATACGTCACCAGGGTATCTCCATGCTGATTGGTTATCGTGGGGCAAACATTCACTTAAAAAAAGAACAAAACTAATTTTTCTGTTTCGTGATTTATTGATGCTGGAGGCTCAGCCTGAGGTTTGGTCACTAAAGCCATCTATCTTTGCCCCGATCTGCTGGATTCATTCACTGAGCAGCAATGAATGAATCCAGACCAAAACCCAGCAGTGGACAAAAAGTAGAGAAACTGTTTCAGGAAGATGTCTTTTTTTCTTTTCTTTTCTTTTTTTTTTATAATTCCAGTCAAAAGTCAATAAACTCATGAGTCAAGTTAACATCCCCATACAACATTTTGTCTATATTATTAGGGGTTATCCAGTTGAACCTCGCCTCTCTCCACATACCAGTGGAATTGCTGTCTCCTACACACTGAGGGAGGATACACTAATTATACTGAAAAGGTGAGACAGAGTGGTGGAAGTCTTGTGTATTCACTTCATATAATTTAGTACATAACTTCTGTCAGTATTTGACCTTTTTGTGTTCTAACTTGAGTTTCTGAGCTACTATCCTTTCAGACAAACTCTCCCGGTTGCCTGTACAGTGTGAGAAGTTCACAGGGAAGATTGAAGCAGACTATTGTTCTCCATTGACCATATCTCAATCTCCATCTGCCCCTGAAAGGCTGAAGCTCGAGGGAAACTATGGGGACAATTTCAGTCCCATTCTCTGCTGTGAGTCTCTGACACCGAGGCCAGAAAAGAGTGCTGGAGAGAGCAGCAGAGATTATTTGCTCATGGTAATGATGCTCTGAGAGAGAAGATGAAGGGGGTCCCAGACTCTTCTTCACTGCTGAGTGTTGGTAATGTTGAAAGCTGTCAATACATGAAAAGTAGCTTGCTATTTGATGGCACAGGATGGCACTATCAAGGTTGGAAGCTGTCCAGTCGGGTATTTTTTTCACTGTGGCTGCCTGAGATAGGATTTTGTCATGATCCTTTTCTTATTTAAAAGAAATAAAATGCAGTATACTGGAAAATATAAGAAGTATAAATGACTTTTGAAAACAACTTTTAAATGTCCTCCATTGAAGCAAGAGCCAATGTTAAAAAAAAGGTACAAGTTAAAATATTTCTTCCTTTTTTTTTTTTAAAACACCCTGATTTTGATGGCTTTTTTTTTTTATACAATTACCCTTACAGAATTCAGGACACTGACCAAAATTTCGACTTTACATGGGAACAACTTTATAAGTGTATTCTGGCCCAAGTGATAATCAAATACAAGCCTACTAGTCCTTGAGCATAAATGAAAGGTAACGAAACTGAAGGAGGGAAAACAGGGATACAGTATGTATAGATATTTATTTTTCCAAACATAAAACACTGAGCACGCACATGTACTGAGCCACATTTCTCAGGTATATTCTTGGTTAAGAATAGATGAAAAATGTCTGTTACAAAAAAACACTTTTTTTGTAACAATGTTTTTTTACATTGATCTTGGCTTGGGAAAATGTAACATATGGTGATGCCACAGATGGGTTTTCTTTGAGAATCTTGGGCTGATCGCATTAAAGCCAAAATACTGGTTTGGGACTTTTTTAGCATAATTCAGTGGGATGCAATATTACCAGTTAATGTTGTCAATTTGCTTTGATTATAAGATGCTTTGATTATAACCATATTTAATATGAAACATTGTATGATATGAGTCAAAGGAACTAGCTCCTCACAAAGGTGTGCATATGTGTGTATATGTGTGCATATGTATGCACGCAGACACAAACAGTGAACATAATGGAGGAGTAGGCATGCCGCCTCCTTATGCCAATTTTCTTCCTGTTTTTAAAATGAGCAGCTGATTGAAATGCAAAGTGGCACCTGAAAATGTACAGGGTTTCAGTTAAGAACTGAGTTTATTTACTTGAATCTTAGGTACAGAGAGGAAAGGAGATATGTAGAAAGAGAGAGAGAAAGAATAAAAAAAGGGGGAGGTGGGTAGACATGAAGACAATTTCAGGAAACGGGATTATTGAGAGATGGGAAAATAAGCCTTCATTAGAGTTACATTAGGTCTTCATTGTTTCTCATTTATCAGAATTAGCTGAACATCCAGAAAATATGCAGATTGGTTTCGATGCCAATACAGCAACAGATGATTATCTTCTTCTTCAGCAGTGGCACAGGTCCAGGTCTTTTCTGGGGTCGGCTTTTAGGAAATAGGAGACAGGCACAATAAGTTCGACAGAAAATGATTCTGTGCAATAAAAGAGCAAATCAGACACTCAAAGAAAGTTTGCTTTTCTTTGACAAAAATAAACACTGCTGGCTTGTGTAGTATTCATTAGCACTAGAATACTTGGTGGAAAAATGTGGCTTTCTGCTTGAAATGTAAAGTAGCTTGTAAAATGGTGATATCACTAAAACTCTCTGTTTGTCGATGTTAAATTCCTCTAAAATCAAGATTGGCCACAGGGGATTACAAGAAAGTTCCGAGAACCATAAATCCGGCTCTTTGTGACTGGAACAATGTTCATGTCAAATTGTCGCTTTTGCTCTCCTCACATTATAGGGTTAAAACTATTAAATCTGTCTTTATTTATTCATCTGTTGGTGCTCACATATTCAACAGCGGTTAAGATTTGAGAAACCTGTTTGTGTGGGCCAGCCTTCATTGAAAGGGTTTGTGGGTGGAGCAGATATAGAGCCCCACCAGCTTTATTACGTTGTATAACAGACTTCTTCAACTCTGCCACAGTACTGTTGCCAGATACTCATTCTCTATATTCAGCCTTCACTAGGTGAGTTTTATTGTTATAATTATCTGACGGTGTTTCCCCTCAGGTATGAAATAAAGTCTGCAATGCTGAGAAATCTGCCCCACGGCACATTAAAGCCCTTCAAAACAGGAATTGGCAACTACGTGTGCCCCCAGTGTGAAACACTCGAGAAATACTTCCACTCCAGCACAACTTCCAAATTACACCTTTGAAATCACAAGTAACATGATAACAATATGATAAAGTCATCTTTATTATTTTGTCTGACAAAGTTTCGTTTACTACTTTGCTTCATCCATGCTCAGAGCCTGGTGAGCAAAGGCTGGGACATGCACGGAACGCTTAGACCAGTTTTAGTCTGATTTGGCTTACATGACAGAGAAAATCAATCCCCATCTGCATTATCCAGGTATTCTTCCAACTATGAGAATTTTGATTTAGAGCAATTTCAGTCAGACTAATGTGTTTAAAAAATCCAGCTTTATTTGGACTATTGCAAAAAATATATATTTTTAAATTGCATGTACATATACTGAGTGTATGAGTACATGTATGTACAGAGCGTAAAAGCGACTAATTTTTTCACCCCTGTAGCGAATTTTGCAAACATTCGCAGGTGAACTGCTATATAAATCTACAGCCTAATTTAAATCTTACCTCAGACATGTGGCAACAGTTGTTCTGGATCTATCGTCTCTGTAATTTGTCCTCTCCTTCTGCAAACGTGGAGTCAGCTGATGAAGCTGTTCTTGAAATAGTCGGAGGAACATTCAGAAGTATTGTCAGAATTTCCCAAGATTTCCCCAAGATATGATTAAGGCTCCTGGATTGTTGTGTGGAACTTCTCCATCTACTGTCGCAAGGTCAGTATTGGATGTACCCAGACACCTCAATTCTTCTTCTTTTTGTTATTCAATAGGCTAACAACCATGACCAGATCATTATTACTTGAGGATGTAGTCACCATTGTTTCTCCTTCTTCTTCTCTTTCCCCCTCGGCGTATTTCTATGCAAATATGTGAATTTTATTCACACCAGGTGTATAAAAGAAAAGGGGTAAGATAATTATTTTGCATTTTTGCGTCGCTTTGTCGATTCACCGGTGTGTAACAACCATGACCGTGTTGGTTTTGATATGTCAAGTGATGGACAACAGGTTTTCCCTTCACATGATTTAGCAGCTCCAAAAACAGATCACAGGTAAAAACAAATCAAAGCTGAACTTTAAAATTGAGGCTGATGTTCTTTTCAGTCAGTTGCTTTGATTGTCAGGTGAGTCTATATGATGAACAAGAATTTCAACAACAAAGGCCGCAATTACGAAAGGCTTCAAGGACACAGACTTGGACAGCCAATCAATCAGCCTTCAGGCGACGTATTTACCAATCAGAAGAAATTCCTGGTGGATCTGCGGCACAAATGGAGAGACACAGATGTTTTCAAAGTGAAGGAGACAGTGAAGAAAGGGCAGCAAGAAAGTAAAAAACTACTGACATCCTCTTTTGGTTTTCTAGGCCAAGACTCTCCACTGACAGACAGCTGCATATGTACTATGATCAACACTCTGAAAATGCAGAAAAATGGAGTTAGGAGTTCAGGGGTCATTTAAGGAGAGGGGCATGATGGTCTCCAAAGTCAATTGATCAGATATTCTGCTGTAACATCTTCTAGATGGCTGAGACAGGAGTGCAAGTCAACGGTAGATGGATTTGGCATGTGAATTTTTCCCCTTTATTCAAAATTATTTTGATATTTTAGGCCAGGAGGCGCCTTAAAACTGAGTGCCACTTTTGAACCCTTTTCTCCTTCATTCAGCTAAACACATACATAGAAAGAAAACTTTGTGCAGCAATGGTTTGGTTTGAAACTCTCTCTAAGTTAAGACAACAAGTGATGTGTGGAAGGAGGTGGTGTGAACCTCAACAAATTGGTCCCAGGTAGTTCATACATCCATATCTCACAACTACAAATGCTATCGTGGGTTGTGCAGAACTACTTTGTAGGTGTCTGACAGAGTGATGATAACAGATGGTGAAAGAAAGAGCTGCATAACCCTGAAAAACTGTACATTGCTGATTGCGATGAAAGTCTTTTCGCAGGATCACACTTCAAACCTTTATTTACCTTAAAATCACCATAACAGACTACGAATGATGTGTTGTACTTATACTCTGCTTGTATTTTACAATACTCTGTTTTGTTTAGGGTAAGTAAATATCATAAAAGAGATGGCTGTCTTGTTTATTGTTTCTGTTTCTTTGTACTGCACTCCTACCTTGCTCCTACTCCTACATGTTTGAAAGTCTGACATGTGCACGTGTTCACCGTGATATACTTATTTATGTAGGCACATCTACAGACAGCACCCTCCTCACCTTGTTTTTCTTGAGCATCTATTTTACAGCTGACTGAAAATGTCTGAGTGCCTCCAAGTGCATGCTTCAATTGTTTCACTTCTCTTAGTGGAGTAACACAGCAGGCAAAAAAGTCCTCCCCAGTGCTTTCAGAAGCACTCTGTGCTCTCTGCACACACAAGTATAAAACTTGGATAGCCATTAGCTGTCGACCTTCACCTATGTTCTTTTTGGAGCGCTCATTATGGATGAACTTTCCTCTATCTGAAAAAAGTTCAGCACCTTTTCCTAACTTTTAACCTTTTTTTTTCTTTAATAATTCTTATGTTTTTATATTTTATCATTTCAGCTTCTCCTACTATCCTTGGAAAACCACCTTGATGTATTGTGTTTTGTTTAATCTATAAGCACCTTTTTTTAAAGGGTGCAGAGAGATTTGATGTGGCCATGTTAGATCACTTGTTATTCCTCATTTTCATACAAGTTGTACTGTCAAGAAATGAGATGGGACATTAATGCTTGAGATTATATGTATACATAATGAGGACATCGGTAACAATGGTAGCAGTGCCAATCCTGTGATCCTGTTTTAAGCCCAAATCCATCCCATCCCGGTGTGTGTTGCTATCTCTCGGCCTGCTCTCACAGACAAACAGCGCTGCTTCTCTAGACCTCATTCAGTCATTGTTCCGCCAAAACATAAACTCCTTCCTAACCCTCCTCTTAGGCTCAAAACTCTGGAACATACACAGAGCTGTCCAAACAATGGCCCTGTGAATAACTGAGCGTCTGGATGTGCAGACACCTCCACCGTAATTGGAGAAGGCCTGTAATGAGCAGAGCTGAATGCCTGACCATGGGCCACCAAGCCTGAATCCTGGGAGTTTGTATTGTCTCTCTCCCTCTTAAGGCTTTGGATAGGACCATTTTAGTATTGTGTGAGCAGTATGTCTGCTTGCATGTGAATATAGACTTGGAGAATATCCATTTGGAGGAGCAGGTCATTCCCACAGTGCAGTGCATATCCCATCCTTTGGTCCTGCCTGATTTACATTCACTCTAGGGGCCGTGTTTCTATTCACTGATGTGCTCACTGGTCCCTCTGTGCAGCCTAACTACCTTTTCTTGGAGTGCGCATGCAAATCCTTTTTTTTTTTTATCAAAGACTTTTTTTTATCCCATTTCTATTTCGCTCCTCTCCCCGTGGTTAAAGACAGCCTGCTGAGGTAATGCACTTTTTTTTATAATGAGCTTCCAGTCAGCGGAACAGCCCAGTCACATCTAATATCTCTAATAAAAGGAGAGTGGTTGCTTCCCACTGCAGGGAGTGCTTCTCAGCTCCACATTGTCGGTCTTGTGGGTGAGGAATCCCTCTTAATTAGAGGCATTAAAAGTCCAGAAGGAGCACTGAAGAGCCTTATGGGTGCCATGTCTCCTCTTGACCCCTGACCCTAAATATTTCATCGCCCGATAGACCTCTCTTAGCTGCCAAACATCTAACTTTTTCTCTCCCTTGTTACAGATTTTCATGCTCTCTGTGTCACAACTTTTTTTTTCCTAGCACACCGGAGTAGGAGTGCTCTCCTGCTGGCTCAGATATTACACTCCTGACTTTCTATATTCTACAAAAGAGGAGGGCACAACCTGTCTGAGCTTTGTTCTGACTGGCAGCTATGATGGCCCTGCTGGATTTTGTCTTAATGGTAGTCGCATACATTTGATCTGGCTTCTAACCAACCGGCAACGCACATAACCTCTCCCACCTACATCGCAGTGAAGAAACAACAAAGCTTTAACACCTGTACCCTCTGTTTACTGCAGGCCTGGAGGAATTTTCTATTTTTCTTCTAAATCTGATGACGGATGTATTGGCCTGTTTTCCTTTCCATGCTGGCTTTTATTATCCTTGTATAAATACACCCTGTTGTCCAGTGAAAAAATATTATGGTTGTACTCATAGCCCCTCTTGACGAATTCTGAAGCGAGCTAAAAATCTCCGTCCCTGAGCTGCTCTGTGACCAGCTGTGGTCTGCGGCAGACAAGACCACTGAGAGTTAAACAGCCGTGTCAGGGCTTAATTAGAGAGCCAGACCAAAGGAAACGGCTCAGGTTCCTTGTTAAACATGCTGAAGGCCATAAGCTCGCTGCACGGACTGTCTCAGGGTTAGTGGGTCAGACTGGGATGATGAAGTTTCCCGGACCTGTTTCCTGAGTTCGAATGAGGTAAATGTCTATTAGAAGCATGTGTTTTTATGGATTGGTTAAACCGTCCATGAATTCTGTAGGAAATGAACAATTTTACTCCCAAAGTTACCCTGAAAATCTAACTTCATCACTCTAGTATAGCTTAAATTACACTTTTGTTTTGGCTTATGCTCAGTTAAGTAATTCTGCTTGATTAAAGTTTGATATGTGGTCTCTAAATCGAATGGCCAAAATATTGTCAGTCACCTCGTGTTCCTTTCTGTAGGTTGTCTCTGTTCACTGTATGCAAAGCAGAAAGAAATCCCCACAGCAATACTTCCTCACTGCGATAATGTAGATCTGTTTTCATATGCAGATGAAAAATGTAATATATTTGAATCAAAAATTGATCGTAAGATTGTGCTGCCCTTTCTGAACTCAATAATCTAAACCAAACCACAAAGGGCACTGCTACGGGAAACACTATCTGGAAACAGCTCCCTTACAGTCAAGACAGCCAGAGAGATCATAACAAAGGATATATTAATCTCACATAGTGCCAAACATACTGAGCTTGAAATGAATCTGCAGATGTCCTCCAACACCAGACAAACCTTTTTTTTTTCAGCTCCTGAGGAAAAGAAAGACCGAAGTGTTTCCTGCAAAGAACTAATGTTGTGATCAGCCCAGCAAATAGAGCTAACCTCATATGACAAGTTAACTGTCACAAGCAACTGGATGTAATCTGTAAATGCTCAACAATTGCTGTAACACCTGCGAGATGAATACAGACTGCATTTGTTCAACCTTTGCATGCAGAACTTGATCAAAAGGCATGACGATGTCTAGAAGTAGATCAAAATCACCAATGATGGACAAAAAAATCACAGACCGGAGGAGTTGACGCCTCCTTCCTACTGTTTAAAGGACTGTTAAGTCATCAATATTCACAGTTTAAACAGACCCTTGAATAATGATTTTAAAAATGTATATATGAACCATGAGTGTTGAGATTTACCACCCCAAATTTCAAACATTTTCTTTTTTACTGAAATTTAGGCCCTGTGTTCCCACAACCCTATGTTCCCACACCACACATATTACTCGGTGACAATAACAATATGTCGATCGTACTGGATACTTAGGTGGTATAAGTTACACTGTGGATATATTAGATTACATTTTAGATTTTATCGTCCTTTACAAGGATAATTGTTTCCAACTCCGTACATGAACCATTTTGTACACATAACATCACACCCATAGATATCTTTCCACATGTATTTACACAAAGGTGTCGTCGCAGCAGAACATGCACCATGTGACAAATCTCAAATGTGGGAATATAGGACTGTGGGAACATAGGCATGGACCCATCCAAATCAGGTGTCAGCCTTGTCATCAAAGATGTGAGCACATTGGTCTGTGGCATCCTGGATTAGTAAAAACACGATGATTCCATTTTAAAGTTCTGATCTTCTTTAATGAGGTTATATTATGGTTAGGGTTTATTCCTGCACTCACTGCCTTTGGTCTCTCACCTGATGAGGACATTGACCTTTCACCTTACACACTAACCACACTTTAGATAGCAGGTCAGTTAGCTCCAGTTAATTTACAGGGAGAGTCAAAACTCACAAGATTACAGGGAAGCTGCAATTTTCAGAATGAGTGATGAATGTTCCACAGATTAAGAATGAAGTAAAGCTCCTGTGAGGAACTCTTAGTTTGAGGCAGATTTGGTGCCCCCTGTGGACAGAGCAGTCTTTGCTCATCCTGTTTGCTTGTGTTTTTTGTTTTGTTTTTTTCGATTTGTTGTTTTCTATTTTACCTCATAAATCAAAAAGCCCTGTACTACAACCAACTACACATTGAAGTACATTGGCAATTACACTTAGAGATATTATTGATGATTCAAAATGATACAAAGTCAATATTTACCTGTGTATCACCTAAAATCTAACAGATTGGTATCATAACAAGGCCTTACATTCTTTCATCTTATGCTGAAACAGAATAAAACATTGTGAAGGAGAAACTTCACTTGTAGTCACCAATGTCCAGCTGACACATACATATATGTATACAGTTCACAGAGAGTTCATTATGTTTGAGTGATGAAAAAAGTTGCTCTGATAATATTTCTAAAAAGGCGTCAGTGCTGCCCACACAGTCACACACATTTACCCCTGTGATAGCTCTCCTCCACCATAGCGCCACGGCCCACAAGACAACTGTAGTGTGTAATGACCCTCCGTCCTGTTACTCTTGGCTGATCCCTTTTCTACCCTCCCTGAGGTGTTTTATTTTGCCAGCCTGATCGAACCTGTGCAGTCAGCTGGATCCATCAGACAATCCCAGACAAAAAGCATAAAACTTTAATCTGGGATAAATTGCTGCTGTGATTTTTTTTTTTCTTCTTCACCCAAAGCCCTGGTTTGAAAATGATGTGTTCCAGTCAGTGAGAACGGTGTTTATTTCATAATTAACAAAGACTAAAAGCGTGTAATTATCAAATCATGTTTTATATCTACATAATCTTTTAAGATAATTTGAGCAGTGCCATAGAGAACTCAAAACTTTTATCTTTCCCTGGACCCTGGTGTTTCTAATTTTAGCTAAATTCACAAGAGACTGAACTGCCAAAACATCTCTAATTACTGGAATGACATTCCTCATTACGTTTAGCACCAATACCCTCTTAAAAAGTTAAATAGATTACTTTTAGATCTTTTATTGTACTGAATTAGTCTAAAGATCAATTTGATAAACTAAATCAAATTTTAATGAGAAATGGTTGAATAGATAGAAAGGTAACTTTTCTATAGAGGAGACATGAGGAAGACCCAACAACGCAGTTTTTATAGACTGTTTAAAACACAGTTGTTATCTAAGTGGCGTCATCCAATGATTCTGAGTGACAGTTTTGAGGCCTTTTCACAGGGATGGCCTCATAGCTAATGTCGACCATGCCCCAAATAATGCAAAATCATTAACTTAACATCATCAAAAAGTTATCAGAATCAGACTCAAAATACTTTATTTTAATTTGGGGTATAAAAGCAGAAGTAAAACTGAGTGAAGCTGCAGTGTAACATGCTATTTACAGTAAAACTGAGACTAGACACCAATGAATGATGCATTACTTTGAGGTGACAGTACTCACTTTACTTACATATTTGAAGGTGCATGTTTTCTTTACTTTTTATCCGAACACATATCATAGTATTTTAATATACCTGTGTGATCTAAAAAGTAGTATAAGGTATAAGAAAAGAAGTATAGAGTCTGTAAAAAAGCATGATACCCCGTCTTTAAAGCTATCTCATCTTTAAGCACAAAACTCGGTAAGGTAATGGATACCTTGGTTTGAATGCGGACAGATGAGTACATCTTAAGACAAATGATCCTCCGAATGTCCTTGTAAATGCCAAAGACCAATGAAAGGCCTCCTCTACATCAGTTTTTATCGGCTGTGTGTAAAAAGCCTGCATGCACAGAATGGGCACCACAAGACCATCCCATTAGAGCGGAGGGAAAGGAGAAGAGCAGTCAAATCCTCCTCTATGATCCCATTGATGTCGCAGCTTAACTCTAATTGAGGAGGTGCTCACTTGATGGAGCATGAGTCCCTGCTATATTACTCACTTAAGCAGCTCTCCTTGAGCTGGAAAAGACGTCCTTTACTCCCTGGCATCCTGCAGTCAACTTTTTAAAAAGATCAATTGCAATTTGGGCTGAATAACCTGAATGACTTCTGATGGATTGCTCACATGGCCTCATGGGGATCAAGGGGATCGATAGTTTTTAGAAAATGAAATTGGGGAACGAGCGGTCTGTGTTTACGGCTGCTGGAGTGAAACACACACTCTGTTTGGCTGGATCCCCACTCAAGCTGGCATTAAGTTACACACGAGTGGGTTTGCAGGGAACACATGGGTGTAAATTCACAGCGATGTCTGCGCGGTTGTGATGGGCTGGGCTGCTGTTTGGTCAATTTGATGTGCACAGTGTTGTCATTCATGGAGATTTGGTTTGCTTGTTAAAAACAACAGCAGACTGGCTCAAGCTGGACAGAGTTAGTTTATGTTTAGGGTGTTCTGTATCTGGTGGACTGAGACCTGAACATACCTCCTGTTCTAGACAGAGCTGGCCCAAACCTCAATGAGGCCTGAAGCAAAATTAGATTTTCGGGCCCATTATTTCTGCCAGTAATGTTGATTGTTAATAATTCAAAAACCTTCACTAATCTCTTTGATTAACATTCCATGACATGCAAACATACCTTTATCTTGGCGTTTTTTTCTCCTCTTCCTCTTTCTTCATTTTGCTCCTGAAGGATACGTCCTTTTTTGCAACATTGTTTTGCCCCACAACTACCTGTGCTTTGGATGCTCAGTGCATATTGCACAGCAAAAGGCACATAACGGTAGCGGAGCTTTGACATATCGGCATCACTCATACATGCAAAAAATAAAAATATTTAAAAATTATAATTTTTTTAATTGCTCTTGGGGGCCCCCTATTCGCTTATGCCTTAGGCCGCCTCTGGTTCTAGGCTACTGGTTTATGATGAATGAAATGCCACTGATATGAAGTGTAATGTTGATTGAAACTGGTTTTCATGATTAAAAAAATCCTTTTCTTGTTGATATCTGCCTTTGCATGTAGATGTAGAGATGAACTGTGCTCACTGATGATGGTTTGCTGAAGTCTGTCAAAGCCTACGTGGTAAAATCCTCTACAGAATGATGGGGTTTTTTAATGCAGTGCCACCTAAGGGGTCAAAGCTCATGGGTTTTCAATGTTGGTTTTGAGCCTTGCTGCTTACATGCAGAGATTTCTCTAAATCTTTTGTTTGTATCATGGACTTTAGATGAAGAAATCCCTAAATTCTTGCAATTGTCAGTTGAGAAACGTTCTAGAATAGAATAGAATAGAATAGAATAGAATAGAATAGAATAGAATAGAATATTTCTTTATTGATCCCCCATGGGGGAATTTTTTTTTTTCTTAAACTGTTGGACTATTTGCTCACGCAGTTGTTGACAAAGTGGTGAACCTGGCCCCATCCTTATTTGTAAAAGACTGAACCTTTCAGGGATGCTCCTTTTATTCCCAATCATGGCACTCACCTGATCCAAACAGGTGTTTTTGGAGCACTCCTCAATTTTCTCAGACTTTTTTTGACCCTGTCCCAACTTTTTTTTTAAATATGTTGCAGCGCCAAGTTCAAAAACAAGTAAATATTTGCAAAAATAAATAAAGTTTATCAGTTTGAACATTGAATATCTTGTCTTTGTAGTGTATTTGATTGAATATAGGTGGAAAATGATTTTAAAATCATGATTTTATGTTCTTATTTATGTCTTCACAAAATCTCAACTTCATAAGAATTGGGGTTGTATGTGTACACAAGCACAGTACAGCAATGCACCTGATTTTGTTTTACTTTTACCCAAACATGTCAAATCACCACAGTGGAACAGGATAAACAAAAAGGATCTGAATGCTGTCAAGTTTTGTAACCAGAGGCAGCAGCAAAAGACTTCATTATTTCTTTGAAAAGAATGAGGTGAAAGATAGTAAAAATGGTGAAAATGTGACCCCTGAACTAACTTACAGAGGGGAAAGAATGATAACAAGGTGCATAATATGCATGAATGACTCAGCACAAGAAAGGCATTAGTCGGCATCAATGCCTCCCACAAGCTGAATTAGAATGAACTTGAAAGAAACTCTGTATGTTTGCATGCACAATTAAGTGGAGCTACACGGTCATAGTTTGATTAAAGATTCTGAACTCTTCGACAAGTTTCAGTCAGATGGAGCTGTAAAGATAGGCTAAAGGAAAGCAAGAAAAAAACCTGCACTGAGATTGAAAAGGCCAATATTCTGCAAAAAAAAAAAAATGAGCTAGAACATTTTTTGGACAATTTGAATGTGATAAATTCAAACAATAACCAAGAGTTCAAGTGCTGCTCTATTCTGCCAATTCCACACGAATATGTGCTGCACAGGAACACCAAACTCCCAACACGGGCCAATACTAAAAGAAATGTCTTTTGTTTTGTTTAACAGGTAACTGGCATTGCTTTATTGGCAATTTCTAACTGGTATGAGATTTCCATTTTTGGCCTCAGCTAGAAAAGAAAAAAAAACCTGGTACACAGTGTACAAAATGTGTTTGATCATGGGATGCCAGCGCAACCAACAACTGGGACTGGAATAAAAAATGATGTTTCCTAGAGAGCCTGTAGGTCAGTAATCCCTCTGGGAGAGAAGCACAGATGCAATCACGGACCTTCCTTTTCACAGATAAAGTCAAAGTAACAGGAAACATGTGCACTCAGACATGAAATGACACATGCTGCATCCAAGTTTGCTTCCCAGAGAACCAAACTGCAACTTACCTGGGGATTATGGGCTTAAAGGATCAAAGGTTGTAAGTGTATAATGCAAGATATGATGCTCTGTATATATAGTGTGTTCAAATAATGGATACACGTTGCAGCATCACACTCCTCAGATCTTACAATGACCTGATATGGCTACAGAATAGGTGCCGATTATCTGAGCACCTGCTGCAGCTATTATTTCAAATCTCTCCAACTCTTGGCCAGTAATGCTATATTTCACACTATATAATAGCTCCAGCCTCTGTGGATAACTCTTTTTTTAAAATCTTGACTTCTTCAGCTTCAAGTGCAGCGGCTGGCTGTGCAAAAAGAAGGTGTTTTTTTCCCATTCCAGGCTTAACCTATGGCCAAACTATTATAGCAGTGCCAGATATGCCCACGCGATTTTCAAAGAGACGAGTGTTGCCGAGGGACACTTCTATTCTCTGCATTAAATTGAATTAAAAGAAAGAAACAATACTTTTACTGGTGGCAGCTCCCCAGAAGTTTGTTTCCAAAGATTTCTTTGCAGCTGAAATACTTCCAGTGTGGACACCATGACTATCCAAGCTTCCTCAGGCCATAAATTGAGAGGAGCAGTATGGTCCAGACAGACTTCTTTGGTTGTGTACTTCTGCAGCTCCTGGGCGCATGATAGCCGGTCATGCTGAGCAGGTGAAGCAGGCAAAGCTGTGTATATGAGCAAGTCTTTGTGTGGATATGTGAAGATCCTGCTGTGTGTTTGCCTTTAGTGCTTCTGCATCACAAGGACACAATATAATGTCACACAATAGGTTACCAATATTACTCTCACTGTTGTGAAATCAATATAAAAGTGCATCAGTGTGTTGACAGCAGAACTTTAAAACAGTGCCGTTGCAGTCTAACCAAATGAAAGAGTCATCAGTCTTTGTGTTCTTCTTTCTCTCCTCTGTACGCCTCCATCTCTGTTACAGTTCCAACTAAGATTTCTCAGGATGCAGAAGTGAAAAAAATACTGACAAAGAAATATTGTTATATGTCCTAAATAGATCCAATAGTCTGTTTGATGTTCTCACTGACGGTTTAACTCTGCCATGTGTTAGTGAGACCATTAGAGGGGCAAGTGATCAAAGTTGAGGAGGGCACATGGAACTACAATATTGAGTCATTCAAAAACAATCAATTTATTACTGTTATAGATTATAGATTTACCAAATACTTTTTGATATGGTAAACTAATAGATTATGGAACCACAAACCAATTTTTATGTACCACAGTAACAACAGAGAAAGTTTTCTGCACTCTAAACCATCAAATCAACTTGAGTATGATTTTATAACTGTTTAACAAAACTATTAACATAACCAGAGTTTCAACCAATGTTATTAAAATAATGCATTTATGATGCACACTCTAAAGTGGACACTGTATGGCACCAACAATCTGGTAAAGGGTTAAAAAATAAAAACCTACATATGTATGTCATTTCTTTTTCATTGAGTTTGCTTCATGTTGACAGCCCAGCATCAGTGCTGATTTACTTATATCTCAATGAACCTCAACTTGTGAGTTGACCTTGAGTGCTTTGAAAGATGCCTATATATAAAATGCAGTATGATTATTTTTGATTATTTATTACAACAATATATACATAAAGAAAAAACAACATTATATCTCAGTGAACTGAGTTTGGTCATCACTGATGAGAGGATAAAAATGCAGAGTGCATTAAAATGGAGCACTTGAGATATAACCTCTCTGTGACTCTCCCTCTATCTCTCACTTTCTCTCCTCTCTCTTTTCTCTATTTCATCCATAAAAAGTTATTATTAGGTGAAAGCAACAGTTATCATTCAATGTAAAGTTATTATTAATGGTGTTGTAGTCAGAAATACTCTCTAATGTAAAGAAATCCTCATCCTTCTGTGTGTTGCAGCTATATTTGCCACACTACAGGTGACCTCAGGTGAAAGGTTGTTATATGACCTTAACCATCAGCAGCCAGCTCGTTTTATCTATAGCTTCTTACATTGTTGTTTTCTTCTTTTTCTTGAGGGGGCAAATACAGGCCTTCACCCCTGCCCCTTCAAAATTAAATTAAGTCACATTAAGAGAAAAGACCTTGGTTTCACAAAGACCCCTTTGCCCCTGAACTGCTGTCAGAGCCAAAGGGGCAGATCCAGCTCCCTCCTCTGCTTCTGTGTCTGCCTCTGACTTCCACTGAGTCAGAGGCGGACACAAGCAGAGGGGCAGTGTAGTCAACCATGCTGGTAGCTGTAACCCTAGATACACTGTGGGTACATCAGATCGTGGTGGAAAATCACAGTGTCAAATCACATAATCTGTTTGATTTGCAGATGGACTATAAAACACTAACCTGCTGGTACGACTTAGGTTCTTTCCTGATTAAAAAACTCCACAAAAATCCACTTGATTACAACAAATTTAATGAGCAATATTACAGATTTTTCTAAAAGATTTTTAAGCCTTAGAAGAGTGAATTCTTAGTAAAACCATTTTCTGACCAGATTAAAGTCAAATAAAAGTCTTTGTGTGACATAAAAAAAATAATAAGAAAACTGAGCTGTAACGTCAGGTGATTAGAGTTGCAGATTACTCTGTTGTATGTAATATGTAAAGTTTGGGTAAATGAATGTTAACAGAGGCCTTTTGTTTTGTACATTTGCTTGACACTGGGAATCTGCCATAGATGACACAGCAGTAATGGTTAAATAATAATAAAGCAACAATGAGCCAGTAGTAGATATTACAGTCAGTCTCGGATGGGTCATTAAAAACCGCCCAGGTTTTGGGTGAGTCATTTTATAGCACCTGGGGTCAAACCAACCCAGCATCCCAAAGTGACTCAGGGATCAGGTGACTGGATTATCTCTCAAACCAAGCAGTCGTAAGAGTGATACAGATTAAAATCTTCTCAGTTTACTTACTTTAATTCGGGGTGAGACGGATTAAGCAAGATATTAGTCAGACAAATGTAACTATTCTTTCATCTGGGACAGCCGATCAGTCTTGGTTAGCTTGAGAGTACCAGGGTCCTAAAGAAACGGCTTCTGCTGCTGCTGTATCAGAGAGGCAGAGTCTACCTTCCCCACCCGTCCTCAATAAGTGGAAAAAAAAAAACCTAGTGGAGAATTCCTCCTTTTGCTTAATTTTCCCTTACATTCATTTCCTCAGCACTCCCTGAGGGCTTTGAGTTTTACTTTAATTTCCTTTTTGTCTACTGTGTGGGGGAAGTTCAGATCAAGTATCTTGGCTCAGAATTACAAAATAGTAAAAAGTGAGAAGAAACTCCAGGGGCTGTTATATCGGTTAAAGATTTCAACTGTGATTTGATAACTTGTCTACCAAGTCCAACAGTACAGCGCGATGACAGAGAGGTTCTTTGCCAGCTGCTCTGATTATTTTGGCGATGGTCTTAGATGCACGTCTTGGTGGTCTCCTTCGATACTGAAGCTGAAGGGATAATTTAAAAGCCTCGACCCCCCAGTAGTCCTTTCATGCCTGCCCTCCCATTAACTTGAATGTGGCTGCTAATAGATGAAGTGCTCTGAAAGGGTCAGCCAATCAAATCACTGGACACATAAATCAAAGCTTTTTTATCAATGGGACATTGGCAGCATCATCTCAAAGACAATTTAGCTATAAGATTGAGTTAAATGATGTCTGACATGGTCCTCGACTGTCTCTGGGGTGTGCATGTTTTATTTTGCAGGGTGGTACACACACACACACACACACACTGTGTGTTTGCAGCACTGCTCTGCTCAGTTGAACAAAGACGGGCCCATTTAGCAGTTTCATCTGAGAGAATGGATGGACGTTGAAGCACAGATGAAGAGAAAGGGGGACAGCTGAGAGGGAGGATGAGACGGGCAGAGAGAATGATAGACAGTCATGAGGGACAGTTAAGAGACCCAAGAGTGAGAGAAAGAGAGAGAGAGAAAAATAAAAAAGAGTTGAAGAGAAAAAGCAAGAGGAGAGGACAGTCTCACGAGGGACAGGGACTGAACGAGAGAGAAAGCAGGTAGGCGGCAGAAGATGATTAAAAAATGTGTCTAAAGGAAGGTAGAGGATATGAATGTGCAAGGCTCTTGTTCAGGATAATGGCTCCCCTCTCCTCTCTCCTCTATTGCTCACTGAAGGGCACATAAGTGTCTGTGGGCAAATATGTATCACAGTCTGGGCAGCTTAGGCAATTTCATGGAGCTACAGAAGATGATGATAATCCAGTTAAATTGAAAAATGGGAATGTCTGTGGATCCTCATTCATCCTGTAATTAATCCTTTCTTACATTCATGCTGGCAGATAGTTTATGTGATTAGGATTGACTGAGGGTGATTCTGCCCTGCTGAAATACTCCCCACTGCCCTGTGAAGTACAAATGAACATCTATTTTCAGCTGTATATTCAACAAAACTGCTTGTGTTTGTATAGCAACACTTAAAATGTGCTTGAGGGACGCCTCTGCTTAAATTAATCACGTTTTTTTCTCCCTGAGTTTTTAATGGAATGGTTAAAAGGAGTGTGATCGGGACAGACAAGGGAGTCACCGAGGTCCCACTCTGTCTGTGTGTGTATAAGAGTAGCTGTATGTCTGCCTGGGTGCTTCTCCATCGTGTCCCAATGACAGACCAATTTTGGATTCAACCAGTTCATTAAGGAATATGTAACTAGGGCCAGAAAAGGCTTTCAACAATTTTTTGTCACTTGAAGGTGGTATTCTGGCGTAAACTCGAGTGAGGGTCAAACACACTGTAACACCTAGTTAGACACCCCCTCGAGAGATGAATGTTGCCGACCGCTTGCTTCTGTAGTCATACCAACTTATGTAAAGACCGCACGATAGCAATACACAGCTGTCTACATCTCCACACCCAAACCTCAACCAAAACACAACTCTATAGCCACAAATAATGCTCAGAACAGCACCTAACTTCATCAACAATATAGGGTTCCAGCCATAGTACTAGCCACCAAACATCTTTTTAACTTTGCCTAATTTCTTTAGCAAAGAGACCAAACACAACTCACCCACTCTCCTCCAGCATTCACTTGTTTGCACGGAGACCTTGGACTAGACAATCACCAACTGCAGCGGGGTGACGCAGCTCAAGGAAGAACATTTATGATTATTACTTCATGGAAATGCAATCAGACTGAGACGCTAAGGCAGAAGAACTACCGCGTCTGCAGTACAAAGTGATTATTATAATGATTATTACTTCAAGGAAATGATTCACTGCACTCGGATATCGACTCGTCAGGGCTCCCCCTGCACATGGAGATGTAGACCGCTGTGTATTGCTGTCGTGCGGTCGTTGCTGAAGTTGGTATAACTAGAGAAGTAAGCAGTCAACAACATTCATCTCTCTGTCTAACTCTGTGTCACAGTGTGTTTGACCATAATTTAAATTTACGCCGGAACATCCCTTTAACTTGTCTTTAAATGGGTCCCTTGGATTAAAGAGAAAGAAAATTACAGTAGATGTAAAAATGCAGTGTTATTGGCAGGAGATGATTAGCTAAGCTTATGACCAAGCTGCAGTACTAAATCAGGTGTGGCACAAACATTAGTTTCTATTAATTAAATATTATTTTTAAATATTAATTAAATTTAATATATATATATATATATATATATATATATATATATATATATATATATATATATATGATTCTTGAGTTTCTGGATCAAATCATTGATATTGGCTGCATTAGGGCAACTCCTCTTTTAAGGTTGTTGGAGCTGAAGGTAATGAGGTGAAATCTTTTCCAATCTAAAAAAAAGCCTCTCTTCCCTTATTTGTGCCTTTATTAGAGCACAGAGGACATTTTCTAAATTTATGAAGTACACCAACTTCTTGGAAAAGCTGCTTAAAAATTGCCAGTGGGTTATGCTTTACTAAATCTAAGAGCTGACATTTTGAAAGTCTGACCCTTCTGAAGGGTACATTTATCTTTGCAAAAGCATCACACACCATTGTGGGGCCCTCCGCTCTCCGTCAGGTGCAGTAATAATGGGACTCTGATAAAAATGCAGCCTTTCTTAATGCTTTCCTTATAAGTGTTTTCAACAAAAAAGTCTTTTCTATATGAGTGACTGAATATAGTGACCTCAGACATACTTATTTTCTGTTTTTAAGGGGACTTTGGGCTTTAAATCTTAATTGGGCAGCACAGTTAAAGAAAGAAGGTTGTAGGGAAAGGAAGGAAGATGACATGCACCAAATCCCACTGGGACACAGGATGGATCCTCCAGCCAGAGCAACCAGGACTATTGTGTCATAGGTCTGCTCTTGCAGCTGAGACAAACTGGCGCCCTATCTCTCAGACTTACTTTGTAGAAAATTTGATAGATTACAGCCTTCGTCTTAAGTGCATTATCTGTCAGCAAATTGCACTTAATATCCATCTGAAAGGGCAGTGATAGCTCTATTGGATGTGGTTCAGAATTATAAAAAGTCACCAAATAGAACTTTTTATACTCCGTGTTTCCCCACATGGACAATACTTCATTGACGACAAGCCGCCCTGCATTAGGTTTACCTGTTTCGAGGATGAAAGTGTGAGTAAAACTTCCCAAAACAGGAGCTGTTGTTAGGGCAATGCAATAGGGAATGTCAAAGAAGCTCTGAATCATTGTGACCATCATCTGTTTAACATCTAGACTCTTTGGACAACTTGGTTCCGTCTTCTGCCAGTACACAGATCTGAGGCCAAAAAGCTCTCAGTTTTTTCGGGTTTTTTCTCCACTTCCTGAAACCACTTGCACAGTAGCCTTGGTACACAATCTTCGTACGCCCATTGGCCGTATCAAGTGT